TTCAAAGCAAAGGAAGGTCAAGAGTGACCGCATCGCTAAAGAAGAGAGGGAGCTAGAATCACGCAGGGCAGAATTATCATCCGTCTTGGTACAGCGCGCACTTGAGATGAGTGATAGCTCGAAGCAAACTGCGCAGGCTGCCGCTCGTTACACTCCCTATCCCGCTCCCTCGCGTCCACGACGCTCGTCCTCGTGCCCCCCTGTTGGCGCGGAACCAGTGAACCCGTCCGCAGATCTCGACTCTTGGACTCCGTTCTTGGTTACTCATGACGATCTAGCCCGTCGCCCGAGCCGCACTACCATGTACCACTCCGTCACCTCGGAGCCAATCGCTTCACCTCTTATTCCAGCGTGTGACCTTCCGAACTCGCAGCCTGGTGGAGATACGTGGTTTGGTGCTCCAGTGCCGTATGCATGGCCTCTTCCAGACCGAGAGGACGACCCTTTGTTCGAGACGCAGGCTTCTGATGCTACGTCACAGTTTGACTCTCCCTTCGGGCAACAGGTGAGTACTTTCATGGATTTCAGGACTGCTTATTAATGCTTTGGTAGCACACCGAACTTTATTCTCAGTATTCCGAGTTCATATATTCCCCATTTGAGAACCTTCCCCAGATGCCCCCCGTGAGCATGGACAGGGGAGGGGCACTTGGGTTGGAATTTACGAATCCCTTCGGTTTTGACAATTTCTCATTCAACGGGGATAGCTTCCTGACATCGTCTTCTGACATGTCTTCGATGCTCTCTTCTCTGGATTGTGCTATGTCAAGTGACCCGAGCGCTATGAGGGGTACGGAATAGAGCGGTGGGACGTCCTGTTTACTGATGGTGAGGTGGCCACCAAATCTAAGATCATATAATAACCATGCATCGGTAATTTACATGGAAAAGCGTACCAACGTACCAACAGTATTTAATATATTTTCGTGGAGTATACATAGCTTTTAGAATAGTCTCTCGTTGCACAAAGCATCACTCTCAGTAAGATTTACTATCGTTCCTTACCTGCACCGATAGTGAATCACTCCGAGATCGACCAGTCTTATTACATCAAGCACTTGACTCGGACATCTCAGAGACGCATGTAGTTCTCACACATGCACTTGAAGACTTTGTTCAACGGTCCATGGGGACCTGGGGCTGACCGGGGGCCGCACGCAGGTACCTGGCAAGCAGAGTTTAAACGATCCACTTTGGTACTTAGTCGATCCGAGTCAGCTGCAGGATCCGTGGAAGTAAATGTCTGCCATATGGTCGCACGACGCAAGTACAACTCTTATCTCTCCTTGTTTCGTGCCAAATCCTTGCCAGCATAGTACTGTTCATCATCATGTTCAGTGGTGACACTTTCAAGAATATTCGCGTGTACTGTCAGTTGCAACATTTTTTGGTACACATTTTTTGCTCACAACTTTGCAGGGCTCGCATTCGTGGCTTACTGGGGCATCATTCTGTTTGGATATGACACGTATGTTTTTCATCGTTGAACGCTCACAAGCGCCTGTCTGACTGTGACCTAGTGGTATAGCTGGAGGTGTCGTCTCCCAACCTTACTTCGAGACTAGCTTCGGTTTAGTCAACGCCGATGGCTCAATCAACAAAAGCAAGGATACTGAGGTTTCTTCCAATGTTGTTTCTGTGTTGCAGGCAGGAGCATTCTTTGGCGCTCTAGGCAGTGCACCTATATCAGGTTAGTACATTGATGACCGCTCGCTGGTAGACTGATACATTCCGACCATCGCGTAGCTTGGTTGGGACGGAGGTTGACACTGATCGGTTTTACCATCATTTTCGTTATTGGTGCTGTGAGTGGTTCTTTGAAATCCATTATCAGATAAGCCTCTTACTCACGCGGTTCTAGATACTTACTACGGTTGCTGGTGGTAGCCGGGGTATTGCATACATTTACGGCGGTCGAGTTATCTCCGGCTTCGGCATTGGCGGTATCTCTGCTGTCGCACCCACTTATGTATCCGAATGCTCACCGAAGAATGTTCGTGGTCGCATTACCGGGTGTTTCCAAATCATGGTGGCCATCGGTGTCATGATTTCATATTTCATAAACCGTTTAGTCCCCTTTTGTTCATTTTGGCCTGAATGGTGCTCACAATAAATACACAGTTGGTGTCGGCCTTCACATGGCGAACAGCCCCAATGTCTGGAGGATTCCTTTTGGATTTCAGCTCGTTCCTGCAGGTTTGATGTGCCTTGGTCTTTTCACTGTCAAGGTTAGTCATCCTCGAACTTGCATGGACCATTGCAGATCATTTTAATGCAGGAGTCTCCCCGTTGGCTTGCATCCAAAGGTTACGTGGCGGAAGCCATTGCCAATCTTGCTTACTTGCGGAGGGAGCCCTATGATTCAGATGAAGTACGGCGTGAATTTGCTGAAATCGAAGCTGCAATTCGTGAAGAACAGGAGGCTCGTAAAGGCCTTGGATTGAAAGAAGCCTTCCTCGGGAAGGGCAATTTTGTCCGATTTGTCATTGCATTTGTGATCTTCTTGTTACAGCAATGGAGCGGACAAAACTCTGTTGGCTATTACGCACCTCAAATCTTCAGCTCAGTGAGTCTCCCATACAGTATCCTCTTCCCTCACCCACACGTCAGATTGTAGATTGGGTACTCCGGGACCACCAATTCTCTCTTGGCGTCTGGAATCTACGGTATTGTGAAAGTCGTTGCGACTGCACTTTTCGTGTTCTTCTTTGTCGAGAGTCTCGGTCGCAAAGCCTCGTTGTTCATATCCGCCATGGGAATGGGAATCACGTTCTTCATCATCGGTGCTATCTTGAAAACGCATCCTGTTGTCACGCCTCTGGCAGGCCAGTCTGCGCCACCACCGTCACCATCTTCAAAAGGTATGGCTGCCATGCTCTACATCTATGTCTGCTTCTACTCCATGGGGTGGGGTCCTCTTCCGTGGGTTTATGTCGCCGATATCTTTCCCACACGGACTCGCCATTACGGATTAGCCGTAGGTTCTGGTTCTCAATGGCTATGGAGTGCGTGCTAAGTCATGTAAAATGTTGTAATGCTGCTAACTCGGTCCTGTAGACTTCGTTGTGGCGAAGGTTACCCCAACGCTTGAGACTGATCTAGGATTCAAACTCTTCATGATGTTTGCTACGATCAATATTGGTGGAATGGCTGTCTTCTCCCTGTTAGTCGATTCATGTGCCAATTACTTGATCAATACTTATACCATGCTCAACAGGTTCCTCCCTGAAACCAAAGGTCGTAGTCTAGAGGAGATGGATATCATTTTCGGCTCAGTCAGCGCTGAGTCCCGCGAAGTGTTTATTGAACGTGCACTCGACCACAGTGAAGTCAAATCACAACCATCTATCGACAACCAGATTTAACCGCCATGTGGGCTTGTCTATTATCATTAATTATTGCTATTACCTGGGATGGATTGGAGGTGAATAGTACACATACCACAGCTTCACTGATCTTGCTTTCCGCGTTGATATTGTTATTCCGTCTCTAACCTATAAGCTGTATCACCCTCACGTTCAGTGGTACTCCACAGTTGATGAACTCCAATCAAGATTTAAATTGGTTCTAGACGCCGTATACTATTTTAGCATTCTCATTGGCGCGCTTCATGATATCTGCACCACTCCAGGGATGTCCAGCTTTTCCTGCGGTATATTCTGCAACCCACGGGATCATTGCAGTGTGACACAAGGGCAACCTGCTACCCTTGATTTCCGGTATAGAATTGTAGAGGTTGGAAGGGACCATGAAGGGCGCATCTGTTTCCAGTAGTATACGCGGTCCACCATCGCTCTTGGCCATCTGATTGACGATATTCGACGTATTGAGATTCGTCGAATAGGTAATAACCCCTTATATGTAGTAATTAGTTCAGAGGCTTATCGACTCAATAATGACCGGCCTACCAGTGATCCCGATGTACAAATTACGGAAATGATGAAGTAGTCGCTGTGCGAATTCTGGCGAGTCTGTAAAACAATGTATATGTATCTTTGAAATAAGATTTCATTAGACCATCAGCCTCGGGAATCAGTAACAAGAATGATCGCTGGCAGTACCTTGTGATCGGCAGGGACGTGTTCCATGAGAATCCTCTCCGTGTCTGCCTCCGCTTCGCGCGTGTGGATTGTGAGCGGCTTGCCCAGCCTGACAGCATGATTCAGCTGTCGGATGAAAACTTCTTGCTGGATTGCCCGTGGGGAGTTGTCGTAGTGGTAATCAAGACCCATCTCTCCCCAGCCTACGCATCGTGGGTGGGCCATCGCTTCAAGACTAAAACTCTCGAATCAAATCCCCAAAATTATAAAGAACGCAGAAACATACATGGAAGCCTCGACTGCATCGTTGTATGACTTTGCATCGTGCCTGGGAGGATTATCAGTTCACTCCCGTACGAGACATCCGAACCAGTACGCACGGGTGAACGCCTGTCAGAATCATCTCTCAGTGCAGGAATCGAGGACAGCGCACGATCGGATAACTCACCCATCACAAACCAGTAATCGATACCTCCCCACTTCTGTTCCCGATCTTCTGCAGTCAGTGCTGAGTCCGCAAGCTCCCTCCACGCCATTAACACAGGTGCCTCGCACCACACGTCCACGATTGCCCTCACGTTGCGATTGTGATACATCTCACGCACGAAGTCATGGATAGTGTAAAGCGTCCCATTCCTGTACTTGTTCCTGTAAGTCGAGAACGTCGACACGAGGTGGGTGTGCGTGTCGATGATGGGCTGGTCAGCAAGGGAGGCATCTGCAAGCGGAGGAAGGCGGAGGAAGGCTTCAGCAGGAATGATGTTGGACTTTTTCTTGTTGTTCTTGCCCATAGTGCGATGGGCTGTTGTAGTGAAATGAACCTGAGGGTGCAATAGAATTGATGTCCTCAATAGCTGCCAACTCGTGTGAATGACATGGTTGCGAGTAAGCATAAAGTTAAGGGTCAAAACTGTAGTCTCAACCCAACTCAACAACTTGGCTTTCATCAAATGAGTACTACTTGGACGATTTTACGTGATGCAGCATCATGATTACTTATACATGATGTTAATACACTGTCACTACTAGTATGCACAGAACGTCGGATTCATTGCTTGGCTATAAAGTGCAATCTACGAGGGATATTAGTGTGCGGCTCCACACTCGGACCATAAGGTGCCGTGCGCGAAGTGACTCAAATCCAGTTGCAATGTGTAACTGGGAATAACCAGCGTATCACCCGGGATGTACACGGACCGATAGAAATCGACAGGGATGCGGAGGAGAAGATGTCCCTCGGGACTTTCAACCCACCCTTCCTCGTAGGGGGTGGGAGAATCTTGAAGAAAGGAAAAGGTGGAACAAAGGGCATGAGTTGGGTTAGAAGAGAAACATATTGCAGGTCTTCTGGATATAAGTTGGTGCTTGTTTACAAAATCTAGATCCCACACCCGGGTGGTTGTGTCATATGAACCAGACACAATACGTTTTCCATCCGGCGAGAATGCGACGGAGTATACGGCCTGGGTATGACCTTGGAGTGTACCCAATGCATTGCCAGTGTCCGCATCCCATACTCGCACCGTCTTGTCTGATGAACCAGACGCAATGAGTTTTCCGTCAGCCGAGATCGCGACTGACCAGACGCGGTTAGTGTGCCCTTGGAGAGGGGCACTTACTGCCTCGCCGGTCTCTGCATCCAACACCTGGATTATCTTATCCTTTGAACCAAACACTATGCATTTTCCATCTGGTGAGATCGTTAAAAATAGAATAGCATCAGGGTATCGTGGATGTTTCGGAGTAGACGGGAAGTAACGAGGATACGGAAATAAGACGGGAATTTGGTTGGCTGAGGAAGTATCTGGCGTATAAGAAAGCAGACGGAGAATTTGTTCTCGGGATTTGGCTGCGCCACTCTCGTCCAGCGCATCGATGACTATTAAAATGGGTTGAGTGATGGTGGATGAGGCTTTGCCTATTGGCTCTACGATCAACTTCTGCCATTGTCTTGCGATGTCTCGGGTGTGCCTGAGCTCGTTGTCATCATGAACTACATGTGCTATTTCTCGCCGCAGGGTAAGATTGCCGTCAGCTAAGTCGCGCGCAATGGTGGTGAATATCTTTTCATGGCGGTGATTTCCTGTGCGGTCGAAGCAGAAACAAGCGCCTAAACGCCCAGATTCATGAAACCAGTTGGCGATTGTATGGGCGATGGCTGATTTGCCTCTCCCTGCCGTGCCGGATAACCAGAAAACAGGGGAAACATTCTCCCCAGTGCTGTTGATCCAAGACTTGATCTCAGTTAGAATGCCTTCCCGAGTGCCTGTGAGGCAAAGCTTAGATGTATTCAGTCCAGCACCGGTCGCATACTCCAGGTTGCTCAAGTCCAGATCCTCGGCTAGGTCACAGGTTGGCGAACGTCAGAAGATGCAGATGGGTTTGAGGCGCATGCTTACCTGCACGGTGGAGGAAGATGGCGGTGTCACGAGCCACTTTATCCCGGAATTGCTGCATGAGATCGTCGAGTACCTGATTGTAGCTCTGAATCGAGGCATTTGTTTCATTGAGGACGTTCTTGCAAATTCTTTTCCCTGTTCAAAGATAGTGAGTCCTGGGTGGCAACATGGTAGAACCTACTCACAGAAAATCTTGGTCTCAGAGTAACGGACAATGAAATCAGCGCATTCCTGCGTCTGTCATGCGATTTTTAGATATATCGGCAGCATGGATGAAATATTCTTCAGCTCCTCTTCTTCGGTCATTAGGGCATAAACTTCCGAGATCTTCTCGAGCAGATGGTAAACAGCAGTATCACGGTCTGCTTGATCGATAATGATCTGCCACCAAGACATTCGTCATAACCTGCCAAGCTGAAGAAATGGAGATAAGCGCACCTGAGACGCGCCAATCAAAATAGTCATTGCTCCCTGCAAATAGGGATGAATCTACCTGAAGGTCAGCTACATTCTCAACTGAAATAAATGAATGTACATCTCCAATGCCGCGAGCAACAGAGTTAAAGGCCTTCAGTGGCGTAAGAATTGAGGACCACATGTCGATCTCATTGAGAACCGTTTGAACGTTGCCGGTTACTGCGGCGGCATTTTTTGCGATTCCCGATACAGGGTGGATGCCTGTGACACCTCTAGTGGCATCCCTGATTCTTTCATTCACAACTTCTGGATTGAATGGCTCGGGCTGGATGATAGACTTTAGAAGTCGTGTCAAAAGTTAGAATTACACCTACCTGAAGCATCTGTACAGGAACGGTATCACGTCCGCTAGGCAAGACATCCACAGGTGAAGGGCTCAGAGAGCGCCCATTGTTTTGGGTGCAACGGCACTGGTTGATTACCTTGTCCTAGAATTTGCGACAAAAACCGGAGCGTCGTCTTGGAGATCCAGTTTGCGAAGGTGGGAGAAAGGACGGCTGCAACGATGTCATTATAGCATCAACGCAAGAGCGACAATGTTCCATACATCTTGCTTGGCTGCTCTCCTCCCCCTCCCCTGTGGTAGACGAGGGTTTGAGGGAGAAGTATCTTTGTTCATGGAGAAACTTTGAACAGAAGGCTAGGTCCGAGTTTTGAAGAGATGAGTTTAAGCATAGCACCCAAACGGCCGCATAGCAAGTTATATAACGAACGCGCGCTTGTCCCAAGCGTCCATTATGTCGAAGGAAGGAACTTCAAAGATTACTGGACCCATGCGGCTACGGAAGTCCACGAGGGCACTTGCATGCACCAGGCGCTCATCCGAATATGTTCAAATGCCCTCAAGCTCTCCACTCGGTGGCGTGATAGACTAGCTTGCGACCGCAGCCTGTCAGCTCTTACCGTCAATAACAGCACCGCAACTGCCCACTGCATGGAGGCTGCCAGCCACAAGCACGCCAGGAATCCCGGATCATGATGAGCTTCTAGTGTAGAGTGTGAAGTGACCGATCGAGTTCTGATCTAGAAAAGTAAGCAACATGTTCCACATACTACATAACTGTGCACTCTTGACCGCCCATAGCGGTTCTTTTATGAATACAGTGCCCATGAGAATATTCATTCTAGCAGCGCTGGAGAAGCGTGAATGTGAATGCAACGGTAGCCTCAAATCACGATGGAAGCTCATGTCCACTGCATATTAATCAGTCTCCAGTCTACTATATGTGAAATTTAGAGGCCACTGGCGTCTTCTGCTCTCCAGCAATCAGTCGTTGAAGAAAGAGAACTGTCGTGGTGTGTTCACAAGTCCAACAGGGCCGTCGTGGTTCCAATGGGGTTAGGTAAATGAGTGCAAGTTGCCGCAAATGGGTGTTTTTCCGACAAAGCTTGGTACTTGCAGCAAGTACTTAGTAAGTCCAACAAATAAGAATTACTCTCTTCAACAACAACAGCAACGGCGACGAACAGGTCTAAACTACTTCGAGCGCAGTGGCCGCTCGTCACCACGCGACGAATCCTGTATGAACCAGAATCAGGCAATAGGTGGGTTTAAAGCCGCTAAGTGGCTACATAATCGTGCATGTTCATGTTCATATCTCTTATTCTTCTTGCATTTGCACTCGATGCATCTAGAGTCCTCAGAGAACTGGGATGATGATTTCGAATTCCAGCAGAGTAACGAACCGAACCTCGGCAAACATCAGGTGGCTGCAGAGCCCAGATTCTCTGTCGCGAGTTCTGCCTTTGCTGAGGATTGGGACACCGAAAGAACCCAGCAGAACATCAAGCACTCGTCATCCATGGTACTAGGGCATAGAAAGAGCCATCCTGCACCTGCACTTGAAGAATGGGCGGAGCCAGGGCCATCAACCCCCACAAAGCGCTCTACAACCCAAGCAGAGAACTGGGATGACGACTTCGAGGATAGGACTGAATTCCCTGCTAAACGGCACCTCCACGCCTACTCTTTAAAAGCACGCCATTCATATCATACTCCTCCTCGCCTCAAATCCGCGTCTGACCCTGAGAATTGGGATGACGATTTTGAAACAGACAAGACCGACACGACCCCAATGACAAAACGGACGCGTCAGGAGGCATATCCGGACTCGTCGGATGACGAGGCTGAGCTCGGGTTCACCGATAAGGAAGAGGACAGAACTGTTACGGCTTGCAGCCGACCGCAGCTCAAGTTGAGACAGTCCCCGCCGCCGCCGCCGCCTGTGCCTGCACTCCCCCTGTCACTCCTCTCACCTGTAGAACCATTTCCACGTTCTCCGACGGTGTCTGTGTTCTCAATACCAACTACAAGCGGACGTAACTCAGTAGGGTATACGTCCACGTCACATCTGGCACTGAGGCCAAGCGCCTCAGGTGGCTCACTTGCTATGTTGCCACCCAGTCCACCAATACACCGTGAGCGACGCAGACTACGGAAAAAGTCGCGTCCTCCGCACATAGAGAACAACGTGTTCGAACTAATCGAAGAGCAGCGTGACTCACCTCCACCACTTCCACCATCCACTCCCGAGCGACCATCTACTTCGCCCCTCCCTCAATCCGACACAGGCTCAACTGGCCCACAGAAGACACCTCTCCTTTCACGCATCGGATCAGTCAAGTGGGGTGTGCGCAAGAAGCGAGCTAGTACGGGGCCAGCAGAGGTAATGATGCATGATCTAGGGCACGAAGACCAAGAGCACACGCCACGCCCACCTAGCTCGCTCACATCTGTCCTTAGCTCGAGCTCGCGACCGAGCTGGTTTTTTCGCTCTGGCGGCGCCCTTGGGTCTGGGTCCCCGCCGCCTCCGCCCGCCGCTGAACTTAAGCACGAGAAGAGCATGAATAGCATACGTTCGACCATGCTATCAACGCCCAGCAAGCTTTCAAAGCGCAAGTCCAGCAAGATGTTTGACCCAAGTAGCAGCAGTGAGGTCGTGGGGACACCCGGAAAGCCATCACTTCTCTCTGCGGCCAGAAGACCCACTTCCATGCAAGTCCCACAGGGGAAGGTCCTTTCGACCTCTACAGGGACACGGCACACCTCATATGGCTCATCAGTGGGTCGTGTGGCATCCCAGACGTTTAGTCATCCTCATGAGAGCGTGGAAGATCTACAATCTCGGGAGGGTAGTCGGGGCTTCATGGGTAGCATGCGGAAAATCAGCCTGATCAGTGGCACAAAGCACAAACGGCAGAAGAGTACTGCTGAGGTTACACCCCTCCCACCAGTTCCTATGAGCCCAATATCTCCACTCCCCGACGAGTCCGAGCATCCAGATCAATTACTTCCTCCAATAGAACTACAGCCACCATCCCCGCCCAGGACGCTGAACGGGGTGACCACGTCACATTCTGCGCCGAATAATATTAGCCAGGGTGTCGAATCGTTATTTGTGCCATCGAGCAGCGCTCCTGTATCACTATCCCCTAAGGCCAGTCCTGTCTCTGCAAGCCGCGGCTCTCCCGGCAAAGCATCATCCCCTCAATCCGCATCATTAGGACGGGCTACTCAAGTTCCCCTTTCATCATCATCTAGTGCCTCTGTCCCCCGCCGGAACTCACTTGGCGACCTCAAGATTCCAGCGAGAATTAGTCAAGCTCAAATCAGCCTTAAACGCGACCTTGGAATGGTGAGGGAATTTGCAGCAAGCGTTGATAGTATGTACCATTTCAGCTTCTACACATGTCTTGACTGAATATTTCCTTAGAACTTAAAGAACTGCGAGCAATTCACCATCACCTAATCTCCGAGGTGCACACCACCCTAACGAGCCCTCCTCTATCCCGAGCGGCTTCACCCCCCATGATTCATCTTGCCCGCCCCCGTTCCCGACTACGCTCTAACACCGAACCCAAGTCTAGCTTTTCAGAGAACAAACATTTAGCAGCAGCATTGAACGTCATCACGGCCAAGTACAAGATACCCTGGGAATGTGCCGAGCTACTGATTGAGCTCGGCGGAGGCACGCCTTCCCCTGCTTCTCCTCCGTCTTCCACTGTATCTGCACTAGCTGCGCAGGCTGATATCGACCTCCGAAAGAGCCGGGAGCGAGCAGTGACTCTGTCAGGCGAGGAAGCGAAGTTGCCCTCAGGATTCGTCGAGTCGGCTGCAACGTCACAGTCCAATCTGTCATGGCGATCATCATCAGGACGTCACGATCTCACCCAGCGACAGCTTGTCCTGTTGCGCGACATCCTCAACAGTACAGATGGTGCGCTTCCTGACGATGCATTGGTCCCAGAGGAAACGGATGTCAATCGACAATGGCGGTGGGGAGATGCGATGAGCAGCACTGTTACCCTTCCCTCTGAAGAATCAGTGCAAACTTCGCAGGATGGAAAGAAAAGGCGTCATAGCCGAATGGGCATGAGTGGGCTAAGAGATATGCTGCGGTCGCTGAAGCGGAGCTATTCGAGCCAACCGCCGCCGCCACTGCCTGCATCTACCACGTCTCTAAGCACCCAATCATCCATGGGCTCTCAGAGCCAGCATCATTATTCGCACGCGCATCTACCTCGATCACACCCCCAGCGAAGCTCCAAAACGAGTACTGGACCAGAATCGGCGCGTTCTACTGGGGATGCGCCAAATTCGCCGCACAATGGACAGTCTTTGAAATACAAAGCATCGCCACGCCGACCCTCACTCGCGTCTATCTTCCGCCTGGGGCAGAAGAACAAGAATGTGTCGTCTGGTGCAGAGTCTTCGCTAGATAGCGTCCATGGTTCGCGCTGTGCAAGCCGAGGCAGTGCTACGACGGAGGAAGAGGATTGGGATCAGATTGACTTTGTCGCGGATCTTGACGGAGCGGCGAGAGCACTGGGGATCGATGGGTCTTCCACTATCAAGGGAAAGAAGGGACGCTCACCTTATCTAAATCATTCTCATGAGATGCGCCCAATATCACCCAAGCGGGAGGCGTGTTCCTCTCAAACGTCGTTGAAGTGTGAACTATCCCCTCGTTCCATAAGACCAATGCGATCCACCAGACTATCGAACGTGGAGGAGGTGGTTGATGATCGTCATGTACGCTCGAGATCGAACGCTCAGCACCGCGTCTCTCGGCCACGAACGAGCCCTTCACGACCGCCGTCTCGGAACTACAAGCTTGCAATATCGGGGTCTGTACGCTCTGCGCCTCCACAGCCACCAGACGGTGACTCCTCGTTGCTCTCCGAATTTAAATTGTCGATGACACCGGAAAATATTAAGCCGCTGCTCGACAATGCGAAGGAGGTGCATCTGCGCATAAATGAATGCATCAGGGAAGTACGTGCGCTGCTGGACGCTTCTACGAACTCGCCATCATCGTAGTTCATTCATCGCACTTCATTTTGGACTTCATCATCATCGCACCGCACCGCACAGGCCTCATGCATGGTTATATCTGTACATTTTACATCTCGTGTGTTGTTGTTTTCTTTTCTTTGGTTGTTTTTTCTTGTGTGATAATTGACATCACGTTGATATTTATGATAACACGTACTCTAGTCTCTCACAGCATTCACGAACATACTTACATTACAAATGTGCAATACAAAACAAGTTGAACCTCGCGCCATGAACCGGAGCTATGTCATCCAGCAAGAAAGAACAATGGGACTATAGATTTCATACTGTTCTGTCTAGTCATAAATTAACTGCTAGTGGGAAATGCGTTATTCATCTAAATTGCGAAAATACTGTATGGGCCCCATGATATAGAAACTCCAGAGTTGACTACCTAAATCCAGTTACTACGCAAGAGCCTCCGAAACAGTCAACCAGTGGTGCCCCTCCCAAAGCGAGTTATCCCTGCTAGCTGATTCCGCGTCGTCCGACTCTGTCACAGGATTCCACCCGCAACTTCCTCCCCCGGCCTCAATATGCTTCTGAAAGAATGTACGGAAGTGCGCGTTTACCACGCCTTCCGTAGGGAGGTGATCGCAGTATACTACAGGTGCACGGCCTTTATATAAGGCCCCAATTTCTGAGAGTGTTGCCCTTTGGCCCTCGATTTGAATTTCAACATCAAGCAGACGAGATGGAGGTTGAGTGGTAAGGATATGAGCCACGTATCCTGCAACATCGGATACTGCAGTGAAGGACCCTGACGTTTCTCCTTTGTTCACGATATGGAACTTGCCAGTATCAGCCAGCGCGGTGAGCCAGGGGACGAATTCGTAGAACAATCCGTTCTGTAGTCGATTTATCGTATTCAGTGCTTATTCAAACGACGTCCAACAAGTGACTACTCACGAAGACGCGGAGAGTTGGTAGTCCGATTGATTTTGCATAAACTGTGAATGGAGGATGAGTTGATGTTATGATATGTTATTATTATTACTTGCCTGCGAAGTCAGTCTTTTGAAAAGCTAAGCCACCTTTGGCTAATTGTGGTTTGATGCCGAACTCGCTGGGTAGGAAGAGCTTCACACCTGCCTCCTTGGCAGCGTCGGCGAGAACAGTCTGGCCGACTACGCCGCCGAAAACAAGTGTGACAGTCGATATGAGAACATCTACTTTATACTCGCGAAGAACTGTGGAGATCTCTGATGCAGACGTATAGTCTGCGCGCACAACCGTCAGGTTTGGATCATCAGCAGGGAGCGCAGCGACGTTCGTGGAAGCTGGCCGTGCGATGACGAGAATTGGGGCGCCAATGGCAAGGAAAGCCTGATAGCTGGTTAAGGACGATAGCTGCAAGAATATAATAACGAATGTCACCTTCACGATATGAATTCCGGTGTTAGGGCCTGCGCCGATGATAGCAAAAGACTTGAAGAGTTGTTCAGACATATTGTAAGAGGGTTGGTTTGTGTAGTTTTAGACTGCTTTGTCGATGACCGTACCGACCTTTATACTCTACCTCCTGCACTGTCGCATGTATTACGGTGGTGATAATCAATACTGCCATCTTGATGTGTGAGACGGTAGTGACGTGCAGTGATACCTGAAGAATACCTGGGAGACCAGGGGAGACCCCTAAGATTGCTGCGGGCTGGTGATGATCATCGGCAGTGTTCACGTCAATCGACATTGACAAAGCAGATTTTAATTCGCTACTGATTAGTGACTCAGTACTCAGCCACATAGTAGTATTGCAAGTACCTCGACGAAATCAAAGTGATGCCTACCATGCACACTTTGTATGCAAACATCAAACACACTCCACAGTATTGTAGGGGACTCACTTACCGTCCTGGCCAAGATCTGGCAGTACTTGCCAGAATTGTAGGCTATAGCTAAGTATCTGATTGTCAGCTCTGGAGTGAGCAACTTGACCGTTCAGCAACGCAAATTCATCACATCGCACCTGATTGGCAGTTCATAGTAAGCGAGCATACATAGCCTCTGTCTCTGTCAGTTTTTCCTACTGTCCCCGTACGGAGAAACGAAGTTCAACTTGACCTACCATTTCCAGGGCCTGGCGATGTGATACCAAAGGCGAAGCTCCGGGCCCCGTTGCAGTGCGCCATCGACTGATTGACACAACCACGACTCGAAGGCAGTGACAAGTGGCAACACGTTTGATTCATGATTTATGACGACAGGGACCATTTCTGATTTTAATTTGTGTTGCATATGCATTTCTTGGGTTTGATGTTACTCGCCGCCCTCGCGCGCAAGTCTTCGGTGTCCCAAGAGCTTCAGAAATTACGGTAGTGAGAGCGAAAACCACCAAATGGCAAATATGTACAAACACGTTGCAGCAATATCGTTGGGACTCGGGGTTTGTCCCAGGCGCACACTCTCATATTTTGAATCCGACTATCTATCAAAATACAAGTACCCGGTCTGCTAGGCTTCTTTCGAATGTCAAATCTCCCCTCCGTCTCGTTTGAAACATTCAGGAGTTATTTAACGTCCTGAATGCAAGAAATGCAGACTACCTTAGCCTCAATTGCCGCTCGCCTTCCGAGAATTCCCCTGCGCTCAAGGGCCCTGAACAACTCGGCGTGCTATGGATTGCGACAGCCCCTGTAGTCCACATGGCAACACTTCGCCCAAGGCTCTCATCCGATCTGACATCTGGTTTGCGGATGGCAATATCGTCCTTATTGCCGACTGTGCAGCCTTCAAGGTCCACCACGGTCAACTCGAAAGGCACTCCGAGGTGTTCCGTGACTTGTTTTCCGTTCCACAGCCCGTCGACCAGAACCTCGTTGACGGTTGTCCTTCAGTTGAGCTATACGACCGTCCGACAGATTTATACCACTTACTTATCGCTTTGTATGATGGAATGTGAGTATCTAGCGCTGTCTGGGATTCAGAATCAATGCTTACAGCGTTATGCATAGCTACTTCCAGAAGCATACTGCAGCAGATTTCGTTGCTATCTCTGCCGTACTTCGTCTCTCCACGAAATACTTCATCGAGCACCTACGCGAACGCTGCATCGCTCGTCTTGCGATAGACTGGTCCACGTCACTCCCGGAATGGGATCGCAGGGAGCACGACGGGACAGATCGTGAGGGCCGCTACAACCCCCGCGAGATCTTCCCCCACCCCATCCTAATGCTTCAACTCGCTTACGAGCTCAACCTCGACACTTTCCTCCCCAGTGCGTTCTATGACCTCTCACGTTACGGCCCCAGCAAGATCCTCAACGGCACTCGTGGTCCGCCGCCAATTTTCTTCACTGAAGGCGACCCCGAAGGTCAGCTTGCCCGCCTCTCAGACGATCATCTGTACGCTGTGTTCCTGGGTCGCGAGGCTGCGCAGTTGTACATACATACCTTCCTCGAATCTGCACTTCGCGACCGTCCGTCCACCAACTGTGCAAACGTGGGAAAGTTGAGTGCCGTGCACTGCGTTGAATCTTTCTACTTCATACACCTCAACGTTCTGCGTTCTGTCGGTGGGATTGCATGCGGACGCGACGCAGATCCGCTATACACACTTCTACAAGCTGCGGAAATGTTGGAAAGGACTGATTTTTCAGATGGGGTGAAGACGTGCGGGCTGAGAATGTGCTCAGTATGTAAGACTGAATTTGTGGATGCCGTTAGGAAGGCAAGGCTGGAGGTATGGGAGCTGATTCCGGAGTGGTTTGGACTCAGGGAACCAAGATCTGTGGAGGATATGAACTAGATTTTTTACAATTTATATCATGGTATTATTAGAATGCACAGTTGTCTCAACCTTATTGTACACAAAAAGCACGAAACGCGATGAATTATCATAGATACAAAATCAGATTGACGTGCAGGATGGGTGGTATACAATTTACTCCTCGCCGATTTTTGGTGCGAGGTAGTACTTGATCTCGCCTTGTCCAAACTTGTAAGATACCTGACCATAGCACAGTTTGTTAAGAACAATCGAGCAACGTTGAGAACTAGACGTACGAGAAGTGGCACGTCGTTGCTCATCATGAGCTGGACCGTGTTTGATAGTGCTGAGCTCTTTGAGAAGTTGACGAGGTATTTTAAGCTGAACGTTAACGATACGTGTTGATTCATTTCGATGAGGACCCCTCCATCTGTGGGAGTTTCGTCCGACTTCTTCACTTTCTTGGCGGGCTTGCCGTTAGACTAGAGCACTGGTCAAAGAGTGGAATGAAAATTGGAAAGATGACAACTCACCTTTGCGGGTGCTTTCTTGCGCTTCTTGCTACTCTTTTTATCTTCCTCATCCTCATCCTGTTCCTCCTCACCTTCATCATCTGACTTAGGTTTGAACTCTTCCTGTTCTTCATCTTCATCCTCGCCTTCCATCTCAACGTCAGCATCTTCTTTCTTCATATTCTTTTCTTTCTTGATTTTCTTTTTACTGCTGCTTCCTTCTTCATCGTCTTCGTCGTCTTCTTCCTTAGCCTCTTCGTCTTCCTTGCCATAGTTGGCGTACTTTTCTCGGGCAGCCTCAGTTTGCTTCAACAGTACGTTACCGTTTGCGGCTTCGCCTTCACTTGCAAAGCGCACACCTTCCTTCGAAACCTCAATCCGTACAGACTCGCCAAGTTGTGACAAGTCTCGGACAATCCTCGTGAATTCCGATGCGGTCATGGTAACTCGTGCATCGTACTCTGTATCTGGGATACCAAGGGTCTCGGCATCGATGTCCATGAGTTTCATGTCATACTCCGCAATTCGGTCAGAACCTTGGTGTACGCTCGTTCATGGACATGGTCGTTTTGGAATATGACAAAAAGGGCTCACTTCTTGCTTCGTAGACAAGGTTCAGAACGTCGGCATCATCAGACGCCTTGATGATACAGATGTCATCATCCTTGGCACACTTGAGTACTTTTGTGAGGGAGTTGAGATTGACACCCAGAGGCATTGGGCGGTCACAGCGGTACTTTTTGAAACCTGTTGCTTCAAGCTTGACAGCAACGAGGGCTACATGGGAGTTGTCCATGGCTTGAAGGTTCTAAAAGCCGCATCATCATAATGAAATGAGTGCTGGTGGAACAAAGCCTACGATTCCTTCCTCATTGCACTCAAAGTTAGCGTCTGTTACCAACTCTTTAATGGCTACGAAATTTTGACGAATGAGTCCCGCCACGAGTGTTTACGAGAATATAGCTTACAATCCAGCAAACGCTTGAGAAGGGCTGCTTCTTGGAGTCTTGCTTCCAACATGATGAGCGCAAGAGAAAGAGAACAAGGAGAAAGGGAGAGAGATTAGACGCGTCTAGGTCGCGTTGACTGGTTTCAAGCGGAGACGGACGAGTCCATGGACCGCGTCTTTACGCGTCATGTCACATTTGTCACGTAATCGGGACCTATCACGGTATGCCGATCGGCATGAAAAAGTACCAAGTCAAGTGCTGTCACCGACTATCACCACGCTCGTTTAGATTTGAGCTTTGACCTAAGCAATTGAATGTTCTTGAAGTTGTTTGTGTTAACTACAGTTGTGTCTCTAAATTCGAATTCAAACTACATACTACTTGTGGTCCACTAAAACAAACATATGCTGTGCACGTAGCGTGGCTGATCTTTGGCTTTTTTGTCCCAACAAAAGCGTCGGCGATATATAACGGCTGGATTACCGCTCCGCCACCTCAAAAACACTCTATCCTACCCGTCTCTGAGCTCATCATTATGACTGCTCAACCAGCCAATCTTACGGACCGTAGTAAACTTCGCATGGAGCGGCTCAGGCTCGAAGAGCTAGAGCAGCAACGCTGGGAACAAGAGGCACTTGTAATGCCTGAAGTGCGTAGCTATTAATTCTCTTCAACGGTCTACAGCGCTTACTGTCCACAAAGGCGCTCAACCAAGCTCTCCTAATGTCATTTGCGTCAGTTAAGACTGAATTCAGTGACCTTGACGGACTCTCGTGGTCGCGCTACCCTGTTCCTATGGTTCCTAACCCATGGGTACGCTGCAGCCACCCTCCTTCTTTCCCTCTGTCTTATATCAATTTTCTCTCAGGCGATAGACGAACCACCCCCCACTCCAACACCGAATTATCCCGAGCCCAGCGAATTCCCTGATGAGCCAGAATACTCTCAACGGTCACAAACTCCCTCCCCTTATACTATTTCATCTCTTACTGGCCTGACCTCTTTCCCACCTGGAGAAACCATTCGAGCACCCCGAGCACCAAGTAAATCGTCTTGGTCTCCCTTGTTACCTACAAACCAGTTCACTTCGGATTCGAACATCTCAAGATGCTCAGATCGCACAAGACCGTCGTCTTCACCGCCTACAAACTACCGCATATCACCAAGCGATGCTCACTATGAACTCTACCAACTACCTTCATTTGACACATCTATGCAACCCCGGATATCCATTCCTTCAAACCACCGCAAATCTAATTCACAACAACTTACATAGCATTACATTCATGATCACGCCCCCCTCGTCTTTAACGTTAACGAAACTGCTTTGTATCGATACTACTGTAGCTGTACGCTTAGATGTTCAATGGACTGCCTTGGATATTATTACATCGTTTTGCGGGATCATCGTGGAGAAGGGAATTCAAAGTTCTGATTGATGTTATATGTCCGAACAGGTCATATTATCTCCATCAGGGAAACGTAATTCATTACACATGATTACAGAGTGCTACGAAGCGCTCCGTAGCACTCTGTAGCACGATCTAACCCGCTGATGTCGTCCAAAGGCTATCAGTCCATCAGCGGTCTGGAGATTTCCTCATTACGTTTAGAATTTTCAGTCGTGCAAATCCCCGCCGGATGTCAGTACGACACATTCGGTATTCTAGCCATAACATATTTCCAAAGAAACAATTATAACAAGTTAACGTGATAGTTGGTCGAGAACAAAGATATATTCGGGGTGATCACATATGAAGCATCTCCAAGGAGTGTATATCTGCAATGTGTTTCAGCTGATAATTTAAATAATCAGTAATGTTCGAGTCCAGACGCATTAGCAAGCCACAGCACTTATGCAACGATGCACGAATCGTTGGCTTTTATGTCAGTCTTGTCCATCAACAAGTGGGTCCTGGTCCTCAGATCCTCAACTTCCACTTGCAGAGCCCTCGATTTCTCCCTTTCCTCCCTCCGGAGTTGAATAAGGATAGGTAAGATATTCCTAGCGCTATTCCAAGGATGAAAACGTTTTGTTATCTCCACCCGCAAAGAATCATCAAGCAAACGACACGAACGGACACCAAACGATGTCCAGGTTACGCCAACTTCGAGTTTGCATTTGGGTGGACACAGGTGACTCAAAAACGCAGCGACGGCTTCCGGGTCCTGCGCTCGTGACGTTCCTACAGACAAGAAACAAAGGGCTGCAAAGGGCTTCAATTCTAGCGTGGGAGGGATCTTTGAAGGGTTGGCATCAATGAAAAGACCTAGCCGGCGCAGTTTTGGGCAGTGGAGGGCAAAGGGGATGAGAGCTCGCAAATCAAGTGTAAAATCGTGCATGATAAGTGGTTCCTCATTCAGAGTTAGACTCTCGAGAGACGGCCACCGGCATGCAAGTTCCTCGATCTCCTCCAGAGTAATGTTTACCGGGTATTTGTGCATGACCTGGAATGTACCAAGATTCGGGAACGAAAGTAGTGGTGCAAGTGTGTTGAACGTGATTTGCTTTGCGGGGACTAACTCCGATTCTCCAGCGACGTAGTGCGCCAGTAAGATGTACAATTGGGAGAGACCGCGGCATCGCTCTGAAAGCATAACGAGCAACGTGTGTAATTCTTCGGGTTCATGTTCAACATAGGTGTTGATGTATAGGGATGTGATATTGATGGGCGCAAAGTCCGCATTCATGAATCGCATGACATGTTCAATGCGAGCAGTGACGGCCAGGTCCCACAGTGCGGGAAATGCTCCTTCCTCAAGGACAGGAGCAAAGACGTCCACATCCTTTTCTTCACCAAACCCTTGCTCATGCCCATACTCGAATTGAACGATGTTGATGTGCTTCATCCGCGAAAGCTCAGATACGATGCTCGACGTGAGGAAAAATTCGGGGAAAATGATCGTTTTCAGATCCGGAAGACTTCGAAGAAGTTCTAGGATGGCCGTCTCAATGTGTTGCACGCGGTAGGGAACACGGAGATCAAGTGAATGGAGGCGTGGCGCACGGACGCAAACATCGAGAAAAAATGAAACTTTATCTTTGTGGCGTAAAGGAGGCGCAGATATAATGAGGTGCCTCAGGCGCTGATGCATGAATAGTGTGGCTCGTTCCATGCAGTCGACATCTTCGTAGATCCACTCCAAAGTATGCAGGTTCGGAAGCATATCGAGGGTTGTCCTCGTCCTGGCCATATCATCGAGCAGGCCAGAATAGTCTATGTCTGTGTCCTGCTGAAATCGCAGAATGCGCACGCGGTTGGCATACCTCTGGAATCTTGTCCAGTCCCTTGAGTCTGGCAGTCCATCGAAGAACTTGATATCGAACCAAAAACAAAATGAACAGGAGAATGGTAAAGAAAACAGGATGACGCACGTTGTACCGTCCCGTTATCTTGTATGGCCTCAAGAGAGTAAGAAGCCTGGAAAGACCGTCTACCTCTTTCCAAATGATGTCCAGAGCAATTTCTGACCATTGCTTGCAAACACACGCATTGTTCACATAGTCATCTTCGTCCACAAAGCTAAAGATGATTCCCAGTAACTCCGGAATAAACAGCACCCTGTGAGGCTGCATGACAGACATGAAGGACGCTAGTATCTGTAATTTTTGTACATAGCAGACGAGGCTTGTCAATCTCGGCAAGTCCCGCCAAGAGTTCCTTGCTTCTGATTCCTGACTCGGATCGTCGCTTATGGCCTATTAACCCTAGGGCTACACAAACACAGATGACAGACGTTCCCGCTGTCTCTACTTTCTCGGCCTCAGGAGAGGATGCGATTACTCGCACCATAGAGTTGAATATAGATTCATCTAATACGCAAAACATAGCTCCGTCCGACTTCCTTGAAATTTACGAGATCGAACGAACAGTAGCTGCGATCGTAGAAGGGAACTTCAAACGAGTGAGATCGATCCATCCTGCTTTACCAAGGCTGATCATAGCTCATACTAGCATAGATAGCTCTTCAGTTTCCTGATGAACTTTTGTGTCATTCTGTCCCAATCTACCGTCTACTCAAAAGTAAAGCAGGCGAGGGCCATGACATCTACGTTTTAGCCGACACTTCCTACGGAAGGTAAGTCTCTACTCGGTGAAAAAGGCATATTTTGACCCGCTTCGAACTCCAGTTGCTGTGTTGACGAGGTTGCGGCACAACACGTCGATGCAGACCTAATCGTCCATTACGGCCACGGTTGTTTAAGCCAGTGCGTGCCCGAGACTCATCCCCGATTGAATGCAATGTGATGTTCTACTATAGGCCTTCTAGGCTGCCTGTAGTCTATGTCTTTGGAAAGAAGCCTATTGATGTCGATGATTGTATCGACCAACTCGGTCAATGTTTAACGACTCAATTACAGCAATATACAACCAGTAACAGTAATAATGGACCGACCGTTTTACTTCGCTACGATGTTGGATATTCCTGCCGTGCAGGTGATTCAAGTTTCTTCTTGAGATGCTGCTATGCAACATAATCTTACCAGTAACGCAGACGTGATTGCCCATAGGCTGCAGAATGAACTGCAGAGCCTGAATACTAGGGTCTTGCACGACCCACTTCCAACTAGGCTTGATCCTAAGACCACCGTGCAAAGTTCCAAAACTTCCGAGCAGACTGGTGCAGAGTCCAATGAAGATGGTTTCACGAATGTCATTATCGCATATATTGGTGGCGAAAGCCTCAACCTTACAAATTTATTGATCACGCACTCTCATTGCGAGGTAAATTGCCATAATATTATCTGATATTGGCATCTTATGAGTCTTTTCAGGTGTATGCATACGACCCCTCTACGAGATCGGCTCACTTGCAATCGCATAGGACTAATAAATTGTTAATGCGACGCTTCGCGATGGTCCAGAGGGCACGAGATGCAGATGTTTTTGGTATCCTTATAGGCACTCTTGGAGTTAGTTAGTACTTTTATTTCTCGTCATCTTTGTAATCACTAACATACATCACTAGCATCATATCTACCCCTCATTGCCCACGTCAGAAAGCTTCTAGCTCGCGCACAGAAGAAAAGCTATACGATTAGCGTCGGCAAGCTGAATCCTGCGAAGCTCGCGAATTTCATGGAGATCGAGTGTTTTGTTTTGATCGCATGTCCTGAAAATAGTGTGATAGATTCCAAGGTTGGCCTGCCTTGTGGAAGTCTACGAATCACTCACTCTGTGACGCAAAGGAATTTTTGAGACCGATCGTTACCCCTTTTGAACTCGAGGTTGCACTTCAAGCTGAAGGCACTTGGAGTGGGCGATACGTGCTAGATTTCGAGAAAATACTCGCTGGAGACTCTGAAAATGATATTGGTACGCTTCCAACAGTGTTGTGGTATAACTCTTTATACATGGCATCTAGGCACCCCTACTGAAGATAATGGGGGCGATTCAGATCAACCGACTTTCTCCTTGATTACTGGAAAATACCGACAAGCAAAACGCTACGGCGGTAAGCACGATCTCTCGACGTACTTAACTGCATCTTACATCCCAAAGCTGAAGGCAATGAGACCCTAACCGAGGAAACGTCAGCTGCCCTTACTCTCCGAAACCAAGATGGTGCTCTCTCAAAATCAGCTGATAGTGCGGCAGGTGAGTGATCTGCTGTCGTATGATGCTCCTCGTATAATATGTGGCGCAGCATTGTTTCTTCACTCCCGCTCCTATCAAGGGCTAGAAGCTAAAATTGGAGAAGATTCTCCATCTGTCCTAGAGCAAGGCCGCAGTGGTATCGCTCGTGGTTATTCTGATGATCATTCATAAATATGTCGGCATTTTGAATAATTTCGAGGAACGCTGTGGTATCCCTCGAACTGTTTCGAGAAGTTACAATGCTTTGTCATCGAAGAGAGTTTCGAGATCAAGGACACCGGTCGTATCATATTAAGTTGTTATCTGACGAGAGATTCAAGAGCTCAGCTATTACTGCTCAATTAAACAGCAGGACCGGTGTTTGAACATGATTGACTGTGAAACTCCGTGGTTTGTCGAGGCCATGTCCCGAGGAACCACAGTGTCTCAGGCGAGTTCCTGATCATGTATGAACTCGGATGTCTCATGTTCCTATGAATTGCTTGTAGTGTTTGCTATCTACAAGCTCATCGCCGGGATGCTTTGTTAAATCATGCCAAACTTTCAAATCAGTAGAAGGAATGAGTGGAGTGAGCGTGGTATTGGAAATGGTGTGCGTTAGAAGATAAGGAGAAAGATGTGTTAAGCATTAAAAACCGATAACTTGAGCAATCTAATTAGTCCTTTCGATGTTCAAGATGACCTCCGGGACCCCATCAACCCCTTTCTTCTGCGCTGTAAAATAATCGGACAGCGGCGAACAGGGAGAGGAGGTAAAAGTAAATATCCACTTTCACACTGCCATCGACCTCGCGATCTGTGCCAACTGCTCCGCCATCTCGGGGTAGTTGCGTGTGAACTCCAACTGTGCCGTACTTGCCTGTAAACCGCCTGATTAGATCAGAATAAGCAGATGCGCTCACATCGACTCACATATTGGTATGTAAGGGCATTAATCAGCTCTGGCTCACTGCGCGCCAGTTCCGCTTGCCTCTCGAACATCTCAACAGCGCGGTCAATCTTGCCCTGTTGCAATGACAATTGGGCAAGCGTGGCGACTGCAGGCTCGCACTCAGGATCAATTCTCAAGGCTTCATCGCAGCACCGTTCCGCAGCAGCGATGTCTTGTTTCCATTGGTAGATGGCAAGGCCCTTGTTAACAAGAGGGAGAACGTTCATCGGAGGAGGTCTGGTTGAGTGGAAGTAAGTCGATGTATTGGAGAGAAAGAGAAAAATCATACTTAGCACGCTCGAGCTCCACAGCACGATCAAACTTATCAACGGCATCCACGAAACGCTGTTGATCCAACAACAGCTCGCCACTGCCAAGTCATTAAATGAAAGTTATCATCGAATGTAGCTACTCACTAGTAGTTCTGAGGCTCGCTCCTCTGAGGGAAATTTGTCATCGTCCGTCGGAAAGTCGCCATACTGCGCGCGAGTTCACCCATCTTGTACAGGGCGACGGCAAGTTGGATATGCGAGAATACAAATGTGTCATCAAGCTCGCTGGATTTGGTGTAGTTGTCTGCGGCATCCTTAAACTCATTGGTGATAAAGAGAACTACGAATCTATGAGTGACGGTTGGCCATGCAGAAAACAAATTGCTCACCTTGTCCACGGTGGTAATAGATGTCGGGGTCCTGGGGGTTGTGCTTGATCGCTTCCTCAAAACACTCAAAGGCCTTCGTACCCTCGCCTTGCTCCATGTGTACGCTCGCGATCTTCACCCAGCTTTGTGTCAAGGAGGGATAGATTTTGACGGATTCGTACAGGTCATCCTTAGCGCCAGACACGTCACCCATAAGGAACCTATACAAAACTTAGTCGGTGCATTTCAGAGTAAGGAGCAGCTGACTTGAAAGTGCCGCGAAGGTTGAGAGCTTCGGCTTTGCCAATCTCCCATGAAATACCCTGCTCCATTGCCTCATTCACGAGCGAGACAGCGTGCGCATAGTCGGCAGCTGCTAATGCTTGCAATGCGAGTAGAAGAGTATTATCACCAGTTGATGGGTTCTCCGGGAGTGTGGGCAGGGGTCCTGTGCAAGATTAGCTTGCAGAGATAAAAGTGATGGAAGTGAATGTACATACGGACACGGAATGCCGCAAAGTAAGCTGAAACAAATGTGAATGAGGGAAGTCGAGGTTCGCGTGTCTAAACGCCAATGAGTAAGTATGTATCAGTGATTCCCGCATTGTCATACTCACGCTAAGGATGACAGCAGCTTTCTCGGTGGCAATCTTCTTCAAAATGCGTTCCACAGCCTGTGCAGCCGACTCATTTTGGAATTTATCCAAGATAGTAGCAGCAGTGAAATCCCGCAGAGCCTCCTGGTTTCTGGACAAGGATTCAAGAGCATTGGCACGTCTGTTCAGCGCTTTTACATAGCTGGCATCAGCGCGCAACGCTTCATCACAGTCCTGGACCACCAAATCATACTTAGGGGGTGTCAAGTTCATGTAACCTGATAAGCGAGTAAGACATGCGTCACGGTGATATTGACGGGAGGAACGCACATGCCGCACGGTTGCTGTAGTACACGGGCTCTGATTTGGTTGCCACCTGGATTGCACGCGTATACATGTCTACTGCCTGCTGGAACTTTCGGTTTTGGTAAAGCGTGTTACCTCGTGTCTTGAGTGTACCTGCCAACGTTGTGCGCTCCTGTGAAATTCTTATGTTGAAGTGAACAGATAAAGTGCGCATCGAAAGTACTGACCTCCACTGACATTTTGGCGATCTCTTCCACTGATAGTGCATCCTCTATTTGGTGGTGAGCACGAGCTTCCAAATTGTAGTAATACTGACCTTCGTCAGCAACTTTTGGCTTTATCTCCTCAAGTAGGGGGCCGTCTGAATCATTGACGGTCTTCCTCTTCTTTGAAGACTTCTTTTTATCCCTCGCCTTACCCTTCTCCAAGTCACCACCTGGACCGCGCGAAGTGGAAGCATAGTAAATGACACCTCCAACAGCGAGCGCGGCAGCAGCTGTTCCTATAACAACCACCTTTTTATTTTCAGCCACGAAGTCCTGTATTCTCTCGAAGTAGGAGGTTGAAGAGGTAGTAGCCATGGTGGAGGAATAGACAGACGGCAGTGACGCGCAAGAATGTTCGGCTTGAATATAGCTACAACCAAAATTTCCAAAACATCGTGCGAATTTTACGTCATATGTATTGCAGTCGACCCCCCGCATGCCTTTTTAGAACCCTCTGGAGTCTGCACTGACCAACTCTTGCGTATCTGGCCAGTCATGCGTGGATATCATTTATGAATGTCGCACTGAGTCTATCGATTAGGTCGCTGGCAGGTGTGTTCAAGTTGTAATTATAACTTGGTCTTCCCTGTATGTGGCTTGACTCAGGCTATGGGTGACTAGCAATTCATAGTCCAGCATTCGGTTTTCGGGATCGGCCCCCCGACCTCTATCTTGAGCTTGTCTCCTACTGATAATTAGTAAGGAGCAATTTAATTTAGGTCGTGCGTACCATTTCTCACTGAATCTCACATGTGACTTCCAACCTGGCGCTCAACGTCAACTCTCACCCCCATTCTTCGACATTATTTAACTGTCATCGGTCATCAGTTGACTCTTAGATACTTTATTTGCTCCGGTTATCGGTGTAGACCATGTCTTCATCACCGCCAGTGCCCCCCTCGGCTGCGGGAGCTTCTCAAGTTGGGGAGAACCCACTTCCAAAACCTCCGGCTCCGGTCATGAATTTCCCAATTTCCCCAATTCCGAAGAATCCACTTGGAGAAGGACGGTACATCAAGACTGCTGCTGCTCTCATCATTGGGTATGTCCCATCTTGTGTGGTAAAGCACACAGCTAAAGTTATGGCGACACTATAGAGACGAAATCCTGAATGGGAACACGTTGGACCGTAACTCGAATTACTTTGCGCGCTTCTGTTTCGAGAATGGTATTGAGCTGTGAGGATTTCTTTAGCATTTCCATCCCCACTTATTTCATGTGCAACAATGCAGCCAGAAAATTGAGGTGATTGCAGACGACGAGCTCGAGATGTAAGTCAGTTCGTCCTTGTCATCATCAGAAGAGATAACATGGATTTTTAGTATTGAGGCTAGCCGAAGGATGGTCCAGAAATATGATTTCGTCATCACCTCTGGTGGTATAGGGCCCACTCACGATGGTATAGTGCATCAACCCCTGTTATGACAATCGGAGGTCTGAATGCCTCCATTTCGAGATATCACATACGCCTCGCTCGCAAAGTCTTTCGGACAAGAGCTCAAATACCATGATGAAACTATCATGCGTATGGAAGAATCCAGCCGACACCGCACATGGATCACGCAGCAGAGCGAGGAGCAACGCACCGCTCGTAGACGTATGGCACTATTTCCGGAAGCTGGCGAGGTCCTTTTGGTCGCTAGCGACATATGGGTTGTGTGTATTCCCATCTCTTTGCGTGATATCGTGCACTAAGATGGATTTTCAGCCTGTTGTTCGACTGGAAGGCAAGCTATGCATATTTCCAGGAATCCCATCACTTTTCCAGAAGCTTTTGGACAACTTGAAGCCTTTCTTGCCTTTGCCCACGGAAGATGCGCGTCCCTTCCGGCTTCAAGTCTTTACTCCGTAAGTCATTGACGTTATTCCTGCATCGCTGCTGGATCAAGCTCCTGATGATCCTTGAAGACTTCCGGAATCGTCCATTGCGCCATTCCTTACAGCTCTACAGAATCGCGTTAAGCCTGAGAATATCCGGATAGGCTCTTACCCACTCCTTCAGCCAGGGGCACACATTGCACTAATTGGATTGGACCGTGAACGTGTGAAAGAACTTGGGTTGGAGGTGGAGAAAGAGTTGCAAGGACGCATACTGAGTGCGGAGGAGACCGAGGCCATGATCAAGGTAAAGAGGCAGTGATGTAAGCACTATTATATGCGTAAGGGATGCACAATCACCTTAGTGGTGTGAAAAGCTCGAAAATTGGCAGGTTCTGGACCCTTTGGTCGACGCTGCGGCTTCAATTCAACGTCTCCCGCAAGAACGTCTTTGAGCAGCACCAATTTGTCTTAGTAACAGCCATCATGTTGTTCTTTGCGACACCTGTGTTCGTCATGAGTTGCAAGGCCTTGACGAGACACGACAGCAATATATATTTGCCTTGCTAGATCTGTGCCAAGCCATAGGAGTTAACGTCAAGTCATCAGCCAGTGCGGGAATGTGTAGCGCGGCTCACACATGAACAATTGGTGGTCCCAAGACGGTACTACCGTACGACAGAGGAGTAGTGTAGCACAATGGAGCTCTGTAGTCTCGACAAACCATGCCCTGCTGCTAAAATATGTCTTCAAGGCTGTTTGGCAACATTGTCAAGAGATGATGGTGGCCGGGAGGAATCTGAGGTAGATCACAACTGAGGTAGATCACATCACGTATCAGCGACATCAGGCCTAGGTAGGTATGCATATGGCAATATGTATGTGACGGTTGCAGTAGAGTATAGTGGGTGACGATGGCATGTGAAATGGAGAAACCTGATACTATGGCGTAAAATGCTCAAAGCTTCGTAACCTCCGAACTCTTTGAGTCAGGCCGGCACTGCTGCTCCAGTTTAACGTCTCCTGCAAGAACGTCCCTGAGCAGCACCAAGGCTGCCTTTGTGAAAGCCATCATGTTCTTCTCTCTATCTGCGACACCTGTGTTCACGACACGAGTCGCAAAACCTTCATGAGACACGACGGTAATACATGTTTGCCCTGCTCTGCAAGTCGTAAGAATCAATGTCGAGTTATCAGCGACATGGAGAATAGTGAGGCCCACATATGGACAAACGGCGGTCCCGGGACAGTGGGACCTGTAGCACCCGACTCCCCGATGCAGTACGTGACATCCATCTGTTCCCTGACGTTCGCTGCGAGCTCTGTGACGAGTTCCGGTGTGGGCCCACTAGGCAGGACAGTCCATTAGCAGCCGGTTGACAGTAATGAGCCACTGCGATAAACAAACATGTAGTTCACCAAGTTCTCATCGGTCCAACCTGCCCAAGTCCTCCGTGACTTTGTGGTGTACACTGTCGCTCCTCCCACGAAGAACTTGCTCGCTCCAGATACAGAAAGCAGGGAAGCTGACACGAGACCACCCGTTGTGGTTTCCGCCACTGCAAGCGTCGACGAAGTCGACCTCAGAAGCCCGGAAATCTCAGTCAAAAGAGGCTTAAAAGAGACGGGAGGGAAAGAATAATCCTCTGTAGGTTCCATTAGAGATTCTCAGCTAACATGTTTGCGTGAGCGATTATCATCCCCATGCGGAGTCACAATTGTTTTGATCGTTACATAGATTTGGACCAACTACACACTCATAGTTTCCCCTAAGACTTTGCTCTGTTCAAACGTTCAACGTTCAAAGTTAATCCAAACTTCGCCACAAGTGCCAGCAAAAGCTCCACCGCATAATACCGACACCCTACATTAATTGTGCTGCGTTAACCTTTGTAGTGAATTTCTGAAATAAATGAGGTACATCGTGATGGTGTTTTGAGTAGGTATGTATGCGATATCCATCTACAGTAAACAGCTGCAATAGAGTAGCTAAGAGAGCAGGTAGTAATAGGGATATAGATGCATGGTGTGATTGAAATAGTATGATTATTCATGAAGTCTTGAGGGAATAGAAATAAAATTGCCAAAAGCCCAAATAACGAAGGATCCACGCGAGAAAAGAGGAAGGATGAACGGAGATGAGAGAAGAGCCAAGTTACCGCTCGCCTCTTCGCTCATCAACAACGACTTCCACCCATCTAAGCAGGGTATCTTGGAGCATCGTTTCCCACCCCTCATCCTTGCGCGCAACGAGGCGAGGATCGAAGATGATCGGGGGTTCTGTGGAGGGGAACCGTATCTTCGAAGGGGAGTTTGCTGGCGTGCTATGTGAAGGCTTGAGTTGGTGATCTATCTGGCTGGGTGCGGAGGGTACGATCATTGGTAGGAGATATCGAATTTTTAGTGCGCTAGATGGATGACGGGCTGACATCAAGAAATGCAACCTGGAGAAGAGAAAAAAAACTTACGCAGCCCACAATCGAAGGTTATCTGTTCGTCTAAACGTCCAGCCAGTCTTACTTTTTTCTTTCTCGTCTTCCACAGCTTCCAGTGCCACGATATCATGGATAGAATCGGGCGAAATAAAACCCCAGGGCTTACGTGACCACCGGACTCCGGTGTTGTATGCTATGCACAGAAACTGGCCGGACGAAAGTGCGAGAAGGAACGCGTTTCTATCTGTCGCAGGTGGTAGCAACGAACAAAGGTGTTCCGGAAGCAGAGTGTAGATGAGGGCATGTGCTCGGCCTGCCAGAACTCGATTAGCTTTGGGAGAATTAAGTAATTAAAGGACCAACCCAATGGGTGTTCAGCAAAGGATCCACGCATCGCCCACTCGGGTAAATCATCTTCATCCACGCTTTCCTCCTCAGAAAGAGTTGTCATTTCCTCATTCTCTTCCATCATGGTAAGTCTCTGCATTGAATCTAGCAAACCGGTCGATACCACCCGCCTGGACGATGGAGGCGAGGACGAAGACCGAAAAGGATCTGCGTCACCCGCGCTAACGCGCCTACTCTTCAACCGGCTCTCTTTCTCTTTCTTTACAAACCTCTCGTGTTCTCGTTCCCAGCCTCTTTTGCCCTCTTTGACTTCTCCGAATAGAACATCATCTACCACGTCCACATACCGCCGCACGACTTCCTCCTCTTTCGCTAAGTCAGTCAGCGTCATGTCTTGCTTGTACAGCCAGCCCCCGCCCAGTACCAAACGGTCGTCCCAGTGATGTCTCTTTTCCCCTTCCTCTTCATTCATGATCGAGTCATAGTAGTCATCCTCCCACACCGGCACGGATTCCTGTCGACCTTGTACGTGCACGAAAGAAATCGACATGTCTGGATCTATAGGAAGGTCGTGATCGTGATCATGAGACATGTCTGAAAGCGCAGCGGGTGATGCCACACGCGATGGTGATGTACCACCGTGATCAGGAATAGAACCGTGATCGCTTTGCACGTCATAAGCTTCGTCGGATAGAGGTACGCGTGAGCGTTCTTCGAGTTCGCGAAGAACAGCCAAAACTTCCAACGCAGACTTGCGGATAAGTGACAGGGGATCTGCCTGGGCTTTCTGGTGCGGTGCGTTTCTTTTCGGGTGGGGTGAACTTGCCGTGACCTTGTTGCGGTACTGGCTGCGGAGAGTTCCAGCGGAATCGTCAGGTAATGTGATCACGTAGTTGCGCACTGAACGAATGGCGCGCGTGGTGATCTTGAGCAAGTTGAGAATATCCAAGCGATCTCGGGGAGTATTGGACGTGTGCGGGCTAAGGAGATCAGGATCGCGTCTCGGACCGTCATTTTTACTACTTGACAAGCCCCACGCGTCTGCAACAACCATGAGGTCTTGTACGACGCCTGGAAGGAACGCTTCAGGGTCCGTTTCATATGTCTTCACAAACGGAGGGAAAGCCGGCTGCTGGATCTGCGGAATAGTTGGTGATGGGGGCAACTCAAACTCCAATAGACTGCCTAATGACGCTTTAGCGGATTTTGCTGCAGAAATTCCACCAAGAGCTGGGACGAGTTGATTGCTAAGCTTCTTCGATGGGCTTGACATAGTATGAGCAAAAAGTCGATGTGAGAAAGAAATACACACTTGGGCTTGGCGACGATGCCTGTCTTTGTGAAATAGTGCTGAAGATGTTCTATGCTTCCAAGTGTCATGACGCTCTGACGTTTTGCTGCGCTTCTGCTAAATGGCTTCACTGGTTTGTTGGCAGAGTTCATGTTAGGGTAGAAAGCGGTCGAACGACGCGTTTTCAAGTTCTTGACTGCTGCTTCTGCATGACTTTGAGAGTCTGTAGAAGCTGAGCCAGTGTCATCCGGCGTCAGTGCTGGTGGTGTCGATGGTGGAGAAGACGAAGCCATGTCTACATACAGAAAACAAGACAACGAACGACTGACTGAATGCAAAGGCAGAGCTACAAGCAACGCCCATACGGCCAAAAAAGGAAGGTGGTTAAAAATGGGGGTTGACTTTTGGGGGGTCGAATTTTAAGTATCATAAGGACTCCATCCTACAATGATGAGCATACATGGCCCATGCAAAGGACAAGTACTACTGGGCTCAACTAAGGGCTGCTCTCACTGCAGGTCAATGGTCGTCTCCTTCACCAGGAACAGCTCAAAATGGCTCCCCATTGTCTTGGTTTCATATACTGCGCAAGTTCAACAAACACTGTAAAGGTTTCCAAGACGTGGCAGAGGTCGCATCACAAACTCAAGCTCTATTCTTACTGCTCGGAGCGGACACACAGAACGTGGACCAGCTAGGTCTAGAAAATGATGACGAGTTCGTTCTTGGCGACGAGTGTCTCTTACAACCGGAGCGGATAGAGGAGGCTAGAGGCGGGTATGAGACATTAAAGAGTTTGGACAGCAAGAATTCCGATGTAATTCATTTTCCATCCCTATTCCATGCAATAATAAAGATGGTCCCATAGTCTCTTCATCTTGCACTTGCGCTCTACGCGTATGCCCTCGGCCAATTCTCGGAATGCCTTTCGTACTTGTCCAAAGTACCAAAGCTGCTCGAGGCGCAGAGTCATATACCTCCATCTTTCACCACTCGTTCAGATAATTCCGCACTCCAGATACCTGGATCAATCGCCGAAACCTCATCTTCATGGACCGGTAGTTTTGTTTCTGCTGACTATCCTGGTTCGACAGCTGACATCAAGGATGGGAGAGCTTGGGCAATCACTGAATCTATAAGGAGCACATGTTTACAAGGTATGCCTTTCCATCACTTACTTCACCGCATTGACATTCACTCCAATAGGCATGTGTTGTGAAAAATTATCACAACCCAAGAAAGCCATTCAAGCCTACTCATCCGCCCTCCAACTTCTGAGTAATATCGAGTCCGAGATACCACGAACACTCGCTGCCACGTATTCATCTCCCGCTTCATTCGACAACTACCGCGAGCTGTGGCGCTGGGCAGAACGTCTCATGTTCAGGGCGATATCTATCCTTTCGCGGTCTTGCTGTCTGGATGAGAACGATGGCCTTATTTTGACCATGTTCACCCATTATCATGCTTGCAGCGCGCATTGGCCGGCGACATTTCGCACAGGTCACCGCTCCACAGTTGCAGTCCTCCACCTCCGAGCGCTAATCATCCAACATCAGACGTCATCAACTTCAGCCCCTAACTTGTCACTTCAATCAGCAAAACCACCCCAATGGATAAGTACTGCTCGTTCAGTCATCCATGAATATCGCACAATTCTAGGAGCTTGCACTACTTTCCCCAAGGCTGGTGAACGTAACGTCAAAGTGGAGGATTTTGTAGACTTGTGCGTGGCAGTGTGGGAGACCAATGGAACCATGTCTGACCCTGTCCGTTGGGTTCTCGATGTAAGATTGCGTTGGCTGGATTTCTATCGGTTCACTGACCCGATATAGATGCTCTGGTGGGCTACCCGCCTCACCTTCAACTCATATCGTATTTATCGACACATGACACGACTACTTTCCATTTCCGGGGATGCGGAGCTGGCTAAACGCACCCTGAGGTTATACGTTCAGGTTGTTTCGAAAGCACGGGAAGCAGGAGTGGACAATGACTTCGACACGGATCGTCATTGGGTTGAGACGCTTATCGATGGTGCCCGGATGCTTTGTCGTCTTTCCATTTCACGCCAAGATGGTATCGACGATGCCAAGGAGGCAGGGGACATGATCGAAAAGGCGAAGACGAGGCTGGATGAGGATGACAAGGAGATGGTGGCGAGAGTCGCGCTGGCCGAAGGCGTATGTTATACAACACTGGCAATAATAGGTAGGTGTCTGTCTATTCTGATATTTCTATATTCCATGACTGAATCTTATGTTATATCAGAACAGGACCCCTACACCCGGCAGGCTCGCCTAGGTCGCGCCCTCGCCGCCTACTTGAAGTCTGTTGCGATCCACCCCACACCTGCTGCACACCATCAGCTCGCGATCGCACTTTCTTTCCCTGGAAGTTCGCAAAATTTGGACGAGGCGATCGTGTCCGCTCGTGCATCCGTTGAAGACGATGCTGATGAGATTCGACATTGGCATCTTCTCGGTCTGTTACTTAGTGCTAACGGCGAGTGGGAGAAGGCGGCCAGTGTTTTAGAAGTGGGCGCAGAACTAGACGAGAGGAAGCAGGACATGGAAAGTCCAGCTAGACTCGACGCGGAAAATGACATCGTGGTGAAAGAACCTATAGCTGATGGTATCCAGGCTCAAGACTTTGAGTTAGACCATCAGCATGCACAAGTGAAAGGTCATTCAAAACTCCCATCTGCACATCTACCGCTGAATGATGCTGATGGTACGACATCTGAGCACAAGAGGCTTCTTGATCCACACGCAACCACTATACCACCATCTGCCACTCTCCTCCGACCATTACCCAACCATCCATTGCCTTCTCCCCGTGACGCATTTGATTACGCCCTCCAGCTCAGAATGACGCAGATGGCACTCGCCGAACACATAGAAGGCCCTGAGGGTGCAGAAGGGCGGTGGGTTGATGTATTTGGCTGGGTCGCGGAACGCAAAGGGTCGCCCTCCACTTCGGGGTCTATGACAGAGACGCAGCGTGAGTCTAGGAAGCAAGCTTCCCCTATTCTTGATCCCACCTCGGGCTGTATGGAACTGATTTTATCTGGTTGTGGTTTGTGTGGATCAGCGAGGTCGTCAATAGACACCGGTACTGGCGCCAGGACTACACAAACGTCATCAGTGCTGCATCAGCCATCGCAGGACCCCCTGAATGAAAAAGGTCCTAGTGTAGACCAGCATGGATCTCTGGGTCTTTCCATTGGCCATCAAGACCTCCCATCATCGGAGCTTCCGCCGATCACTGTTACGCCTGCAACGCCTGCAGAGCCGCATCGACGTTTTACACTCAGCGTGGATGAGAAGGACTCGCTGAAGGGTAGACGCTCCTCTTCAGCGGATGGCACTGGTAGGAAAGTGCAACAGATGCTGAAAGCCCGCGTCCATAAAGGGCAGGCAAAGATCAGTACCATTTCGAGGAAACTCGGAAATGGCGTTGTGCGCAACGGAAATTTGAAGAGGACAAGCTCTGCACCAGGTAAACTACTTTTTTGTTCTACCCACCACGCCTTTCTTCACAATCTGTTTTAGACTTTCATGCTGTGCTACAGAACCATAATTACCAAGCGTCGTCAATACACTCCCGCCGCCGGCTGCGTTCTCTGATTCGTCATAATGCAGCTGTCGCACCCATCGAGTCACCACCCGCTCCGCCTCCCCCGCTTCCTCCGGTGAAGGAGGATACACCTATACTCCACGCGACGAGAGACGACAAGCTTATAAGCGACCTTTGGGCCATGTCTGCTGCCACTTTCCGACGACTTGGTAAAATCGAGCAAGCCAAAGGCGCAATCCAAGAAGCAGAAGTCAAAGACTCTGAAAATCCCGCTGTTTGGGTGCAGGTGCGTATATCGCATGTCTGCTATCATGCGTGTTCACTAATCATGACACAGCTTGGGTTATACTACATGGTGCTAGATCGTAATACAGAGGCTTTAGAAGCTTTTCAAAAAGCCCTGTTCATATCGCCTGACGATATCGCTGCATCTGTGCACTTGTGTCGCATCCACCTTTCCACGAAGTCATCGGCCGGCACGGTTGAATCAGATAAGGCTGATCTAGTCGCTGGGCTTCTCGGCCACCTCACCCGAGGACCTGGCTGGGACGTTCCTGAGGCCTGGTACTACTTGGCTAAAGCATACGGGCTACAGGGCCGAAAGGATAAGGAGCGGGAAAGTCTGGCGACGGCTTTGTCTTTGAGTAATCGCAGGAGTATTAGGGATATTGGGCGGGCTGTGGGTTGGTGTTTGTGATTAGTGCATGTGGTCAAGGTTCGAGGCTTGATTTATATATACGAACGTCCCATACAGACATCTACCTATTGCTGACTCTGCACGACAATCATATAGATGATGATCTTTTGCATTCCTGTTAGATGACAGGTTGTATAGACAGTTTACTACTTGGCTTTTGGTTCTGGATCAGAAGGTTTTTCGTGCTCCTCGAGCACTAGAGTTGATTAAGATTTTCTATCTGAAGATCAACGTGTGTTCCAGCGTCTGATATCCGATCTGGTGTGGCTGTACAAACTGTTGACGTTCAACCGAAATACCACTAGTACTTATCATCTCCTCCAGCTACCAAGCAGGCCAAGAGGATTACACAATCCATCTATGTTTCTCGCAATGGGCCCCCGGTTTACATTTACAATGAAAGGGTCTCCATGCACAACATATAATACTACAACTACATACATTCAATCATCAACATCTCACTTCGGACTTTCGGGTCTCAGAGGCCTCCATTCCTCGACTGGTTCAGGGGCTTCAGAAACCAATTGTTCCGATTCGTAATCGTATGAAGCAATCGAGTGATTAGAGGTTGACTCTCCTGAGTCAGCTGCACGAGATCGGGTTTCTGCCTCGGCAGCTGCTGCTTGTGCATGCTGAAATTTTTCAGCACGTTGCAAGCGGTATCTTTTGAAATACTCAGCAGGTGGGAAAGAAGTCGAACCCAGTGAACACGTCAATGGGTCCCAGAATTTTCTAGCCGAATGCTATGTCGCAACCGTCCATAAGAATGTAACTAACTATGCAAACGCGACTCATGACTCATGCGCACCTGTGGACTGTCCTGGGCACTCCTATACTTCGCCTTCAAACATAAACAATTAAGGTGATGAATGTCATTTGGAACCCAGCCAAGCGTTTCTTCTTCTTGGCTGAGGGAGGGTTCACCCAAAGTAGTAAGTGTGTGCTCGTCTTCTGGGTCAGTGGCACTATTGGTGGCATCTGACTCGACGCAATCGTCCTCGAAGAGGCTAAAGTGCGAGCTCATGTGCAAGGGTGTGGTAGATTCAGGCTAAACGACTTGTCAGCAGAAAGAGTACCAGGGAAGATTAATGCCTCACCATTGGATTGCAGACGGGTTAATAGTGAGGAGCCCAACGACGTTCTGTACATTTATACTGCCCGCGTCGTCCGTCTACAAGCATGGACTCGAACTAGTTACTAAGGCTACAAACCACAATGGTTTTTCTCTCTATAGCACATGTAAATGAAGCATTATCCAATCAAAGGGCGGCTATGTAAGTGGCAACTGGCTTGAGCGGAAGCTTGGCAATTGAAACGCACAAACAATCATCAGCAACGCGGTTGTGGGCCAGGGGCCTCCCGTCATGAAGTTTCGGTGGCCTGTTTGATTTATAAGTTAGTTCCAATGGCACTGGTGATAGCCGAGTGACCTCTGGAAGGGGCGCTGTTCCCGTCAGGTGTGCGTATCGCGTGAAGATATCGGTGGGTACTGGGCCTGGGAGTAGGAATACGTTTAGGATCCCGAACTCGGATATCCAGTGCATATCTACGCCGGCTTTCTCTACATGAGCGATATCAATCCACGTTTCCGATGCAAGTTCATTTGAAACAACCACTATAGACGTTGCAGAATGAGCTTGGATAAGCGATAGAGAGAGGTCGGCGAGTGTGAGAGGTATTCCAAAACGTCTGCATTGTAGAGGTAGAAGGGGTCTGTGTATCCTGCGGTGGAGCTTGTTGTGCTTGGGAGGGAGTGGCTCGTGGCATGTTCAGGGATTTTGTATATGTGGCGTGGTTTGTGAAAGTTATGTCGAGCGAGAGCCTGTGGGCGTAATCTCAGTGTTGATGGTGAGTGTGGGACATACTTTGAGGTTTTTTTTTCTGTCTGTGTGGAGAAGGCTTCGTCCCAGAAGGCGTGTTGGGTGTCGCCTTTGAACCATGCTGCAGAGTTGACTTGGAGAACGGATTACCCTTCGCCTTCGATGTATTCAGGCTTCAGCTAGTTTATGCAATAAGCCGCGCTCGTTCAATAAGGCCTGTTCTATGCCACCCCGGAAAGGCGTGATTTCGAGAGGGTTGACAGTCGATGAGGAGCTCCGAGCATATCCGTGGACCGTCTTCGGTGAAGTTCGGTCCCTTCCGTCAATCGTTCAGAAAACATCGTCACGTGATCACTCAATAAAGGGCTGCTATGTTATGTCTGACGTCATGTCGTTTCCCTCCATTCGCACGTGCACAATGCCCTCGCTCGTGTATAATAACATCAAACACGAATTTGACGTTGGGATGAATTGACGAGTAAACGTTCACTCCTGTGATGAACCATGGTTGATCAAGTTCTTGGGGGTCTGATCGAGTATGGGGAGTGCTATGATGACAGGAATCTTTGGAGGCGTGCTGTAAGAATGTAAATTGTACATGTACAAGGTATGGTTATGTCTGTTTAACTGCAAAAATTGTAAATGACCTAGCGAGCAGAGAACCCTTGAATTTCTCCAGCAGGTTGCTCTAGCTAGTGAGGCCTAGTGTATATTTGTGGATCTACTGTTTCAGTAGAACTGATCATCAAAATTAATCATAGGAGCTAAAAAGAGTACCAATCTCTCCCGCGAGATTCACCACCATATTCGTGATGGCTACGTCCTGCAATCCTACGCCCACGCTCTTGAATATAGTGATTTTACCAGCCTGTCTTACCTTGTCGCACAACGCGTGAACCTTCTTGTAGTCAGCATCTGGTGAGTCGTTGTCAAAATGGACTAGCGTTCCGATTTCAACCATGTCCTCTTCATTAAACTTGGCCTTTATGAGCTCCCCAGCCTCAGACGCGCATGCTTCTCTTGAGTCCACCACCACTTTTCCAGCCTGATGTAGCAACTCTGAAGAAACTTCTGCCATTTCAGGCGTGTAGCTCCCAATGAGATTGAGATGCGTCCCTGGAGAAACCCATTTCGCCTCGAAAAGTGGCTCCTTTGAAGATGTAGCCGTACATATGATATTGGCTGCACGAGTAACTTGTTCCAATCGAGCAAGGTCATCCTTCAAAATGAGAGACTGAAATATGACTGTTGGATGAGCTGACTTTAGGCGGATGATAAGGTCAGTCAGTCTTTGATTGTTTGATTTGTTGACTATCGTGCAAGTTTTGATAGTCGAATAGGCACGAAGGTGGAGATCCACGTGCGCCTCAATTTGCTTGCCTGCTCCGAAAGCAAGGAACGTGGTTGGGTCTCGAACAGACAAGAGAAGACGTGTAGCAAGCAGGGAACCTGCTCATGTGTATAATTGATTTCTATGGTTGTCTATCGGAATGGACTGAAAGCGCACCAGCAGCTGTACGAAGAGCTGTTAGTTGCCTCGCGTTCACGATTGCACGTATGCCGCCCGTGGTTTCGTCCAAAACCAGGCTGGAGGCGGGAAGTCCGCCTTGATCAACAGGATGACGCGGAATTGAGACCACCTTGATGCTGGTCCCTAGTACCTGCACTCGTGCGGGCATGAAAAGTGCATTGTGCTGCGCCATAGTGATTGCTTCCCGCAGCGGGGCATCGAAGCCAGAACCTGAGGATAGTGTATGAAATACGAAAGCCATTAAATTCTCAAGCCTGGAGTGGTGGATTGATGATACAATTCTGGATACATCTGCAGCGGTAATGATGAGGAATGACATGGAAGTTTTGGGTGAAGATGCTTGCGGAGTCGCGGACGGCCGAAGATAGACTTGGGCTCAACTTGGGCTAGTCCAAAACTTCGACGGAGGTAGGCGTGATTAAGCTTCATTCAATAGGTCTACAATTGCAATAAGTGGTATATACGAGTAAAGAATAGCATACTAGGTTGACGAGCGAGGAAGTTCGGATACTAGTATTCATAACTTCAGAGTGATACTACACCCATGACGTAGTAAGTGAGATGTCTGTATAAAATTCGTAAGATAAAGATGAGATGGACTTGTAGTTAGTAGGTGCTACCGGCGCCGGTGGCCAGTGCTGGGCCAAAGAATGCCTCTGATAAGAGTTTTGAGACCCTCACGAGAATTATCGTAGAGGTCTCCTTTCTGGTAAAATGTTTCAAGTGCATGCTTGGGTAGTGCAGTGATGCATGCATGTTTAGTATTCTCCGGAATACCGAGGTTTCCGAGAGTACTCAGATTGTCCGACCACCAACTATCCAAAGGATCTTTGAAATTCTCCAAATGGGTAACGACCACTACGATCGGCACACTGCCCGCCATCGACTTGACTTTCTTATAGTTTTGCCCATGCGATTTCTTCAGAAGGCCTCGGCCTCCCGGTATGCAGTATATCAGAAGGTCCCACGATTCCAAGTTTTTCTTCGTTAAGTACTCTTCAAGTTCGAGCTGCCATGTATCCGCTTTCCGAACGAACTTGAAGCTTTTGAAGCTGAACTGCCATCGTCCTGGTTCTCCGAGACCAACTGTGTCATGTACTTGACACATCCATCCATCTTCAAGATTACATTGGTACTCTTTCCCTTCCTTCGTGCATCTGGTTGTGTCGGACGAGGTAGGAGCATTGGCATCAAGACAAAGCATGTTAACGAGGGAGCTTATCCCCGCCCCAGTTTGACCAATGATGGCTACGTTCTTCGACATATCACTCTGAAAAGGTATCAATATCATGAAGACCCCAACTGATAGAAGTGTGACCTTTGCACGCGTAGTAAGCACTGACGGTTCTATAGTTGTGCAAAGAACCGAAATCCAGTGGAAGGTATTGGTGAAGACGAAGGGTATCTGTGGTCTGCCCTTTTAGATGATGAGACGACGTTGGTATTAATACACGCATCTGAGGCACTGGAGGAGTCAATACCACGCCGCCACAGTGTGGCGAAGTACCACGAGGCTGTTCTTCGGCTGCCATCCGCTCTTACTCAACCTGGACCCTCTCCCGACGGAGTCGAGTCTAGACTTAACTTACGTCTGCAGCGAAACTCACTTTGTCTCCCGTCCAGAGTGAACGGTTGAGTTGATCATTATGTTAATATTTCGATCCATCCATCGATGATCGATGTCAGATATCGGGTGCGTCAAAAGGCATTCAAGTTAGATGGCTATATGCGTGTCAGCGGCTACTTCGCTCTCAGAAAACCATCGTATTCTTGATGCATGCATCCAAATCTTCATTAACATATGGTCAACCGATGGCTAATACTGCGCACTCATCATGTGTACTGACGTGTGATCTGGTAATTGCCGCATACTCGCGTGGACAATGAATCTGCTTCCTGGTGTTCAACGTTCAGCTCTGATCGCAACGGTATTCGTTAGAAACAAATAAGTGGCATGTAGTTATATGAATGCCTCGTGCTCACCCAACCCATACCATTCGAATTCTGCACCTTGAAATTCCACTAGTCTGCTTATTACCCCTATAAGGCGATGGTAAATGTAACAAGGATTGATTTTTCCAGATGGCCCGCGTGTCTATAGTACATGATTTGAGTGCAGTACGTAGGCACATCAAGGTATATCACTCGTGTCCGAGGCAGATCTATCCGCACAAACAGCAATCAGCATCGTACACAACACTCGATAATATCACTAGTGGGCGCACCGACCCCTGTGGGTTCTATCCGCTGCATGCGAAACGGCATCACAGTGACAGCCGCTTAAACACAGAATCTAGCATCCGCAACTCCCGTCGTCCTGTGCAGTCGTGTCACGCCCTATATTGATCGTTCCCGGCATGCCGTCCTCTTCACCCCGCTTCCCAAAACTTACACCAGCTTCCGGTGCAACAGGTGCCCATAATTCTGGGGTCTCAAGAATCCGCGCCACCAGCTCCTCGAATACCTCGCGTACCCCTATAGCCGTCTTTGCAGAGGCCTCAACGAAGAGGGCATTCTGACGAGAGGCAAAAGTGGAACCCTCGTCCGTGGAGACTTGTCGAGAGTTTTCCTGGAATGGTGTCAGCGGTTGGTAGGAAACAAGCAACGAGATGGGGAATGTAAGTGACGAAAAATAAGCGAGATTGCGGTGATAATGATGCAAATGTAGTGCGAGCAGGTCACTGAGGTCCAGAGAATAACAAGAGTACGTAAAGAGATGATCAGGGAAAAAGCAAGTACCTTATCGACCTTGTTTCCAACAATAATCTTCGGCACTGTGATTGAGACATAGGTGTCGATTTCCGAAAACCATTTCGGAAGCGCTTCGAATGTCTCGCGGTTTGCTACATCATACACTGTACCACAGCATTATCAGGCCTTCGAACCTTCATCTCATAAAAGCGAGCGAGAACACACCAAGTACGATCCCTTGAGCACCACGGTAGTATGAGGATGTGATCGTACGGAATCGTTCTTGGCCAGCTGTATCCTGCAGAACAGACATCATTATCATACAGATGCAGGGGAAAGAAAGAACCAACGCACCCATATACTGAGTTTCACTTTCCGTCCGTTGACCTCCATCTTGTGCACCTATACCGACTAGGGTAAGCACACGACTTCATTCTCCAATGGGAGAAAGCACGGAATGACAAACGAACACGGAAATCAACGCCTATCGTTGCGCTCGCTTCGTCCTCAGGGAGCCATTGCTCGTCCGAGAAGCGTAGGAGTAAACTACTTTTCCCTACTGAGGCGTTCCCGATTAGTAGAAGCTTGACATTTACGGGTGAGTTAGTGGTAGTAGCAGTAGAGGATTTCTTCATGAGATCCGTTGGAGGCATGATATGTGATTGGGTCGTTGAGAGGAACGGGTCAGCAGGTAGTTGGTAGAGTAATATAAATGTCTTGAGCGGCGATGAATTATGTGTGGACGGCGGCTACTGGGAGGCAACAAGCCTCGTTTGCATCATGCCTCCACTCAAAGAAAGACCTCTCGGCTAACTCCTCGGCGCCTCGAGTTTCATCGAGAAATTGATATGTCGACTACTACGAAATCAATCTATCACATTACACTACAAAAACATGGGCAACAAAAGTTTCGAGAGCTACAACAGTAATAGAGGAATAACGATTCATCTGTGAACTATGTACCTACGCCAGGTTTGTGGCCTGCAAAAATTAGTTCCGTTGGAAGGAACATAATACATCTCTCGTGATATATGGTGCTGCGGTAGTAACCAGACCAACTTTTTCATTCGAAATTTACTGATAAATGAAGTTGTATCTGCAGGCAGTATTCATAAGCATGGAATTCGCCTAGTGCAGCTTGGATGGGCGGTTACCTTGACAGTAGGTGCGGGATCGCGGAGAGCTGGGGACCATATCTGGGGTTATACGACGTTACCAATATGAAACATGCACCCTTAAGCTTATTAAGATTATCAAGACGAACCGTGCAGCGTTGTCATACAGCTCAAACAGGGGGATGGCAAGGAGCTTCATGTTTTTCGGCACGGCAAGGACCTCTAGTGAAGATACAAGTTGAATGAAAAGTATGGCAGAACCGTCTGACGTACTCCGCTCAGGCATCTGAACTAGATAAAGTTTCTTGCACTCCTTTGGCTTCGTGATGTGTGCTGGCACGAATGGATACTACGAGCATGTGTCAGCATCGCTCATTCGCTACAAGGAAGACGAACGCACCATAAACGTCTCAAAATTGGGCCGCCACCACTGCGCAAGACAATCACCGATCTCCCACTCGTTGTCAACGCCATGGGACGCGTTGAATTGCTTGGACTCTACTGGCGGCGCGAGGCGCTCATCGAGGCGTCGTTTGAGTCCGTCAATATCATCCTCGCCCGGTTTAAGGTAGTCACCAGGGCTAGACACACGATTAGCCAATTATAACGAAAGTGTGATCGAATATAGAAACGCACAGCTTGAAGAACGCGTTCGCAATTTGGAGCATTAGGATGTGGGGATGTCCGTGGTCATGCACAACAAGAATTCCTTCAACGGTGCGGCGCATACCGAAGTCTTCATAGTTGTTCTGGAGACGCTGAAGACGTGCAGATACGGAAGGGTCCTCTTCAGGCTGTGCCTCTTTTGTGCTGGTATTCGCAACTTAGAATTGATCGCCGCAAACTCACATCACAACTCACCTAAAGGTAAAGTTCGATAGCGGGTACCTGTGTTAAGTTTTCGTTAGATGTGGCTGGTACATCGTGCAAAGAAAAAATACATGCAGTGCGATGGTGTTGGACATGGTTGTCGAACGTTTGAGCCTCACCAGCACCGTACATTTACATTCAGACTAGGCGTGACTAAATCACAACTCTTATGTTGTCACAGTCACGACGGAACTGAACTATCACAAAATCTCAATGATATTAATACCAATGGTAAGTCGTGAAATTAAATCAATATAGTTTCTAGACGTTGTCTAATGCTGTCTTCAGTCTTTATGGTGACCACTTTGTCCGTCATTAGCTTCTGCCAACTTGTCTGTATATCATCCGCTCCAAAGAGGAGGCAGAAATGGGTGCGGCCTTTTTCCACGAGTCCCTTCTCGTCATCACTTGTCCATCTGTAATCGACAACTCCGAGGGCCAATTTGGATGGACGCCAAGGCATATTATTGCTGGAAACAATGGACACATGATTTATCGTCATATTGGAGGGCAGCCCCTTTGGCAAGAGTGCACATGCATGGTAGCCATCCTGCAAGAAAGGTATTTCGTCCCCGAACGTTGCCTCATGTAACTCAACCATCAGGAGCTTTACTCTCAATCGCCCATCGACGACACTCATATCCTGGTCTCCTCGCAATCCGTAGTGGTCGTGACTGGGATTATAGGATTCGTCCAAATACTGAGCGCTATACCCTTGTGCCGATGGTGGCAAGAACACATATTTGGTGGATGCTATTCCAGCCCAGGCAAGCATATCGCACTCCTGGCTTCTTTGCAGGAGCATTTCCATCAATCTACCAAATGCTTCGTCTCCTATTCCGTACTCCACGTTCATATGCACGTCGAAAAGTGCCAGCAGTGAGTAAGCACCATCCTCTACTAGTCGTGAAGTCCGGCGAGATGCCCACATCAGCTTCTCACGCACTCTCTCCGTCCCCGCCCAATAACACTGGATGTCTTGCACCGGAATTCCGGTGCCAGTGGAAAGCGCAGCCAGCAACTTCCGGTCAGCTTTATCGTTGTCGGCTCGTGTATTGTGAATCGGTCTCCACGTTCGCCCGTAAAATTTGACTCTGACTGGAGCGAGGAGTTCTTGCAAAGTCCAACTTTGTAAAAACCAAGAGTCGCACAGGAAGTCGTCCAATGTGAATGACTCCGCAAGGTATACAATGCAGACATGTGCATTGCGGTACCACCTGAACATCCGCGGCATGGCTTTATTGAGCTCTTCTGGAGAGGAATTGGACCTATCGATACAGCATGTGTCTGCCCAGGCAAAACCACATCCGTACTCCGCTGCCTTCTGACAGAAGTTTGCCAATTTGTGACGACTCGAGGGCTTCCCGAGCTTTGTACTACCCGATGTCATCTCCTGGAGCGTCACCTCTCCTTCGCGGCACCATCTGTGAGACAGGATGGCATATCTGACTATGCCTTTCACAATGTTTCTGATCACTTCGTCCCTTCTCTGATTCGGGTAGAACGTGTGTTGCTCTATATCTTTCTCCGTCACGGCCCTGATGGATGGCATGTATAACTTCTCCACACATTGCTTTTCTACGACCTCCATCTTTGATATCGCGATTAACCGATGCGGGATGCTTTCTCGCAGGTACTCTTGGAATATGCGGCAGACCTCCTCGATAGCCATTTACAAGACCAACGGATGTATCAAGATTGTATGCTGTCGACGGCTTAACAAGCTTTCAACTGGATGCGGGCAGGTGGAAGAAGTTACATGGTAACGAAGGGGTCAAATATATATATAGTCAGACCGCTGGGCTTATTTCATGCATGACAAGGTATGATGCAACTTTAGTCTAAATGCGTTCATACAGTGTGTGAAAAAAGAGGCGTCAGCAGTGAAAATCTATGTAAGAGCAGATGAATGATTCATGCCCCCCGAGTCCTGTAGGAGATAGAGATATGTTACAACGCGAGCGAGCAGACAGAAGGCTAAAGCCACACTGTCGTAACTCGTTGGTACATCTCCCTCTTGGTGCGAATTGTCACAATTTTTTGGGTTTCAACCTTTTGCCACCCTCCATGCGCACTATGAATACTAGATCCAAGTATGAAGCACAAGTAGTCATTTGCGGGTTTAAGTTTTCCAACACCACCACGCTTTCCAGATTCATCAGCTCGGTAATTCACGATAGCGACCGCCCACTGCGAAAATGGTAGGAGGGTAATGTCGCACTGGGCTGTGACGTCAAAAAAGTCCGCAGAGTCGGAGATGAGGCGGATAGTTTGAGTTTTCTTCTGCGTTCCTCCTGGCCGTCGTGGTGCCGGTTGCTGCAGCATCATCTCTACCAGAATAACTTCAAGCTCCAGGCCTCTCTTCGTCATCGTAAAAAAAGGGTCACCAAGCTTGGAGGGACGATCCGTTATATAGCGATTGGGTAAAAGCATAGTGGCAGATGCTTCGTCAAAAGCACAGTACGCCAGAGGAGAACGGGGAATGCTGGCTTGGAATGGGGAATGGGGACCAGCCCACGCCAGTATCTGCCATTCGCGACACGACTGGATGATCGCCTCCATCAGGCGGCGAAATGCCCGCTCTCCTTCTCCATAGGCTACATTCAGGCTGATGTTAAGAATTCCGATCAAGGAATAAGCGATGTCTTCCACCCTTGTTGTCCTCCGCTTGGACGCCCAAATCATCTTCTCGCGAACATCGACCAACCCCGGACTGAAATATAGCAAATTCTGGCGAGATATCCCCGTCACATGAGAAAGAGCTTCTAACATGGAATGGTCTTCCTTGTCGTTGCGCGAACGACTGAGCTCGTCCCAATGTCTGCCATAGAACTTGATTCGTGGAGGGGCAAGAAGCTCCTGAAGCGTCCAACCGCGTTGGAACCATACTTCCTCCGAAAAGTCCGAGATGGAAGAAGAGTCTGCAAGAAAAACTATACATATCTCCGCATTGCGGTACCACTTGAACATGGCCCTGATGGCCTCATCTAGCTCCGCACTGCTTTTCTTGTCGATACAGCAAGTGTCGGACCAAGCGAGGCGACAGCCGTATTCCCTTGCTTTCTGACAAAAGTTGCGGAGCTTGATCAACCCAGGCCTTGTAGACTGATGCTTCCTTTCGACGGACATCTCCTGAAATGTTGGTTCCCCTACACTGAGCCATCTATGAGAAAGGGCTGCATATCTCAATTTCTGTCTGACCACGTCAGAAAGTTCGTCTTTGGATACAATGTCCTTGCAGACGCTGATCAATTCCGGACGGAACAGATCCACCAGAGTCTCACGATCGATAAGGGTAGTTTCATAGTGGTCAGAAATGTATGAGATGACTTGGCATCTCGTTGAACACGAGTTCTGCTGTGACGGTCATTATGTCCGCCTCGGTTGGAGCCCCATCCTAAAAAACTACGACCTTGAGCGAAATGGTTGTGATTTGAGTTTGCTCGGCAGCTGACCTGATCCACTTCCTCGCATGAACTTTCATCCTCGACATCAAACTCCACGCTAGGCCTAGTCAATGTTGTTTGCCAATGCAGCGCCGTGTCCGGTGGGGTGGTACTAGGAAGTGACATGACTTGTTGAATAAGGAAATGCTGCCTCTCGATGCAAGGAAGGAACCTGAAAGTTCGGCTAGTGCCGTTGTACGTCTTGCAGTCTGTTCTAGATCCCGTTCGTTTTTTTCTTAGAACCTCTCTGTCCATGATCAAGCTGAAATCTGCTATTGATCGAAGGCATCCGGATAGCCAAATTAGGACAGACCGGCCCAACGGGCTGAAGTTCCGAGATGGAGTTTTCCTGTAAGCAGTGCAGTGGCAATTTCAAACATATGGAGATACCCTGTGTGACCAGGTGACAATATCCTGGGGCTGTCATGATCACGGTCAGTTGGAGTTTCAAAGTTTGATTCAAAGTTCAGAGTACTTACTCGGATCTTGCAGCTTCTGTTAGATGTCTTCTTTTCGCTGTTGCACGAGGGCAGGTCACCCGGTGCCAAGACTAGTCCTGTTCATCTCTGTACATGCATGGACTTACCGTATGATCTCCCCATTAAAAGAGAAATGATTGATTATCAGTGGCGTGACGCCTGGAAGAAGGTACCCGTAAATCTCGACTTAGGAGGCAACGGCACTGCCCGTTGCAACCTTAAAGGTCACCACATCTGTGTATGGTAGTGCAATTGTACCGTAGCCGCATAAACGACCTGTCAGGTGCTCTCTTTATACATAATTTTCAGAGTCATGAGGTGCTGGTGACCACGTACTATGTCATTGCGCAGGTACCCCTAATATCAATAACGGAATATTCCGGTTTTGGGTCGGTCGACGGTGACTGGCCAATGGGTTTAATTATGTAAATCTGGAATCAGACTCGTTTATCGAAATTATAAAATATTCACAAAACATTGCATAATCTAGTCTGATCCTCGCTTAAACCGTTTCATCCAGAACGACTAGTTGGGTTACTCACATAGCTGAGACTCGAATTCATCATCTGATTCCCGACGTCCGTTTACTCATGTCTGCTAATGCCGGTAGCGACAGATCAACTTCTTCTTCGCGAAGCCTTGGGGATAACTTAGAACCTGAGCATGCGAATGACGCAACCAAGCACGAAATTATACGCATAGTGTCACCACCGCAAGATGATTCCCCTTTGCACAGAGCTGGGTAAGTTTCAATAACAACATAATACGTTATAATGTGGTCGAAACACGGTCACCTGTCCATCATGCTTCTTTACGCATTCAATCTCCTAACTTGTCAAATTCAATTGCAGACTACTTCAACCCAGGAGCTACGTTTCCTTTATGTCGGTCACTCCCCACTCTCAAGACGACATCCGCGCAAGCACCGTCAAGCTTTCCAACATGGTGTTCTCTCCTTCCAGGGGCTCACCCTCCCCCGTGATGCAGAACGTGTCTCCGACTGCAGGGCACATCGCACATTCGTCTTCTCCCTCGACCCACGGTCGAAAGGAAGCCGCACAGCTACCTTTCCCATCTGAGCTTACGCGAAGGAACATGCCTTCACGCGATTCATTCATATTTCCATCTGGTCATAATCTAGTCACGCACGTTGGACCAGGGTCCCTCCCAAATATTCCGTTATCCGCGTCTTTTGCACCCTCCTCACAATATACAAGAAGGAGCTCACACTTCTCAGCCCAGGACTCTGATCTCTCAGCCTCTACTTCCACTCTAGACTCCAAAACTGCCCACCGTGATCTGTCGTCTGGCATGGTAACTCCTCGCGGGAGAGACATGTCTCGTACCACTGTTGTACCTCAGGCTTCAGCACTTTCAGTTTTGCTCTCCAGACATGCTGACGGAGCACCCTCGAGCTCGCCAAGTCCAACAGTATTGCATAAAACTGACAGGCGGCAGTACTTCAATTCATTGGCAGACCCAGAGCAGGCTGTTTCCACAGTTAACCATAATTCTGCGGATCGCACCCTTCTGGCAACTAGCAACGTTCGCCCAGAAGTTTTACGTTTTGTTTCTTCTTCGGCCACAGAAAATACTCCATTGCTTCCTCCTCCACATGGTCCTGTGCTTGCTATTAATGGTCATGCCTCAGCGCCCTGGAAGCGCTCGATGTCCTCAAAACGTTTCTCAAGCCTCATGCATGGGTTTATAGGCGAGACGCATAAGATTGATTCCCAAGAACTAGTGCGCACCGTGTTGAAAAGCTTGCCTGCTGTGCTCTTGGGCACGTTGCTCAATATACTTGATGGAGTTTCATGTAAGCCGTTCTGATGAATGTCACCTTTGGCGCTTTATTTCTTGCGATCTGATGGTACCTTCAAAACCCTTGGCGGCTATTGCCTAACCTACTAATACATAATATGGACTATATTTGTATGCCGTCTGACATCTTCCTGTTTCCCCTCATCTCCGATCATTATGGATCAGCTGCTAACAATGTCGCTGCAGATGGAATGATCATTTTCCCTGCATTTGGTGTCTTTGCTGGATTAGGTGGGATGGGAGTGTCGATGTTTTTTGTCTCGTACGTCGTCTCTATCGTTCAAAATCATTGCTCCTGATCAGAATTTCCTATATTCGGTATTGGTCGACAAACAGCACGGTAGTAGCACAACTCGTGTATTGCTTTGGAGGGAGTAGCTTTGCGGGTGCTAATGGCAGTATGATGATTGAGGTTGTGGTACGTGTGCTTCATTTACGTTTTAATTGGTTCCGTCTATTTCCCTTACATTCGCACGTGTCGACCTTGCTTGTGCCTGCTTGTTTGTTTGTTTTCTTCTTTGATCGCTTCCGCTACCCCGGATTTGCACACCCTCGAACTTTCTCTAATTTCCTTTTTGATGGTAGCCCTTCTTTCACATCCTTGCGTCCACTATAGCACGTGATATCGGAGACGAGTATCCGAAAGAGATCATTGCCACGACGATTGCGGCATTTACGCTTTCGTCCGTACTCACCGGTAGGTCGCATCTAGGTCTAATTGTCGCGTGTTCACTCACCCATGTGATTTGCGTAGGGCTGGCCTTTTTTCTCCTCGGCTATCTGCGTTTGGGTGGGCTCATCGGGTTCTTCCCGCGGCATATTCTTGTTGGGTAAGCCTTTTGCTGGCTTGGCGGGACTGGCGCTGAAGCGCTGACGCCACACACAGATGTATTGGAGGGGTTGGCATCTTCTTAATACTTACAGGGTATGTTCTAATTCAGTCATCGTGGTGAACCATATCGAACAAATTTCAATGTGAAACAGCCTCACAGTAAGTACGCGTCTCCCGTCCGATGCACTCGATCCGCCGACGCTGGAGACCCTCCGGTACTTCATTCTCAATCCACACGCCCTTTCGCAATGGGTTCCTCCCCTTGTCCTGGCAGTGCTTCTGAGGCTCATCACAATGCGATGGAAACATCAACTTGTGTTCCCTATCTGTACGTCCCAGATTACTGACCTTGGCATTATTTGCTCACTTCATGCATGAACGTTCCAGATTTCATGATTATACCAGTTGTATTTTATGTGGTCGTTGCAGCTGCACGGCTTGATCTTGATGCACTGAGGAGGGATGGCTGGCTTTTCGATATGGCTGAGGGAACTGGTGGTGGGGAGGACAGATGGTATGGATTTTATTCGTATCTCGGTAGGAAAATTTCCATCGATCAGATGAACTCAGGGCTCATTCCATGTTGACGCGAGCAGATCTTGGATTGATCCGATTTACGCCCTTATGGACGACACTGCCGATACAATTTGCACTGCACGTATTTCATCATTCATGTTGTTGGCCTCGCTAATGTTTCGTCTCAGGTTGTTTTTCAATATCTTGCACCCACCTTTGAACGTTCCTGCGCTATGTACGTTCTATCCAAATCTGGATGTTTGGCGAATAGAACATTAACATATTTACAGCGGTGTCCCTTGATGAAGACGTCGATACTAACAAAGAGCTTTTGGGACATGGATATTCAAATTTACTTGCCGGGTTTCTAGGCACAGTGTAAGCGTGTTCCTCTAACGCTCACAAGTAATTGCTCACACATTGCAGACCAAACTATCTTGTCTACGTGAACACCTTATTGTGAGGCGAACTGCCATTCGCTGTGGAATAAGATAGCTCACATACTGATTTATCAGGTTTTACCGCGTGGGCGGCGGGACACGTATTGCTGGCTTCCTGCTTGCGGTCGCTACGTTTATCCTACTAATAATAGGGACAGGCCCCATCGCGTATATTCGTATGTGCCATAATTTCCATACCCTCACTTTTCTAACACTTTGAATAGCCATCATGGTTGTCAGCGCCCTAATCTTTGTGCTCGGCATCGACCTCGTTAAGGAGGCATTATGGGATACACGACACCGAGTCAGCAGGTCAGTTTTTGCACACCGGTGTGATATGCAGCTCATAAACATGCATTAGGATGGAGTACATCACGATAGTCAGCATCATGGTTACGATGACGGCATGGGACTTTGTCATTGGTGTTTTGTTTGGCATTGTCGTCAGCTGTGAGCTTGTCGTGTTTTCAGAGTAGACTGTGTTCATAGTTTTGGATAGGTTTCTTCTTCGTGATACAGAACTCGCAGAGAAGGAGCATACGTGCATGTTATGCTGGAGAGTCAGCAATCTCCACAGTCAGGCGGCCTGCTGCACACAGGGCGTACATTCGAGAAGTGTCGAAGCAGACAAGGGTGCTTCGCCTCCAAGGCACGTGAAACCTTTCTTGCGTTGTAGCATCATTTAATTGTTGGCATCCAGGATTCCTTTTCTTTGGCACTATCGCCCATGTTGAAGAGACTTTGAGAAACATCGTCGAAGACGCTACCTGGAAACGAAATCCCGTCCGCTTCGTCGTCGTCGACTTGTCCCTTGTGGTAGGGGTGGACATGTCTGCCGCAGAAGCTTTCGTGCGTGTGCAGCGCTTGCTCGCTGCAAAGGGCGTGGTGTTGGTGTTTTGCGGTGTCACCGCCGATAGCCCCTGCGGCAAAGCGCTGAGCTGTGTGGGAATCCTCCAAGAGCCATCTGTCGAGGTCTTTGAGACCTTGAATGATGCGATGGAATGTGAGTTTTATCTCTTTATGTCACGAACTTGAGTTAATGTTCTTTGCAGGGACTGAAAATGCATATCTGCGAGCATGGTTTAGAGCCCAGAAGTCATGGACAACTCCAATAACGCTTCCTGGCCGCAGAGATACCAGCCTTTCCTTTGACGATACTTTGGCGGGATCTCCGAGGCAAATGCAACTTCGTGATGTTGGAGAGCGCACGATCGCTGGTGGTCAGTTTATCGTCTTACCTAACAGAACCGATTCTCATCGTCCAGCAGAATTTCTCGACAAGGACGCAGAGAATTCCTCTGAGCCATACAACACCCTTCTCAATGCGTTCTCGTCGTATCACGACGTAGACCAGAAGACGTTCAAACAGATCGCCCCGTACTTTGAGCGATTCACATTCCCAGACGGTTTTGTCCTATGGGAGAATAATGATACCCCCGATGGCCTGTATATCATCGAGTCAGGCATCCTGCGGGCATCATACAAGTTTGCGGAGCATAGCCCCGTCATTGAAGAGTCAATGGTGTCGGGTACTCTAGCAGGCGAGCTTTCTGCTTTGTCGGGCATGCCGCGGAATGCACGAGTGGTTGTAGAGCAGCAGGCTGTATTGTGGAAGCTGTCTCTCGAAAACATGCGTCGATTGGAGACAGAATGTCCTCATCTTGCACAGATTTTTGTGCAACTTGTACTCAAAGGTAAGTAGCGCCTTTAGTCCTGAGCATGAGCTTACCCTGTTTCCTATCTCAGCTGCAAAAGTCGACACCGACATCCTTCTTGCTGCCTTAGCAACAAGATGAAAATTGTATATATACTGGAAGTAAAACATACATATCTTACGACCCACAGATATGCAAAGCAAATACACGAACACATTATGACCAAGAGTGTTATCGAAGTGCCACTTCTCGTCCTTGTATTTCTCGCAGGACCTCGTGGAACCGCAGCGACCACCACCCGCGTTCTTCCCTTTCCTGTTGCTCCGCATCCCCTGCTTGTCCTAGTTCGACACCATGTAACTGCATGGAAGGACTTTTAGGAAATGGCAACCCTGATGCGAGGATGGATAAGACTGATTGACTGATCTCAGATTCTTTCGACGCATGAGCCAGGTGGCTCTTCGCGGATGGCGAAGACAACGACCTCAAGGTGTGCTGACAACATTGTCTCAGTGGTACCAACCATTCCTTCAGAACGGCGCACTGCATAGATGCCTCCGATACAGAAGATCGAGAAGTGCCGTGTGACAACGACACGGTCAAGATATGACCTTTTGAATTTGCGTGTCCTCTCTCGAGCTCCTCAGCAGTCAGTGGAACCAAATCTAGTGAGATGGATGATCTTCTATCTGGTTAGATCATATAAGTGCTAGCTCTGTAAGTGGCTGTCTTTCGAGGTCCTTACCTGTCTCGTCCGTCACAGAAAGGATTCTGGAGAGACCAAAGTCCTCGAGTATGCGCAAATTTGCAGAAGTGCGCTGGGTATCATCGTGGTGATTGGTGGCGGAGGTCATCACGATCAAGTCTGTAAAAACGAATAACTGGACGTCAATAGCCGGAGACTCGACGCGAAGCAAAGGGCTATTTCTGGGCCCCGCTTGTGGCTCAGATCGGAAGTCGAATGATGATGGAGCAGTACGAAAGGATTGTAGCGACGCTGTCGTCGAGGCTGTAGACTGTACTGACCCACTCCGCCCACGCCAGCCTTTCAGCGCATTTGAGAGTCTTTCGTTGTATCGTGGACGTGAATCGGGAGATAGGCTTTTCAGTGGCTCTGAAAAACCGTGCACGTTGGTGGAAGGGCGCATGATTGGTAAATCATTGTCGTTTTCCACTCTGGCACATGCGACAGGACCGTGCATCAGCAGACGCCTATCACGGCAAGGAAGTTGGGAGGGAACGTTCGCTATACGTGAGAACATATCTTTTACAAACTCGTACTCGTCTTCCCGATCTTTGACTTCGCTGAGAACACGGATCGTGAGTTTAGCAGAGTGAAGAACAGATAGTGTTGATAGATAGTCGGGATGGGACTTCGGGGTTGCGTGCCAGAGCCGCTAGAAGATCTAATTTCAGTCATGAGAAGTAGACAGACACACCGACTCACATGAAAAAAATCAGGGTATTGGGAGAGCCTCTGAACAGGTTCAACCAAATATTTCTCTAATGACCACCCCTGACAGGCGGAGGAGCGCTCTTGTAGCTTGATAAAATCTCCGATGTCACTTTTCTCCTGAGCGACAAGATGTTCGATTCTGGTTGCAACAAACTCTAGCTTTACCAGGTAAGGTTGATATATTTCAAGCTTTGCCATAAAAGATCGAAGAATTTCCCCGACGCACTGCAGGTCGGAGTTGTGCACATCCCGAAGACCGATGAGGCTGGCGGATAATTTCGTGTGGAGATGTACGATGTCTTCTAGCCAGTCAAACAGCCTCGAGACGTCGTCTGGAACGCCAGAAACCCAGACCTTCGTACTTCGGACGCGTAGAGGAAGGATGAAGAGCTGCACCATGTTCTGCAAGTTGATTACGAAAGTTTCCTCTGACTCCGCCAGTTTCCAGACAATCTCTTGTCGTCGTACCTCTACCTCACCGAATTGTTCCAAAATATGCAGACGAAAGTCTTCCCAAGACGCGTGAATATCTGAAGAAGAACGTCGATGATCCCGATGTGCATTTGTCCGATCCAAATGCAAGAATTCGTGGGCTACTGATGACATCGATGCGGCAGAAACAGATGATTTAGATGATGTATAGGATAAGTTACTTTGTGTGGGTTGAGCCTTCATGGAGGATTCGAACTCCTGTATTGCCAGTCTATTGAGGAGCGAATCAGTATGTACGCCATCATCTTCACACTCGAATTGCCACGTGTTTCCGGCGATTGACGACATGTCACTGTCAGCATGCGTGAGGCAGGGTTCATCAGAAGCGGAGCCAGAAAATGACGTAGAAAGTCCAAACGCCTGGCGTTCGCGCACTGCAGCCTCGTCTGATGTGACCATCATGCGCGTGAGCTCTGAGGAGTATCGTTGACCACCGATGTCAATGTTAGGCATATTCTCCGCTGATGGATGCGACATCTGTGAGTTTAAGTAGGTCGAATGAATGGAACGACGGGGAGAGAGTAGGGGGTGCCCTGAAGACGGTCGTTCAACTGATAACCTCGAATTCTTGGCTGATACAGTTACTTCTGTTAACCTCAAAGCTCGTTGCTACGCAGAATCACCTACCATTTCGTTCATCAAAATGCCACCGGTTGCTTGCTTGGTTGTCTTTGGAGGCCCTGTCTGCCTTGGAATGAGAATGACCATCTCTAGGGGTAGACGATCGGAGGCCTTCGTCATTTTCGTCGTCAAAAGAATACTCTGAGCCAGAATCGTTCTCCTTCTTGAACGATTCATCCGACGAAGATGGGTTCGGGATATGGATCGAATCGCTAGAGCCACCGATAGCGAGCCCTTCTTCGCCAAAATACTCGCTCTCTTCGCTTCGAGCTGGGTGATCTTGAGAACCAGGGTTCAATCCATCGACTAGTCCAAGGAGTTCTCTTTTTCGTCGATCAGAGGATTCATCACCATCAGCCATCGTTTCCGAAGCTGGGTAACTTGATCCGGCACTGCTCAGGGAATATCGATCGGAAATCGTGGAGTCGCCTCGCTCTCCGCCTTGATCCGCACGGTCAGAAAAGAGACTCTCGTTATCCTGAATGCTGCCATCGTCATTGCCAGCGCTCTCGCCTTCACTGGTGGTGGAATGTATCGAATGAGTAGAATTGTCGGCAAACATGCCTCGAAGTTTTGCCCCATAGTCCGCGAATCCAAACCCGAGACCGAAACGCTCTTTTTTCTTTTCAGGTGCCTTAGAAGCCAAGAGGCGCCCTTGTGCGAACGAAGGCTGCTTTGGGAACATGACGGGGGTCTCGTCGCTCTCTGAACTGGAAGATGGGAAGGCAAAAACATTGTCAGCAGCCAGTTTCTGACCTCGGAGGCTTGAGCTAGTTCGTGGTTCCGCGTCAGTCAGGCTATCTTGGGAGCTCTCTCGTGGAGCGTGTCGTAGCAGTGGTGGTGCAACACGTCGAGGAATATTTGATCGATATTTTTTTGGTTGGGGAGTAGCCAATGAACCAGTTGAAGGTGCCGAATTATGCGGTGCACCAGGGTCTGTGCGAGCACGAGTTCTTTCCGTTCTTCTGCCAGGGGTGATGTTGGTCGTGATTGAAGGCTGACGAAGTGGTTGACTTTTCTGTTTGTGGGGGAAAGGCGGCCTTGGCGAGAAGCCCTCCATGGGAGAAGTCCAGTCCAGTTTTCCGCTGCGCACTAAGCTGACGGACCGAGGTGCCTCAGAAGCTCGATCGGAAGGTCGATCAGATGGAATCATTGTAGGAGCGTGGGATTGAGCCTTTAAAATGGGCTTCGGTTTCTGTCTCAAAGCACTGCGTGAGGGACGTGAAGGACCTTCTGACTGTGCTACCGGAACCTGGTGACTTGTATCTCTCGAACATGACGAAGCAGGGGGAAGTTGAGGCGTCCTTGTAAGCTTGGGCGGAGGGTTTGAATAATACTGACCAATGTTGGATCGATGGTCCAACTGCAGGTTCTCATTGGGAAATGGAGACGGCATTCCCAGCTGTGACGATGGCCTTGTCATACGATCGATCGTGTCCTTTAGAGAAGGTAGCAAGTGCGCTTCCATAAGCCCCAGATCTCCTACTTGACTTCTACGCTTAGACCTGTAATTGGTAGGGTAGTCGACATGAAGAGAGTGCGAATCGGAAGCAGAAGCAAGAGAGGACTGCGAGGGTAGCGGCGGAGTGCTCGAGGTATGCGTTTGAGGACGCGATTCGCGAGCACGGCTTCGGTTTGCATCGTAAGGTACGCCCGCTGCAGCTGCATAGTGCGACGGAGGAAGAAAGCGATGCGCAGGGGAAGTTGGTGTAATGTTTGGAGCGGGAGAGCGGGAGGTATGGCGCTTCGGCCAGGGGTGCGACATGAACGTTGACGTTGAAACTGGAAGTGGTGAATGCCAAAATTGACGCGTCTTGCTAGTCACGTGAAACTGACATTGAAGGCTGTAATAACTAAGATCTACTACTAGTAGGAGAAAGGCAAACTACGTACAGGCTAGTTAATTCTAGCTTTCATCCATTTCACAACTTCTTCTCCCCATTCTTCTCCTTGACCAGAACATAAAGCCCAGTTAGGGCTGATGTGATTGTGGCCTTTGCCAATGATCATCTGGGGCGCCTCTCCACGTCGCTTCTCGATATCCGGTATGATCTCTTCCCACGATAGCAATAGCCAGTCAGGCTCTCGCTCTGCCCTGACAAGAAGAATATCAGGATGGTCCTTGATCTGTTCATCAGATAGAGCATTCCAAAGCGCCCTCGGCTCCCTCTCCTTCTGTTGCTCCTGAGAACCAATGTATTGCATCGTGGGGACCTCCATCCTGAATCTTTTCTTCTCGTCAACCATGAACCAACTACCACCACACCAGATGATGCCTTTGAATCGAGCATGTACGGTACTCGATACCGGTGGGTAAAGGCTCAACATCTTCGTGTGCACGTCACCCGCTGAGTGACCCATGATAAATATAGCATCTACATCAGGGGCGGGTATCGAGGGTACGCCAATGACATCGACGTTGGCACAAACCCAATTGACTGCATCACGGATGTCTTCGGATGAAGCCGGGAATTTGACCTCCGGAGTAAGTCTGTAGTCCGGGATGATGGTGATGAAACCGTGTTGTGCAAAGAAAGATCCAAGCGCGCGATACCCCATAGAAAATGGTTCAGGAAACTCTTTTGATCCACTGTTGTATCCACCTCCATAGACGAAAAATAGGATTGGTGTCTTCCCACCCTTAGTAAGAGTCGAGTTTAGCGGGTAATAGACGTCAAGCTGCGAGTAAGTAATGCATAGCGTGAGGTCAGGAGCATGGCATCCGGAGGTTGGATCATCACAAACCTCATTTCTGGTGCGGCGCTTGTCATCATACACAAAAGTCTTGCGTTCTATCTTCTCTATCTCTGCCTTTCTTTCATCTAGAATAGGCACGAATGCTGCTAGAGCTGGAAAGCAAGTCGGCTGTGAATGAAACTATGCCATACTAAGAGGTAGAAGACGTACTTCTCAAGTTGATGGCCGCAACGCCCGTTTCTACGAACTTTGAGATTATATCCATGCTCAAGATCTTTGATCAGGACGACAACGAGTGAGTGTGAAGATATTATGGCTGGTGAGATGTGATGGTAAGTTATATTTGGCCATCCACGCTCAGGCTATGTAGTGACAGATCACATTGACAAGGCTGGACACGTTTCACCATCACAAAATGGGATCAAGAAAGCTGAACTACCAAAGGAATTTCAAAGTTCGCGCTGCCAGTAGGTGCACGTTCCACGTAATTGAAATGACAACCAAGCTAGTAGTAATGAACATAGTAGTAAGCAAGCTTGATACATGAACTTGAAACCGCATCATGTGACCTACGCTAACGAGGCTGGACCCACCCACCACTTCCCCATGATTCACTTCCCCGGCTTAGGTCTATGTTTGGGGCCAATTCTTCTTCATCCCCAGAATCTATATCGCCCCATACCGAGCGCTGCGGAGAAATTTCATTTGGGCTGCGAAGGGCCTTTGCCGGCACCAGTGGGACTGCGGCATGGGGTGTCACCGAGGACTGAGGGAGTCTGGGGCTAAGCAGTGACACCATGGCCGAACGAGAGGACTTCTAGTTACTCAACACTTCGAAGTTCGGAGTGGCGCATCAACCGGGCAAATCCGACACCTGTCCTCGAAGACGGGGTTCTTGAGTCCGAGGCTTGCCTATCGTTACCCAAAGTTACAAATAAAGACACCTTCCTCGATCGCGGGTTTATCTAGCCAGAGCACTGGGTCAGATTCGAGTCGTATGTTCCTTGATGGCGACGTAAGAACATACTCAATCTCATGATTCTCATCAGAGTGCACTGTAATACTCGTACGGTGCCGTATTTTGTGCAGGCGACGAGGCCCTTGGCAGGCGAAATGGTGTCATGGAATTGTAACGTGTTTGCAATCGCGTTCGCCATCTTGAAGCACGTTCCGCACAGCGTTACATCACCTACTAGCAGTATGTGGTATGTGGATATCAGACTCGTTATCTTTAAGTCATCCTTGGCCGAGATGCTGAGTATGATTGCAAGTCGATTGGCGAGGTACGGCGACGATGGGAAAACCTAGTTAATGAGGCCTCTGCGTGCCCATCGGTGCCTTGTCTTTTGCTTGTCACTTAGGCTCCACCTATTAAGACCTTCCCAAGCCGCAAGACATCCCCATCGCCTGCCCGGCGACTCCTCGGACACTTCTATCGCGGTTATACTTGCTTCCGACTCCTAAGAGTAATGATCTCCCAAATCTTGAAGTGAAAGTGCATGGCGATGACGACACAGCAATTATTCGGGAGGGCAGTCGATATGTCCCGCAGGGCTGGACATAAAAATAGACCAGTCAGACAGTAGGTCATAATAACAATCAAAAGTTGAGATTAGTGAACGAGCCAGGCCGATGGCTATCTGCTCAATTAGAGCGGAGCACTTCGAATACGGATACGGTTCCGAAATTGCTTCTGATGGAAGTGGGGACAAGGAGAAAGTTTAGGGAGATTTGGCGGATGGTAAACTGACAATAAGCAACGCTCCGTGGAGCACATGGAAGTTCGGACATGAATTCCACACTATACTAGTGCGTTCAATGCCGTCGAGACTTCGGTTCCAGAGATATGCCCAGAGGGTGATCACGAGTGGTTCACAACAAGATCTATGAATGATCCACTGGATTGCATGAATGGGAACAAACTTGAAGGACCAGCGCACAATAGGCGTAGCTTAGACAGATAGAAGGAACACTTACGAGAGAGGGGCCTTGCCCGTAATGACATGATGTTATGTCATGCAAGAACATCACTGTGCTCAATCTGGGCCAAGGCTTTATGCGAAAGAGCGGGCAATTTGGTTAGTAAAGCGAAGTAAAGATCAAGATGGTTACTAGACATGAATCGTGTCCAGGTTCCTTGCATGGATATGTTTACAATAGTAAAATGTGATAGTTGGCTAGGGTCATGGCTCAGTGAGTCACGAATAGAAGTCTTGGTGAGGTGAAACCGCCCTGTAGTATGTTACGGATGTACTATCCCGTAATCTCTGTCTGTAAAGAAATTCGAGAGCTTTTGGATTTAGGTTAGGGTCATAGGGCGCCGTGCATTGTGTAATGGGGTAGCTCACAGAATTGTCCAAAACTGGATGCGAGCAGGGACCCACTAGTAATGCATAGCAAGGGACCGTTGAGGCTTCGAATATACAGATCGCCGTACAAAAAGTTGATGAACCTCCTCATTGGTAGCTCTGTAGCGCTCTGGCGCATGGGGTCATGGAAGTAATTGTAGTACCGTCATTGGGCGCATTTGAAAAGAGCTTATCGACAATCGCCACAAATACTACTTTTTGATGTGAAGCAAATAGATTAGTGGGAGACGCGGAGATGTATAATGTGAATGTGCCGTTCTGCCACCATTCGGTACCGATTCGAGGATGGATTCTCAGGATAGGCATGATGAAGTAGTGCAGACGAGCGTGGAGTCGAGCCTTGATCATAAAAGTAGAGAACCGGACGGCAACGAATCGAGCAGGTGAAAAACTACATAATCAAGGTTAGGTTATGAGTCACGCAGACGCTTAAAGCCTCGTGTAGTCAGTAGTAACAGGTAGTAATAAGGCTTCACTCGACCGCCAACGCGATTTGTAGTGGTAATAACAGTGCGAAAAGGCAGCCATGAACGTCTTGATGGGAGTCACCAATGATTGTCATGATCGAAATATAATATATCGTGGCACGTAGTTGAAAGCCATGTTCCAGGGTTGATTATTGGTAATTTGTCATGTGCACAAGATTCTGAATCTGCTGGGTAGTGATGAATGGTAGTAGTAGAAGTGACTGCGGTGTTGAAGTGTATGGGTCGCGGAGAAGGGATAAACAAACTTGAGCTCGAGGAGCGGTTGCATATGACCGAGGCAGGGCTGGTCGGCGCCAATTGAGGCCGGTGACAAAGGAGGTCCGGCTGGTGGTGGCCGAGATTCTGATTGATCGGACTAAAAAGGAAATTGGTTATGTAATCGTGTAGAACGGATGATCCGCATTTGACTCCAACGTGATTTCAAGTTAAATAGGCTTGTCCGATAGTCACCCGATAGTACCCTCTCTTCCTCGCCCAACTCGCACAATCCTTACACCACATCACTACTTCACCAGTTCACCATCTATAATACCTCCTTCACCAGCTGTAGGCCACCCACATCTGTAGTATACACGAATCCCAACTTCTATCTTACTGTTCGTAGCCATGGCCACTACATCCCAACCTATCGCTTTCCAGTCTCCTAATCATCCGGATTTCCACATGGCATCTGGTTCATTCACTGGTAACAACAGTACTAGTGCCAGGTCTTACTTTATAGGTTCACCAATATCGTGGCGTGCCGGCTCATTTGGAAGCCGTTTCTACCCTGGTTGTTCCCCTGGTCAACTTCTGGGTCCATTAGAGTCAGTTGATACTTCGCTTACCATGTAAATGTGCTAATCTCGTCTATGCAGCCCTAACGAATTCAAGTGTGCCAAGTTGTCATCTTCTATCGATAGCGACCGTGGTTCAATTCTGAACGCTCTCGGTGCCTTCGACAAGGAGGACGAAATGGTGAGTCGTGGCATTCCGAAGTAGCCTGTACCAGTCTCATGGTTGTACCCTCGTAGTGTCGCAATTACACATGCTGTGGTCTACAGTTAGATGATTTGCATGCTCTGCTACAGCATTTCGAGGAGGTTCATGTTGTCGTGCTTGACCCGTTTGGTCACCCTCAGTTCCCAGTCATCCCTTCTCTACCTCATAACACAACTACGTCCTACTTCTCAGACCTTCAACAGCACCCTCAATCTTACAACCAAGGTGGTTTTGATCCTGATGACATGGAACTCGATATTGATCAGGGCAGCATGTCAAACGCGCCAACGCCCCCTGACACTCCCCTCAGTACTCCGCTGTCATCACACCCTACTCATTCGTTTAACCACTTTGGACAGTCGAAGCCTGCGTCCCCACATCTTCCCGTGTCGGCATTTGATACGACGACTGTGCTTCCTTCCCGCTCTGTGCATGGCTCAGCATTCCCACCGTCTCGAAACGGTCTTCCCAATGTGGCAAATGCACCCGATGCATTTAATGCTTACGCTGGTTACTCTGACTTCTCATCCTCAATGCCTGGCACTGTTCCTTCCTCAACCGGAAGCGAGGATATTCACGCACCTGTCACACCTGTCAGTGAGCCGGGTAGTCCCTACGGCTGTCTTCCTCCAGCTGTGGTTTTCTCCACATGCAATACCCCTGTTACCACTCCTTCAGTCTCTCGCATGCCATCTCCAGCAAGCGCCTCGCCCCATCCCGTACCCCCCGCGGCCGCTCCTCATTCCTCGGCATCCTCGGATTCTCCTGCTTCTCCCAAAGTTCTCACATCACAGCAAGTCAATCAGCGTGCTAGTACCACGCTCTCTCGCCCTGCGTCATCATTACTATTATCGAAGCCTTTCCGCTGCCCGAAGCCAAATTGCAATAAGAGCTACAAGCAAGCTAATGGGCTCAAATATCACATGACTCATGGCAGCTGTAACTTTGCGCCACCCAAAGACCTCGAGCAAGTACAAGCACTACTGGCTAGTAAGCGGTCCGCCCGCGAGGCTGCTGGGGACGATCAGGGGATCACAGAGGGTGACATGCGTGAAGTCGAACGGGAGGCAGAGCGCAGACTGCGGCCCTTTGCTTGTGGGGTCAGTGATTGCCAGCGCCGATACAAGAACATGAACGGTTTGCGGTATCACTACCAGCATTCGGGTGACCATGGTACAGTTGGCTTGGCCCTTCTTGCCAGTGGACAGCACGAATGTCTACAACATGCGCATGGACGGAGTAGCAATGCAAGCTCACGGCATTCAACACCGGTGACGAGCGGAACCTCTACGCCAGTAAGCGGACACATGACATCGACGTATGCTCAGCAATATCAGCAACAGATGTTTTACTCGTCCGCACAACAGCAGTACTTGCGCCAGCAGCAGGCTCTACAAGCACAAGTACAAATCAGCTATCCTGCTGTCTCGGCTGAAGCTGTCCCTATCATGGTTGCGCAACAATAAAGATATACCCTCGTTCAAAATGTAACAGTCCGAAAGGATTATGCTTATTCGAAGATGTGATTTATGAACCATCCCTACTGGCTGTCGAATACCCCTCCTCGCTTCCTATCGACCCCGTCTCCTTCACTATCTGGATCCCTGGTAGAAAAGTAAAAATTATTCTTATTGGTCGACTATTGTTTATATTCCCATTTTTGGCCTCCCTCACTCGGCTTATCTCCTTCCTCTATGCGTTTCTTCTTCTACCGACTCGTGACACATCCCAGTCAACGCCTATTGTTTTTCAGAATCATTTGTTTCCTTTGCGTCTGGCGCGTCTGGTACGACATGCTGCTTCCTCTTATTTCTTTGGTTTATTCCCTGCGCCTCCCGCCTCTCCTAGAGCATAGCAGCTTTCGTACATTCTCTAAAAGCCGGGATTGTATATTATTATGCAGGCTGGCATCTCTTTAATCTTGATCTCTGTCCATCTCTCATACACGTATTGCGTATATTTAACACTAACTATCCACATAAACAGTATGACCGCCTATTTGACGTACATTTGTTAATTGGAGTGTGAGCCTTTGGATGGTTGAATGGGTAGGCTGGGGCCCTGAGCGACACCACCAGAGTTGTCCTATTAATATCTTCGTCACGTGTATGGAAAGCGAGCGGGGTTTGAAAACTGGTGAACTGTGACATGTGACCCTTGCCAGCGACGATCTGCCACGCGTTGATCGGAATCAAAGTGTGCGATGATCGATCTGATAGTGACTTTGTCTCCCCGCTCTTTGTATATCCTTTCAAAGGCAGTCCGGAGCACGCTCAATCCTCCGCATCAACACGTGTGAGGCCTTTGTGCGCAGCTGCGGCGATGACTGATATCCCCAACATGTATGGATGTATATATACATAGCACACCCGAGAACTGGTGAGAAGAAATATATCATCATATATCGTAATATACAACAAAGTACGTCGTCTATGGTGCAGTTCACTTATGCGCCACTACTTTGGGGCAACCGCCAAATTGAAGGTCGACCCAGCTCAACCCTAACCCTAGTCCAAATATAGAAAGTATACTTGAGTTACTGTTCAATTTGGTTGGATTCAAGACGCGAAAAATTTGCTCAGAAGCTCAGAAATGTAGTATTCAGTATTGCATTAGCATAAACATGAGGATTTTGGGAGTTTTTGACTTGTTTTACCCCAATTTTGTGGGTATCTTGCCCTCACCGCCAATTAGAACCATGACCAGAATTTTTTCTCACTCAGATTTCATCCAATGAACAATCGCTCTTGAGAATTTATTCCTACCATCAATCTAAGCATTTTTACAAGACAGAAATTTCCAGGGACTTTTTCTCACAGCACTAGAAATTTTGCACAAAAGTAGCGGCGCATAAGTGAACTGCACCATACATCAGAACAGCGATGGGATCCCGTAGTAAGATATACCGGACTTTGAAAAAAAAACTATTTCCGAATTACCTAAACGCAAGAGTAATGGAAGAAGAAGAAGGATCTGTTATGAGAAGTTCCAACTGAGACGTCAACGCGTCTGACGACTATGTACGATACCTTTGCAATTGCCGTGCGCAACTAGGAGCCTTCGATCTGGGTACCCCGTGATGAACTTTATTCGCAAATTTGAGGGGACGTTTCAAGTTTGCATTGGACGCCGTACATTGGTGCTGAAACACAAGGAGGCAGGTGTGTATACGAGGGATTTGTGAAGTGCAGGAGCGATGCGTTCTATCGAACGGCGCTGGAAGTCCAGGGACGATGGAGCCTGCACAAATACCACGGTGAGATTATGTCAGCAGATATCGCTGGTGTGAGCAGTCCTTTAAAGCGTGAGCGACCCTAAAAATATTTAAAGTTTATTGCGAGCAGACCATGACGCCCGACGTTCCTAAAGCGTGAAATTATATTTTATCTTGTGCTTACAGAATGACCTCTTGTCAGCAAGTTTCGAATTATTAATTGTGGGGATAGATTGGCTGTGACACGTCAAGATCGTGAATGATATGATATCCTGAGAATGAAGAGGACGCCACGTTACACGACGCCTCTTCAATGATGTCGTGAAAAAGCAATGCAAGTCTTTTGACAAGTGCAGTACAACCTCTCACCTGGCATCACTTAGCCAAGCGTGATGCGCTCCGCCTACTAGTACCGAAGGCACGGGCTCGTGGCAGCCTATCACGAGCGTGAACTCGTTTGTCAGAAGAGGAAAGAAAGGTTACATATTTTTGACAAAGTTACAACGGAGATGAGTCCACGTTTTTGATGAAACAGAGGCCCTGTGGGAGTCGAGGATATGGAGCCGTGACCTCGGGAAAGATGCTCAGACTACAAACAACAAACTTCAAATGTACATTTTCACTGGCGCAATGATGTAAATTGCCTCCGCGGTATCAAATGCCCCTGATAGGGCCCTATGCAAATGCTATACAATGTGTCCGAAACCACCCAAACCGTTCGACCAAGTAAATGATACAACTACACGTTCATGCCACAACCTGACAAGCGGACACTATGGCATCCTGGAACATCCGCAAGCTCGACGAGTCGCCCTCAGCCACTGTGGTGCTGATCGGCTTATAAGTGACGTAGCCCCACTCAGCATCGAGTACGACATATCCACTGTCGCCGTCCACCACAAGCTCTCTCAAACTGGTGAGCTCAGCTGCCCATCGTTGCCAGATGCTTGACCACAGCCTGGCATCGACTGACGGATTTGCTACATAGCTTGCGCATGATTGCAGCTCCAGATGATGCAAGCGACTCTTTTGGCGGATGACAAACTCTTCGACGCCATCAGGAGAGGGCATCTGATCAAAGATGGTATTTTCGAGCACGAGCGATTCGAGTGATGGATAATGGAATGATGAAAGCTTGGTTTCCAGGCTGTGGTAGGGGCCCTGGGGGCTACGTAGCTCGAGCGACTTGAGTGTGGGATTGGAAAGGGGCAGGAGTGCGCCAAGTGATCCGTTAATTTCCTTGGATCCCGACCAGGCACTGATATCGGCGTTTGGCACGACAGAGAGCGAAAGATGGGACAAGGGCGAGTTTGTGAGGGTAGAGACGAAGTCATAGCATGAAACAGGCATCATGACTACATTGTTGAGAGAGAGGGATGTCATGCGGGATGTTTTCATAGCGTGATATATGGAATGAATAACGGTGAGCTGCCGACTCGTAAACCAGAATGGGCTCTCGCGGATTTCCTTCCCAGACTGGGAGATGAATGTTGGCCAAAAATTCGCGGTGACGCATTCAAGTCTGGGGAGTCTATCGAGTGCGCAGAAAGCCTCGGTCAAGGCTTCTTCAAGGTCAGCGACTTCCAACATGTCCTCAATTTCTGCAGAAACATTCTATAATTAGCTCCTATACATAGACAAAAAGGAAATAGATCTCACCAATGTTTTCTGGGGGAAATTGGAAACATTCATCGTCACGAGAATCGTAAACGACTTCCCGAACATGGGGAGCAAGGTTGGCGGCAGCAATGATCTGTTGAAGGTTTTGTGCGCTCTGGATGCTATTTTTCACGTGAAGTTTGGTGAATGCGATGGGTGTGACGAGCTCTCGGTACGCTTTGTTTAAAGAGCGTAACTGGAGAAGATCAGTTACGGTGGAAACATTCTGGATGACGGTGTTGATAATTTCGATGGGTAGATCGCGCATTGTGATGGAGGGTCAGGTTTGAATGAAAAGGAACGGCACGCGTGGTTCCATTTTATATTTCCCATGTGTGCTTGGTATTTCGTTTTGGTCTGCACAGGATGGGTCAGTGAACCGAAATAAACTACATTGGGGTACTACTAGGAGTCCTATCGGATTGAGCGCTTGAAACGGTCGCGGAACAAGGCGAACTGGACAAATCCGGACACTGCTAAAGATGGATCCTGTATTTCCTCAACGAGATAACTTCGTGGGATGTGATCTGGCCTTGGTTTGGCCCGAAAACAATCCATCATGCCAAGTGCTTCCGGTACAGTCGGCACCCCACACAAATGTCAACGTCACTGTAAGTCATTATATGGATATATAAGACTCTTACATTGCAATGGAGACCGCCACATTGATTACTATACGAAGAGTGGAGAGCTGGGTTGACGCAGTATGGATGAAAATACCCAAAAGCCCTGCACGCAGTATTGAAACTCCGTCGCGGGGGGTGTCCAAGTCTCTTGTCTTGTCTATCTTAGATCCTTCATGCTCAAGTGGGAGCGCGTGTGGAGTTTACGGAAAGGGATAGCGCGCTCGGGGACACATTATGTTGCTGCCGTTATTATCCGATCACAGTAAGTTTCTATAACGCCCCTGTATCTGCTTCGATACGGCGTTATATCTGCTCGATGCAGTCCATAGTTTATCCACACTCGATGACTACCGCAAACCCTCTTATCAACTAGGTGACATCTCCTTGTCAGGGTCCAGGTCCGCCCACCTGTCGATGACCCTGCATAAATCATGTCGTACCCGAGGACACCTGTGTTTCAAGTTGTTTCACGTTGAACTCTTCTGGCGTGACGGCGGCGTCCCTGGGGTGCTTCTTCCAATCAGATACGTATTCAAGTTTAGTCATGCCTCACCCCATCCCAGCTCCATCGGACTCTCACTCTTACTGCGGCTCATTTTCTTATGTTGCTTCTAGTCTGATGTGTTATATGCCGCAGCTCATTAAAGAAGAAACTGCGGAACGATGTCCCCAGACCAGACGAATGAAGATAAGATAGTGGTCGGATGCCGGGTCCGACATCTCCAATTGAAATTTGACTATTCCGTGCCCGAGGGCTCGCGCTTTATTTTCTGATCTAGAAGGTCGTTGATACCGTACGTTCATCACGAAGAAGCTGGAGCGCTGAGAGAACATCTATTTATATCCAACTACGCGCACTTGGGGCTATGGCAGGCTATGGCATGTCTCGCACATCAGCTGACCAGCTACCTCCAGGGAATGAATTGTATGTTCAGACTCGCCAAGCTTGAATATTGAAATCACAAAACAAGTGCAATACCGGAACTTGCATCTGAACTTCTTAAGGTCCCCGTTCACGGTACCTGGCCTGGTGTCGGACGTTTGCTTGCGCCCTCGAGCACGGGTATATTATTATTCTCCTGCCGCATCTTTCCCTCGTCATCTCCACCCTCCCTGCAGCATCCTAGATCTCACGTGAAACAGCCTCAGGTAAATCCTTATGCTCAAGTCACTCAGCTAATTATACTCAACATCAGCCATGTACCCGCGATCCATCATATCTTATCAATTATAACTATCATACAAAAACTATGTGCAACAACAAAACCAAAATATCCCAAGCCAAAATAAAGCTAGCGCATGATTACATGGGAGCAAGATACGGATATATATTCTATCCAGAGCCTGGATATCACTATCATCTAGCCGTGCGTCTCCAATCGTGTATATGGATATCGATCATGATGCGAAACAGTTAGAGTTTCTCGCCCACGCTCACAGCTTCCACCAGCATCCAAATGGACCGCAGTCATCCTCTGGGTCATCAGGGATTGGCTCAGGTGAGGGTGAGGGTGCGTCCTCGCTTTGGCATGCAGCGGGAACTTTGTAACCCTACAAAATAATCGTGCGTCAGACACTAAAAAGGTAACTCAGCGAAAAAGAACTTACATCCTCCCTAACACCTCCACCCCACGGTGTACGCCCCTTAACGGTAGCATCAATACCCAGCCCGCTCTCAACAAAGCCAGCCCAAATATCACAGAAGTTCTCCCCACCCGTAAGTACTTGATCAGCCTGCACGATCGCATCACGCGCATCAAAGAAAGATGGGCTACATGGCTGCAGCTTCATCCCGTTCAACACGAGCTGTACCAATAGCGAGTTACCGTGCTTGGGGACGAAAGGCTTGTCGGCGCGGTAGAAAGCAGCGTAATCGGCGAAGTTAGCATCGTGCGGGGGAGGGAACAGATTATCTGTGAACCCGTGCTTGGCGATCAGCCTTTGCTCCAGGACCCACAACATCTGCGCCCAGACCTCCCCGATTGCGTGTACGCCCCAGTACCCGGGCTTGTCGAGCGTCTTGTACGTGCTAGGGTTCACTGACTTGTCAAGACTGTACGGGTAGTTCCGGATACCTCCCGGACGGTTGGCAGCCCATGCGCCCATCGCGTAGTCCTCGTAAGTGGCAGTACTGCGAATGGTCGTGGCGAGGAAGTCTGTACACGGTGAGTTTGTTGATTATTAAGCGTCCAATCAAAACTTACCACCCCAGCCCTCTCCCATACCACCAGCCTCACCCCAGCCGAGACATCCACTGTTCTTGGGGCCACCCGTCAAGCGCGTGCTGAGACCATGAGTAAGCTCGTGGATAACGATACCAGCTTCCATGTCGCCATCACGATAGGGGTTAGCGGTGTTCCACAGGTACATTCGGCATTTGCTGGTTCACAAAGCATAAGTATTGATCAGAGCAAGGAAGAAAAACAACTAACCCATTTTGACCATCGGGAGGTGTCATGAAATTGGCATTGTTGAACCCACTACCGTCCTGTGCATTCGTGATCACAGCATCTGATTCCTCACCGCCGCGCCCAAAGTTGTACTGCTGGAAGTTCCCAGCCTCTTCAGTGAAGCCGTACCTGTCACAGTTCGTCACATGGGAAAATAAGAAATAATCGTGAGTAGAACGCACCGGTAGGTCAAGTCGTGGAACAAGTTGCTCGTGTAGAAAAGTTGCGCCACCGTTGCATCGATGTGAGCATGTGCATCGACCAAGTTTTCCTCTGAGTTGCCCTTCTGGCTCGGGGAGTATGGATAGTTGTAGTGGACGGCTAAAGTGCTCACGTCGTCTAACAGACAAGTGTTATGAAAACGAAAACTAGAACAAGCTGCGCAAGCACTCACCACCCACAGAGATTCCCTCTGGACGACGGTTATATATCCACGCGTTCCGCCCCTCCCAGTTCTCGTGTGCAAAGACATTGTTGCCCCATGTGGTGTTTGTCGTGCGCCAGAACTCGCCTGCCGTTCCGCATGAGGTCTATAGCACGAAAAGGTCAACTAGAGGATGACGAACCTTTCGCACGAAGTGCAACCTTCTCTTCCTCACTAATGCTGGGGTCTACACCCCACGGCAGGGCGTGCCACCCTGCTGGACTTGCGAGCTTATCACCCAACTCAGAGTATTGGACGCGACCGTAAGAAGGAGGCAAAGAATCTGTGGGTGCTAGAAGAGGCGTGAGTTTATGTTTGGATCACAAAGGGGATATGATGGAACTTACCATCTGCCTCACTCAGCGCCTTCCTTTCCGCAGCCTCAACAGGATCGTTGGTGCCCCATGGGAAGATGTTGTAATATGCTTTCGGGAAGTCAGGAATTGCAGGGCCACTGGACCACGTGACACCCTCCTTGGCAGCCTTGCTCTTTCGGAGATCTGCCACAGCCTTACCCTTTCTAAAGCGACCACCAACCTTCTTGGTGGAGCAGGAGGGGGCGTTGGAGCCAGCAGGGATGAATGAGGAGAGGGGAGGGAGCTGAGCATCCTCGGGGTGAGATCCAGGGGAATAAAGAGGCATAGGGCTGTCACTGGCCCAGTCCACGACGGACACAATACGGTGGGGAAGAGATGCAGAGACTGTGGTCTCATACCAGTTGTGCTCCATCTCGACTTCGAACTGTGTAGTGGTCAATATTGGGTGCAAAAACTAGAGGATAAACACTAACGCGATGTACGAGCTCGAGATGCACGGTGCCATCTTCAGAGGGTACCTGGACCCAGACGACGGAGGTCTTGACCTCGCCGATGGTTCCGGGAGCACCGGTAATGGTGAGTTGCTCGGCCTCGTGAGGAAGGAAGCCGGACATGTGAGCCATGGTCATGCTTGCCAAATGATCATCGAAACGGGTCTGGATGTCTTGTGCGAGAGCGGGAGACGGTGCAGCTGCAAGAAGGAAAGTGAGAAGTGCACGAGGTGCATCTTGTGGACTTGGGACGTGGTCATCGAAGGAGGGAGTTGGGATGGAGTGGATGTTAGGGAGGGCTGCGCAGTTGGAGGAATGAATGTGCTCGAGCTCTGGGTGTGCACCGTCGAGGGGTTTCTGGCTTGACCAGGGGGAACGAGCGGAATCAAGTTGTGCGCAGTATTCTGCGTGGGGATGTGCACCACGGGTGTGTGATGATGGAGCCGGACCGGGGTAAAACTGCATGGGGTGAGCGCTTATGAAGTTGACGCGTCACCAACATGACGTATACGCACCGAATTGCCGTAACTCAAGACAACGCCGTCCTTGATGTTCAAGTTTACATTACCGTCGGCTACCTGTACACCTTGAACGATCTGACGTGCATAGACGTGAGTCACTCCGGTAATACGATCCGTGTAGCTGTCGCTGCGGATTACGTAGCTCACGCCGTCGTCGAGGTCTACGATAGAGTCAAGGAATGTCTTGGCTACTTCGTACGGGTCTACCCGCACTCTGTCTTGAGTAGAGAAGAGTACGGCGGGCACAGGCTGGTGAGCACTACTGTCGAAGTGGGCATGAGGGAGAACAGGACCAAATGAAAGGGACTTGCGACGCTGCGGTTCGGGAATGGCAGCAGCGAGGCCGAGGAGAGCGAGTGTTACTGTTGTCAGTCCGCGCATTGCAAAGCTTAGCGGAGACCTTGGTTTCACTTGACCATTCCGTTCAGGTTTATATCAACTCAGTCCACGTAAGCGCGGTGAATCCCGGTGCGGTGGCTATACACGTAATCTTCCAATTATGGCGGGTCAAGATAAGTCGCCTCGAGGAGACGGAAATGGGGTTGTTGGGCTTGCAAGGCCTCAGATCAAACAAACCAGCAAGCTCGATCAGGTCTGTCCTCCTCATGTACAGTAACGAGATCCGACGTGCGAATATCGCACTTGGAGCCCCGTGGCATAATTTTCTACTACGCAGGGACCACCAGGCTACTTATCGCAGTACCTAGGGCACTATCTCATTCCCACACCAAATCCACGCGTCTATCGTTTGCTCATCACACTCCACGTTATATGGACTCCTTCTTGTTATCGCTTTTCACCCTGATTGTCCTTCTCCTTTCTCGGTGTTCGACGAAGCACAGTGACATGCATGTCTCCATCGCGACAGCGTGCTTATGTATCACATCATAGCATCATCTCTTTCTCCTATCTACCAATGTGCAATGGTGAGACACTCTTGCAACGGAAAAAGCTCGTTCATTCTTTGCCAGACCTGTTCTAAGCCTGAACGTTTCGAGTGCAGCCTGTAAACACCCAAGCGCAAGTTTTCGTGCCTCTCGACCGTCCATTTAGAGATAACGAATCGGGATGGATGATTCCACCGGAAATCACGCCTTGAATCACGACATCACACAGCACAATTGGTTCCAGACGCGGTATATTTATCGACCACTCCTTCACTACCTCCTTTACGTATCACAGTACATTATTCCACAGACAACCTGTCGCGAAAGCAACATCAGCACTAATATTCAAGAGGTACAGGATAACCGCGCTCACCGCTTACTTTCACGTGCAGAACGCACCACTGGTCGTGGCTTCACAGCAAGTAGGGCAGCCACAGCCTGCAACGTACACGAACTTGTCGGTCGATGCACATTCATAAATGAACGCATTTCCGCCATTAATACTCGCGTCTTGCGAGCACCCATAACCACCTGAAAGCAAGCGTAAGTACACCGTCAAATTATCTGCACATCCCGCGACACATCATTATGTGGCAAGAGCACTTACCTGGGGTGTCGCAAGACTGGCCGATAGGGTTGTACGCGGTGGCTACGCCAGCCATTACCGCAACAGACACGATCATAGATGTGAGTGAGATGAATTTCATGTTTGTAATGAGGAGAGTGCTAGGGCTCGATGATTTATCTTCTGTTGAGTTGAGTGGAAAGCTGCACTTTCCTCTCACCTTTTATACTATAGCCCTAGCATGCCCCAGACAACGATATATTCCTCCATATCACATCCGACGTGGGACGGGTTACCTTGCACGGCATTCCCATCAAAGTCATAATGCTCTACCTGTAGATGGACGCAACGTTCGACAGCCGAGATGCATACGGGGCTAGAGGATTGATCTTGAAATGCTAAGCACCCATCCACATGACCTATCCGGGGCGATGGGCGCGGAGAATAATGTGTCAAAGCAATGGTCTTGTCATGATTACCGTGACAATGATATGTATTTGCCCGTTCTTGTCTCTGAGTTGTTTAATATTCCGGTCTTCAGATTGTGGTGCTGAATCGCCGTTTGATGAACGTCAACAGGATACGGGGGTGCTTGCCTCGAATTCGGAATAGGACAGGCTGACCATTTGGCTGAGCTGACTGTTCTGTCACATCAATAGATTTTACTCTATCAAATTGACTCATCTGCGATTCAGACAAGACATGTGATATAACGAACCCTTGTCAAGCTGTACTATAACGTTGACGCATCCTGTGCTGTCCTGTGCAACCACGGGATATCTTACTAAAAATTGTTTGGGGTCGGATAAAATTGGAAATTCGTAAGTACTGCGCAGACGTGGCATGGTGCCAAGGTCTCAGTCTGAAAGTGATCGAGTGATCCGATTATTGTATCAGGGCCCAGCTGGGCTTGTCCGTAGTACGGAGAGGCATAATTGAATTTCATTCTAGCGAGGTGGTTCAGTAGCTTCAACTATCTGGTGGTCGATTATTACTAACGACTGCATGATACTTTATATTATGTTTCGTTCCGCGACTCTACCATTATTCTCCAGTTCCCATGACTCGGAATTAGCGTCGGCAGAAGTTTCTGCTTGCCTGTACTGAGTCTGTTCCATCTCTACTGATGCAGTGCTGACTATATATTACTATCAGGTCGGCTCTCCAACAGTGGAGAGTACGAATAGCCTTGACGCGTAAACAAATGTTGCTGGTTGCAACCGCCCCGCGGCTGCCGACTTCCGGTCCGCTCCTTCTGAGGTCGGAAGCTTTTACTCTTCAGCGGTGCCAATGTCTGTGGGGATATCTATTGTCGTGCTCCAGTGTCCACTCGAGTAATTGAGGTATACTCACGACGATCCAGCCTGGCACCAATTACACGAAGCTGGAAAAGACTTGAAAAAGGCATCTTAACATAGGCGCCTATGCAAAACTACAGTAGTGTCCAGGTAGATAAGTTCGAATCACAATGCGCACGCACATGGAAATCCGAGCAATAAGGTAGTAGAAGCCTGTTGGAGAAAATGATATACTGAGTGCTTACTTACGACAAGTTCCATGTGTCCATGACCGGCAGTGATGGAGTGAGAACAGGCAAAATATAGGTCAATGAGTATCGATAACTGTTGATAGAAACTGCCAGTGATTCAATATGCGTAATGTACAAGGTCGTGAGAAATACTCGCTGAGCTGCAGGAATGCAGGAATCATCTGCATGTACGTGAACGTTGCTTTACAAGCGCTGTGTCACCGCAGATGTAAAATCGAACTTATCAGATTACGTTACGATCAAGTTACTGCGTCGACGTAGATATCAATGTCAAAACATTCTTCGTTTTATATTTATTGTATACAAGTAAGCGCACGCGGGTGGACGCCGCGCTCCAAGTCATCATAAGATTATATATTGTGGATATTAGCCTGAACGTTGAACGTTTTAACCTCGAGTTTGAATACGCAAATACCAAAGAATCATTGGCACCGTGCACGATGCAGATGTTTGTTCCATACAGCAAATCTACAACATAGTATGTAATATCACCGCTGCCTCAACTGCAAGCATACCTAATTTACAAGAGAAATATTGCCTTCACGTACATTCTGGGGCACATGGTTCTGGAGCAATGTCTTGAACACTTCATCGTCCGTTAGAACGGGCGCGGTTGGGCTTAATGATATGATGATCACGTCTAAGCACTCAAAGGCAACTTTGAAACTCCCTTCGTGTGACCGCGTTGGACGCATCGTGCTCAGCATTCCCAAAAAACCCATTTTTTTTTCGTAGCATCCCATGGCATCCACTGTCAGCCATTCATCCAACGGTCTACGCTTCCTGAGAAGCTTGCCTTTCTTATACCGAAGGCAGATCCAGGTGAGAACCCAGACGAACGATTCAGCATCGTGACGGTACACGTGCTCGACTCGGCCTGCGATGGCTTCTGGCTTAAGAAGGTCTAACGCCATGAACGGTACCGTTCCTGTGCGCTCGAAGCCTCTGGGACCGCCTTGAATCGAGGACAACAAATCTTTCATCGACGATAAGTCGAAATCATTGAGGACGCTGATAAATCGACCGCGTAAGCGGTATCCCATGAGATTGTTGGGACTGACGTCGCGGTGATGTACCCCCCTCTTCCAGAGCGCGCGATGGCCTGTAGCAGTGGTAAGTGGATGATAAATACCACCAGAAGGACAGGTCACTTACACTTGACGACTTCCCACCATGCGAGGAGGAACTTCTTACCGCTCAGGGTCGTGATTGGCTCAAGCTTTTTGAATACAATGATGTATAGGACCCGGCTGCCCGCATCGTCTATCCCTAGCGCCTTTCTGATTATCGCTGTGGACGTGTCTTCAAACTTGTGGAACCAGACCATCTCTGGAACATGGCCCAGCACATCGAGATCGTCCTTCGCAATCTTGTAGACCTCTTCGAGGATCTCGGGCTCGCTCTGGCGTGCCTCTTCTGGCCAGAAGAGCTTGGCAACCAATTTGTTGGTTTTGTTGAGAAAATGTGAACGCCGCGGCAGAGCCGACAGCGCCTTACTTTTCACGGGAAAAACCGTGGTTGCACGTCCCCGCAGACCGAAATGAGTCGCGCGCTTCTCAGATCTCAAATCCAGTGTAAGGTCGACACGCTTCGTCTTATCTTGACCCTTATTATCCCGATCGTCCTTGTTCGTGTCGTCCTCGTACTCGACGATAATCTCCCCTTTATATCCGGGTTTAGGTTCGAACAACGGGTGGAGGCCCCACTGCTTGTATCCCATGCGCTGCATGATGAAGAGCAAGACCACAAAGCGTGGAAGATCCTGAACGAAGTTGATGCCAGCGCATTGAATCGCGTGCTGACGATCGAACCACCAGAGATAGATGATATCGTCTAGAACGAGCCATTACTTCGACGACAGGACAATTGCGTTGCATCCACTTACTGTTAACTATAAACGAGATGACGTGCTGGCGCGCCGTATGAGCTGCGAACATCTCCGCAACATACAAACCATTCTGGATGACAGGATGAGGTTTATACGAACCCTTCTTCTTTTTCTTGTTCCTCCTCTCCTCCTGCTCGGATGACCTATCTTCATCCTGCCTGGATCGTTTGTTGGTGGACGGCTCGTTTGAGCGTAGATGATCGGAACCGCGTTTGTTGCTTCTGAGTCGGTGGGCTATATTTTGCACTGCGTCGCACATGTCAAAAGAAGCAGCGGAGATGCATGCTGGACGACTTACCCTCATTCGAGTTACTGTGGGAGGTCTGAGCAGCACCAGTGGTAGACGTCGAGTCTGTTGACCGATCGGACGAGTCCATTGACTGATCGGATGAGTCCGTTGACTGATCGGATGAGTCCGTCGACTGACTGGATGAGTCAGTTGACGAATCGGACGCGTCCGTTTCCTTCATGAATTCGATATATAGGACATTAGGAGCCACGTAGTCCTTAGTGTAAGCAGATGGCGGATGAGGCAGACGCGGCTTCGGGCGTTTGAACTCAAATGTCGTTCGGACGTCCACCCACTGGAAGTTTTCATGGTCTTTGGTGGGCGCCTTGCACGCAGAACGGTAAACATTTTTAGATTTTCCCTCCGGTATGATATCCGCGGCGGTCTGGCGAGAAACGACGACGACGTCCGGCTTGCGGCTGGACTTCTCGCCTTGATGTTTTTGGTGTATGAACGATGGATCATTCACGTGAAAAACGATGTTGGTTTCATCGTCGTCTTGAAAATCAGGCATTCCAGGTATGTTCACCTTCCCCAGTTCACGAAGTGCATGGTTGGCAGCCGCGACGAAATCAGAGTAAGACGGGGTTTCGCTCTCGATATTACAACTTGATAATGGCGTTAGTCTTTTGGGCGCTCTTTGAATTGCTGGCTCACAATTTAGTCAAGTGTTGCTTGATCTTCTGCGCCACACCTGGCCCATTGCAGAGAGGGAGGACAGCCTCGAGGGAGGTATCGAGTAACGTGGACTTCTGACTGGGAGGAAGGGATTGGTTGGGAGCTGCGCACATTTCGAGAAGCTGCTGCAGCATTTCGTCTGCCCCACATCGCTTGAAGTTCTTGACGTCGCGCGCGATCCATGGACGGACATCACTGACGCTGCATGAACAACAAAGTTCAGTATAAATAATAGAGGTCGGAACAGAACATCTGACGCACTCGACGCCTACAGTGTCGATGTGTTCGCTGACAACAGCGGAGCCGACTGCGTGTGGGGTGGATTTGAGGTCGGCGGGCAAGCCAGACTCGGACTTGCGGGGAGGTGTGGTTGTCACTGACGTAGTGGCGCTAGCATTATTGGACATGATGAGGCCTTCCTAGGAAGATGCAAAAGAAAGGTGAACTTTGGGATGAAGAAGACGAGATTTGAGCTCGCTATTTAAGCTAGCGCAGCACTATTTAGTATTGTCGGACATTTCGAGTCAAGGTCCACAAGTGTTTGAATTCGAAGAAGTTGATGGAAATCTCAGTCTGTCGGCTACAATTAATAAAAGTTGTGGCACAAACGGACCAACGGTTGACATGTCGACAACGCATCACTTCATCAACACGACCCACCTCATCCAGATCAGTCTTGAATTTTCTGGCAGTTGTATCTTCTTTGTATCGTTACTCCAATAGTTCGCTGCTGTTATCTTTTGGCCCATCTACGACCGGGTACGATCTTTTTCTTAATGAACATTTTTCTAAAGTTTTTTTTGACGCTCCGCACATCGCACAAGCTTCTTCGAAAGTCTCGTAGAAGAATTTCACTGATTGGAGGAATGGTTTGTGGGCGTCGAAGGACTTGATGGCCCGTCTGATAGCCCAGCGCCCAGCTGTCAATTTCTTCGCAACGGCCATCACCGATTTCATGTACATATTCACCAACCTTTCGGATGACGGATGACTAGTAAGTACTTCTACTCACAACATGGGAATAATCAAGGAATCTAGACTCTGATCGTCTTATCAGACTCATCTGTCTTCCCGAACAACCGGGCTGCGATCTTTCTCTACGGTTGAAAGAGGACTCAGGAGGCCTCAAAATCACTCAGCTTCCTCAAATTATGAACCGTTGCTGTTGCCTTTGGCACGCATCAGGTGTAGTTTCCTTTGCTATCTGCTTTTATTGACGCTCCATACGCTGCACAAGGACGAAAGTCGTGCAAATATGGTCCACTGATTCAAGTCCGCAAATGAGTGGCGTGTGGACGTCGAAGAACAATGGATGGACCGATAGCCTGTTGATCAACTTGCGGCGGCCATTCACCCCCATTTTGATTTACAAATTTTAAACTTCCATATCGCCAACCTTTGGGACGAGTGAACACGCGAACATGTAAGAAATCTGATTCTGATGGTCTTCTCACACGTCTCCATCTACCTCCAAAATATCGGGCTGTGCTTCCATTCTCTGCAGTAGAAGTCGTAGAGGTGGACCCCCGCTACTCCCCTGGTATCGCCCCCAGGCAGTGGAATCAAGCCTCGGAGATCGATGGTCTAATGCGATAGCGCGCCGTGAATTCCTGAAATACGGAACTCGGGCGCGATGTTTAGATTTTTTTGAGAAGTTCTTGGTTATTGTCCGTTGAGGTGAAGCCCTATGGTGGACACTACCTACACTATTTTACCAACTATATATGTTTCTTGGCCTTGTGATGGCGTCTATGCTGTGCAGTGGTCCCGACTTGCGCGGGAACGGTCAGGGCCTTTTCCAGCTCTTGATACGATGGTGATTGTTGGTGGATTTCCTTCGATCTTCCTGGGGGGATCACATCTCCGATGACTGACGTTCGTGTGGCTCAAGTATACAGACACTCGATCGACGAAGTGACCCATCTACAGACTATGTAGGCTTCATGGATGATATCCAGATGCTGGGTGGAACGATCTGCGGACAAAGGTGATGTTCGAAGTGCTATAGAGTTCTGTGAGAATGATCCTGTGTGGTCATGCAATATAAGCGGTTGGAGGACTGACATTATTTGCAGTTCATCGTAGGCCTGAGGCCTGAACGTTGAACTTTAAGCTTGAACGTTTGAACACGCAAATACAAAATAATGGCACCGTGCATGATGTTTGTTCTGCATCGAATATACAAGATTGTATGTGACATCACATTTCGGAGGCACGCTGCCTCAACTGCAAGTATACCTACTCTATCAAAGAAATATTGCCTTCAAGTACATTCTTGGGCACATGGTTCAGGAGCCATGTCTTGAATACCACTTCATCGTCCGCTGGAACGGACGTGAATGGTCCTAAATATTTGTGAATCACCTCTAAGCAACGCATGACAACTTTGAAGTTCGCTTCATGCGACCGCGTTGGGCATATTTCGTCCACCGTTGCCAGATAACCTGCTTTTTTCTGATGGCACCCCCTGGCGTCCACTGTCAACCATTCATCGAGTGGTCTGTTCCTCCTGAGGAGTTCACCATTTTCATATCGAAGACAAATCCAAGTGAGGACCCAAATGAACGATTCAGCATCATGATAGTACAAGTGCTCGACTTGGCCTGCAATGGCTTTCCGCGTGAGAAGGTGTAGCGACATGAAGGGTACCGTTCCTGTGCGCTCGAAGCCTTTGGGAGCGTCTTGAATGGAGGATATTGATTGTATGATCGATGATAAGTCAAAATCGTTAAGGACGCCGATAAATCGACCACCGAAGCGGTATCCCATAATATTACTGGGGCTGACGTTGCGGTGATGCACGCCCCTCTTCCAGAGGACGCGATGGCCTGTCGGAGTAATGGGTGAATGATAGCGAACAAGAAAAGGACACGATGACACTTGCACTTGACGACTTCCCACCATGCGAGGAGGAACTCTTTGTCGCTCAGCGTCGTGATTGGATCAAGCTTTCTGAGCACGATGATACGTATGACCCGGCTGTCCGCGTTGTCGATTCCTAGTGCCTTTCTGATTGAGTTCAGTATGGATAATGGTGGCCGGAACTGAAGATCTAACGCACTTGACACTTAGAGTATCAATGTGTTCGTTGACAACAGTGGAGCAAACTGTGTGTGGGGTGAACTTGAGGTCGGCGGACAAGCCACAGTTGCCAGGAGTTGTGTCTGTCACTGACGCAGTGGCGTCAACATTATTGGCCATGATGGGGCCTTCCTAGGGAGATAGAAAAGAAAGGTGGACTTTGGGATCAAGAAGACGAGATTTAAGCTCGCTATTTAAGCTAGCGCAGCACTATTGTCCGACATTTCGAGTCAAGGTCCACAAGTACTGATAGTTCCTAGTCGAATTCAAAGAAGTTGATGAGAGATCCCAATTCTCGGATAATTTTGTGGCGCAGTATCATTTCATGAACACGACCTGCCAGCATCTGTTATTGATCAAGAGATGTTAAATTATGTGAAATAGGCATGCATTGGAAATACTTCGCCGTTGAACGACATAGAACGCCTAATGGGCCTCGTAGGACTTAGGGAGGCGTTCGAACACCCATATAGCCAAAAATTGGCTCCTCGACGTGCGGAGGAGTCGGCTGTTATTGGTGACGATGCAGGAAAAAAGTAGCTGAGCCCCAACATAATAACACGCACGTGGCGATCAGTTTGATTGGTCAAAATGATCCACGTTGATTATGAAGGACCAAGCCTATGGAGAAGGGAATGACACGAATCTGCTCAGGCCTTAACCAATCTCCCCACTCGGTGCCAAAATAGACATTCACCAGTCTCCCCTTCCTTCCCCCAGATACCTCCTTCTCCCTACACCCATCCCCCAACATCCTCGATCCACCTATGAGATGGGCGATCCAAACGACATCCATCAAAAACGATACCCCACAACGGTGTCCAAAAACGCTGCCACCACACAACATCCTCCCTCTCGCTAAGCACATGTTCATAGAACAACATCTGACCCCCAGGTTTCAGCACCTCCGTGACCAATGAAGAGATGGTGGATTGTGGCGAGGGGATGGAACAGAGAGTGAGGACAGATATGAGTGTGTCTACAGGTGGGTGCGGCGCAGGAAGATAGGAAAGGATGGTAGAGATGTTTTCAGCACCACAAGGGAGGATGAGGAGCGTTCCAGCATCTTCGTTGTACCCAGCAGCAGAGGCAGTACGGCGCAGCTTTGCATGCATATGCACGTTGGGTTCTACAGCTACGTATTTCGTAACACGCGAATGGTCGAGGTAATTGATGGTGTGGCCGTGTCCTGTCTTTGTATGAACAGATTATCGTTGCGGTGGAAAAAGAGACACACCTGCACCGAGGTCTAGCACAACGCCATAGGCGTGTGGAGTGATGAGCCCATTTTTGACCGCCCTTCCGGCTTCGTCAGCGCTATCACCATAGAGGTCCCATACATGGGACATGAAAATGCGGGATATTTCAAGTGGTTGGAAGAGTAAGGAGGGAACATGCCAGATTGCTATAATCGTAGGCCAGAGGCCGCCGACGAAGCCAAGACGTAGATCTGTGACCACTCCGAAGGCTGCATCGAGGCGCATCTCAACTTGAACTGTCGCACGCAGTAACTGCACTTGATGATGCAGTTGACAGAGAGGGAGGCATGACTAGCGCATATATTTATATTTTATCGGTAACTGGATTGAGAATCAGGATTCACATGGGGTTTGTTAAGAGAAGGGCCCCCGGTGTTTGCCGTGACGTGCGGCTCCCGACGCGTACTAATAGTCACGTGGTTTTTCAACACGACGGGTGATTTCATTGTGCAAGCCTGTGGCACACTTCCTGATGTTTGAGATTCAGATTTGGACAAAGGATTCCGATAGGTCACTTGGATGATGACCTGGACCTACTAGCAGACTCGGATCCACTAGCGTCCTCCCAGATGAGCCTGTCGGGGTTCGGTCTCATTCATGCGTAGCATCCATTCTTTCAAATTATTGTTGCCTAGCGGCCAATGACTTATTACCGGTTCTCTAGTTCCTCGTCGCACGCGAACCATCTATATCGAACAGGTGAGGAAGCTTACTTGAAGTTCTTTCGCCTTGATCCCCCAGAGTTTGCTATCCTGCCGTATTCGCGTGACGACCACTGAGAGCTCCTGAGTCATCTATTCACGCGGTCTTTCAAGACTCCAGGTTTATCATCGGGGACATCAAATAAGGGCAAAGTGAAGACGTGCAAGATATCAGGAGCGCGTTGGTTCTATACCCAGGCGCTGGTGCGTTGTTCAGGTTCTCTATCTTCACCAGATGTCTTAGTATCAGATCCTACTCATCATCTATATTCTAATGAGCTACAACAAAATGCCATCACGATGCACTGCGCACATTGCCCATCCGGGGCGAACGCGTATCTCAACAATATGCATCAATGTGTATATATTGATCGTGTGGCACGCGCACGACATCGATATCGAAAGTACACATGCACATGGGATCATGGGCCTGCACCTGCGATCGGACTCTATGCAGCCCTCCCCCTGAGCTCTCTCATCGGCCTATGCATGTATATCTTGTCCATCTACCCGTCATAATCAGAGCCAGTGTTACCGTCGACTGATAGAATACTAGTACCAGTGGTCGTCGGTGCGTGAGTCGTAGCTTCAATGTCATACACGCTACACTCCTTCACCCAGGTCCACCTCTCTGCGCGTATCGCAACAATGCGGCACGCGTGTTCGTCGGTGCATCGCGATTGGTATCTACGCAGATTGAACCCTGGGCTCATTCCAGGCGTTTAGGACGCGCACGCTCACCATTCTTTCACTTGCAAACCAGAAACGAAACGGGAGCAGTCGATCCGCAATCAAGTCTGCGCTGGAGTAAATGTCCGTCGAGCTGTAGAGGAGTGTTAGCGTTGGAAACGTTATTCTTTACATGTGGTTATGATTTGTGTTGAATTAAACAGTTTTTATGAAATTGAGATTGGACTATGTAATGCAGATTTAGAATCGCACAAGAATCTAACAATCATAACCCGGGTATATGCAAGAAAACCATCCATCTAACCGACTACCTCCTACTTTCAGGCGGGAACACGAACCCAACACCGGCGATGGGGCTCCAACCCTCCTCCCCGGCTCTTTCATCAGGTCTGATGAGGCTCGCGATACTAGCTGTATGCCTATGTCCTCTCCCCTTCCCCTTTGCGGGATTCGGTGACCGGTAGGCAATAGGCGTCTCTTCCTCATCGCTGATCGTCCAATCGCTCGCAAACTCGTCTGCGCCCACACCGCCCCTCCTCGATTCGAGATCGTATCTCTCGTACTTGTCCTCAGCAACATTAACGCTCCCATTGCGCAGCTCCTCGGGGACGAAAAAGTAGAAACAGGCGGTGGCGAGACAGGCACCACCCACGACATCAATGAGATAATGATGGCTGAGGTACATGGTGCTCCAATAGAGGACGGCTGCGTATGCCCAAGCCCATTTCGCATACTGGGGCCACAAGGCGGTGATGAATAGTGCTTCGAGAGTGGCCCATGCGGCATGCAAACTGGGGAATGCACCAAATACGAGGGGCGAGCTAGCAAAAGTGCGTTTGTAGCCATCCCCACCGAACAGGTCGTCGATGCGGCCTAAGCCGCCTGCGGATCCGGGTGTGCCGTATGCTGCGGGTGTAAGGCCGTATATGATTTCGTACCAGGGTGCTGCGCAAGGAAGGACTATTTGGGCAAATACGCCTATACAGTTTTGATAGCCAAAGGCTTTTGCGAATACGGGGAGAGTGGGTGGGCGGAAGAGCCAGAGGAGAGCAGCGAGGACGAGGGGGAATGTGTAGTGGATAACGCCGTACGGGAGCCAAGCGATGATATCGAGGACTGGGTGTGTGAAGTGAGTGAGGATATCGCTTATGTTTGCACCGTAGAGGACGGATTCGAGAGTTGGGAGGAGGACGACGTGGACTGCGGGGCGGTGGTCTGCGGGTAAGAATTGGTTTGAGTAGAACATGAGAACCCATGAAAATATGGGTGTTGCAGGTATAAAGAATTGAGAAGTAAATGGGATGAGTAGGGCGATTGCATATAAGATTGGTATTGCTAATTTGTAGGGGAATGGAGGGACTTGCATGAGAGCGAGCCAAAAGAAAGCAGAAAGTATGTGAAGGATGTAAATCGAGTCTTTGAAGGTGAATTTGTATGCACGAAACTTGTTCACTGTATCCCAGGGTGAAAATGACTTGTCAAGTCTATTCACCCCAGCTACAAGCCCGTTCACTGTGGCCCGCAACACTGGTCTCATGGTAAAGGATGAATGCCGTGGGAATAAAATCATTCTGAACATTAAGTTCATCATATAGATCACGAGACGTTTCGTTGATGTATGCTGATAATCCTGATAGTAATACAGCACGCCAATGATCTACTACTTCTATATATCCTCCGAATCACCAAATAAATACTACAACGAAATTCCAAATAACCGTGGTTGATCATTTGGGTCGCCGTGTTAAACATCTCCACCAGTCAACACACCTTCGCCCGGAGTCAACGCATCGCCACCAGCCTGGAAGTGGATGGACGTCATACGTGTGCCCTCGTCGGACCTGGCCACGAGCTCAGCATGATATTCGCGAATGCTGAGGATCAGACGCGGTCCCAGCACAAACATCTGCAACGCCTGTGCAACTTTGAGAACACCGCCAAAAAGCATACTTCCCACAGACGATGAGTACTGTAGAAATGATGATGAGCGGACAGACATAGATGCTTAGTCGCAGATCAGCGCACCGTGATATTTGCAGACAGTGAGCCCAGGGTGAAGCAAGCTACAGTAGCAAATCTAACACATGTGGAACTTCAGTGAAACAAGACAATAACATCCAAACCACCAAACTCACGCTACAAAGTAAAATGTGTGACTTTGAATTAACACCACAAAGCAGTCCCCAATGGTCGACCCTGTCGAAGATTGTCGCAGCTCACGCAAGTGTTTTATGACAATCCGGACCGCAAGAATGAAGGCGAGGATCTCCCATATAGCGGTGAATATCAAACTCTCGTAACCCAGATCCACCTGGTGTGTGTCCTCATTTGTAGTAACACACACATAGTTGCCAAAAATGATGAATTCCTCTGGTATTTGTCCATGAGTATTATGTGCTCGAGGGTTTTATCGATAATTAAAGCCCACCCGCTGAAACACCGATGTGCGCCATGACTGTCATAACGCCGGAGAAGATCGTGGAAGCCAGCAAGACTACAACAAGGAAGGCGAGCAGCTTTTTGGGTCGTCCATACATGGCATATATCCGAATCATCATGATGACTTGCATGATATTTCAGTCAAGTCAGTATCAGGAAGGTACCGCAGATGAGCTCACCGCCCAGCATAGCATTGACGACGACAGGCATCCATACCGATATGATGAAAATGATAAGGCCTGAAAACAAAATTTACTGATGTGCATTAACAGACTCGATGCCTCGCATGAACTTACAGCTGTTGCAGTCGTTATGTTTAACATGACAAGGTGGCTGAGAATATCACTCACTCCTGTGTAGGAGTGCAGTTAGTAATTGAATGGGAATGGCAGCCATGGGTGCAGAATGCCCACTATGTCTGACATTGTCTATTATCGGGACCAAGATATTCACTACATGCCGCCAGTTAGAAGAAGCGAACAGTCTATTTGAGGGGATACATACATAATAGGACGCTAATTGAAGGTATGATTGTCAGTATAGAGCAATGACGGCTTGTTAGCCGCGCTAACTTACACGTAATATGATAGTCCGATGTAGCGCACCTAGTATATGTTGAAGTCGATTCAGCACAACATGTCGATTGCATTCATAACATGATAACGTACACAAACATAAAGAACGGTCGTGAAGGACCAGTGTTGCCTCTGCTCCAAGTCAGCTGCGTTATCCAATTTGCTTCTGATATAGGACATTACTTACCCAGACCAGTTCGAACTGTCAAAAAATTCTCAGTGAGACGTGGCTGCATCGATGACATCAACTTACCTCTTGTCCGAATGTTAATGCTTGAATGCCGTATAGATATTAATGATACCTCGGAAGGTATTGTTTTGCTCACCCCAATCGTATACCACCACGGCAGAAGATACGACTGGAAAACCAGTCAATGGTAGTGAGATGTCACCATCTTCATCCAACTTGCTCTCTACTGACCTAAAAAATAGGTGAAAACCTTAAAATCACTGATCCACGGCAACCAAGTGGGATCATTTGAGACTACGGTCATATCTGGATGGGGTGGATGAGGTTTATGCTGCGAAATATTTGAAGGCGCTGAAAATCAGTCTGCGAAGCGATATGTTCCAAATCTAGTGCTGTCAAACTACCACATTCTGGCCATATCCATCACTGGTCGTCTAATGATACTTACCTAACGTAGACTAACTGCAGAGCCTCGTTACGTGAGAGAACTTATCGATGAAGGAATGTGTTCCAATGCTGTTCGGCACGTTCTGCACTGCTTCCATCAGCACATGATCATCTGATCGCTAGCGTTCACTGCAGGGCTTCATTCAGATAGCTAGTAGATTATTATTATGTTGCACCATCCAATCATAACGCAGCAACGTACCACAGTCTAAGATGTGCACACCCAATGCACAGTAGACGTCGACAGACTGGACGCTAGTAACACCTAGAACTCCTCAATGAGATCCGTCAAGACTGCTAGCTCTCGGTTAGTCTGATGTCACATGGGTCGCACCAGTATGAGGAGCTTCATCATACGACCACACTGCCGTTGATGTGATGCAGGCCTGCGATGCGATGTCGGCTCCCTCTTCATGCTCTAATGATCAAGAAAAATGGTGTGCTGTTCAGATATATTGGTTGCGCCCATGAGACAATGATGTAAAGAGACGAAAATGAACTACACCAGCGGCTCAAGAGGGCAGTGTGCTTGATCATCATGCATCAGCGCCCAGCCTGCGAACTGCTACATAATACCAACAGGGATCTCTCCTTGCCCCATCCTGTGATAACGTACTAGTAGTGACGTATCCTGAGACGGTTCTTTGCTTAAGCAAAGATAAGCCCTTTTTGACCTGTCTGCTTCGTTGACGTTATTAAGGTCCGATATTGGAGTAGGTGAGGATGTCGCTTATGTTTGCACTGTAGAGAGCAGGAAGTATGTGAATGTGGATATTTGAACTTGTCACGGTGTGCACGGTGCTTGTTCACTGGTGAAAACGACTTGTAAAGTCTATTCACCGCAAGCGGCGGGTGAAAGGATGAATCCGTGGGAACAAAATCATTCTAAACATTGAATCAAGACATTTCGTTCTTGTATACTATATATCGTTCCATGGGAAATGCACAATTTTCACTCATTGCTAAATAACAACACAACAACAACACATATTCGTATCGGATCTACTGTAGTGTATACCTTAGGTCTCTGCGCATTAGGCCCAACAAGATTTTTTTTATTTCGTTGTGAGCTCGTTGCAGCGGCAGCACTGGAAGTTGAGATGTCGAAAAACAATAGAAATGCACAATTTTGTCACACTATGTCACGCGCGGCACCTCGGCCATTACACAATTGTATCGAAAGTCCGACAGTGCTCATGTTATATTCTAAGTAATTCCGAGGCACGAGGTATTACGTAGAATTGGATCTACGCGACATTGAAGACTTTTGTGGACTCACCTTTCTTGCTTCGTACTACTCGCAAGTTCTCTTCTCCTCGACTCCACTCTTGTTTCGTCGCAATTTTTAATCTCGTTTTTAATATAATTCAATGCCTAGAATTCGAAACGATCCTAATTTCAATGTCTGCCTGGACTACGCTACACTTCCTTATGCTGTCGCTCGGGAACAAATCGTGAATGAACAAGTCACTGAAGCTCAAGCAGTTCAATTTCTACGGAATATATGGGAGGCCGCAAACAATGCCGAGAAGGCATTGTGGCTGGAGCAAGTTGAAGCTGACAGAGAGCAACACGACCAACTTCGTTTTCTTCAGGAAGAACAAGAAGAGATACAGGAACACGAGAAGCTAGCAGAGGAAGAGGCGGTGCGAAAAGAAGAAAAGAAAAAATACAAACATAAGTACACGCCCATTCAAGCTTCTGGAGTTCCGGACGAGCCCACTATCACGCCATCAGCATACGCGATTCACAAATTGGACAAAGGCGAATATGTGGAATTATGGTATTTTACCAACAATGGTCTCGACAAGGCGCACGTTAGGAAGACCACCATTGAAGAGGATGCGATGGTATTATCATCTCTCCCTGACGGTTCAACAGCATGGGTATCTTCTGCTTCGGCTCGCAACGCTTCATCCGTCGTCAATGACGAGGACCTTTCTTTTGAGGACTTTTGTCAAGCGTGCCCTAGGTTTATAGCCGCCATAGAAGAAGCCGACTGGCCACCAGATCGCGTCAGAATGTTAGCGGTTTTTTGGAAAAACCTACAGGTACACAAATATCGTTCATTGCGGGATCCAATAGCACAGAAGATGCTACTTGCCTATCAAGCGGAACAGTGGAAACGCTGGCATGTAGTGGCAAAATCAGCTGCGGGCCCTTATGACTTATCCGCCATCAACACCAAAGTACTGGAACGCACAAGAGATAAGGTCTATTGGCAAGAACGCGCGAAGAGAGACAATCAGAGAGACTACAGGGTCAGTAACGCTCAAACAAAACATTTTGAAATACACTAACAATTTTTCCTCTCCGTTTTTCGATGCGCTGAAATATCGCGCACCATATATACATAATGCTTCATGCCTCACGCCACAACATACCTCGCGCCACATTCTACATGCTTCACGCTACCCATATGCTCCTGCGCCATGTCCTCGTTACCTGACACTCGCAGGCTGACCTAAGAACTGCTTCATCGTCCAGCCTCGGTTCGGGTCCGCATCGTGATCAACGAGACTCTCATAAGCGAAATGCGTCCCCAGAACAGGGCAGCACTAGGAAGAAAGCGCGACAGGATTTTCGGGCAAGCACAAACGGAAACGCCCTGTCCGCTTGTGCTGTGTGCCTCGGGCGCAACCCTCACAGGATTATCGAATGCAAGTCCCTCAAGACTTGGGACAACGCCCACGATACGCTTTGTACCCGCCTCAACAAGCTTCTCACAATGCGAGACGCACGAGCCATCTGCAGCGATTGGCAGGGAGTCAGTGGATGCAACGATACTTCCCACGATCGACGCCATTTTTGCTCTGGATGCGCAGCCTCCTCTCATGGAGCTCAGGCATGCCCTCGAGCTCAGAAAGCTTAGAGCTGTTTCACCCTACAAGCCGGATGTGTGGGAAGCCAAGCTCATTCAGGCAGGACTCATCGATAGATACCCGCATGTTCCCGACGGTCTCCGTCGTGGTTTTCTTCTCGATATTCCTAATATTAGTATCACGCAAGTGCCGCCGAACAAAGAGTCCATTATTACCTATCAGCAACAGTTCCTGTCCATTATTCAGTCCGAAGTCAAAAAGGGTAGATATCTTGGACCGTTCCAAGCCAACGAAGTTCACGACCTCATTGGTCCTTTTCAAACCTCTCCTTTTTCCATTATTCCGAAGCCTGGACGTCCAGGAAGCTATCGCGTTATCCAAAACTACTCTTTCCCGCATAATACATCGAAAAAATTCCCTAATCAGTCAATTAATTCTTACATCAATCCGGACAACTTTCCCAGCACTTGGGGAACATTCCACGTGCTTGCCCTCACTATCAGTCGTTTACTGCCAGGGTCACAACTGGCAACAAGAGATGTGTCGGAAGCTTACCGCACCATACCCTTGCATCATTCTCAGTGGCCAGGATCGGTCGTACAGGTTTCTGACTCTCTTTTCTGCATTGACACCTGTACATGCTTCGGTCTCAGGCCTTCAGCAGGCGCATACGGCGTTGTGGCGGATGCGGGACTTGACCTTTTCAGATTTAGCGGCATTGGTCCTGCATCCAGGTGGGTGGACAATCATCTATTTATTCGGATTCTTCGGATTCATCTCGCAGAATACAATAGACAGCGGCAAGAGCGTCACCTTAGAGTCATCACCCAAGGCCAACACCAGGACGGAGGTAGAATCTGGTTTGGGGGAGAGATTTTCCAAGATGGCACGATCGACGAACTCAACGAGGACAGTCGCTTTCCGATTTGTGACCTCTCAGCTTCTTCTCCAAGATCAGAAGAAGAAAGTCTTTTTACCTGCAACTTTGCTGACATCGACGACACGTTGAACGAGCTCGGCATACCTTGGCAGCTCACGAAAGATGCTCCCTTTGCCTATTCCAATCCATACATTGGATTCATTTGGGATATTGTGCGCAATGTTGTTTATCTGGACCAGCCGAAGAAAGATAAGTATCTCCTTGCGATCAAGTCGTGGCGCGCATGCAGGAAACACGTTCTCCAAGACGTTCAGCAGTTGTATGGTAAACTACTCCACACCACGTTGGTCATTCCAAGGGGACGCGCGTACCTTACCTCACTGGAGGCAATGCTCAGTAATGGCTCCTTCAAGCCTTTTCTCCCACGCAGTCCACTTAAGACACTCACAGCAGATCTTGACTGTTTGGTCAATATTCTTCAAAGCCCCTTCATCGGTCACATCATTCCCTCACAATCAATCATTTACATGACCCAAAGGCCTACTCAGACGCTAGCTTGGGCATCGGAATTGCTATCGTCATTGGATCTCGATGGAGAGCGTGGCATCTTCATCCAGGTTGGCAGATGCTTGATGGCAAAAAAGATATTGGATGGGCTGAAGCAGTCGGGTTTGAGCTCCTCACTCAACACCTTATCCAATTGGGAGGACCAGAACGCCATCTGTGCATCTTTGGAGACAACAAAGGTGTTGTTGAGGGTTGGCGCAACGGGCGCAGCAGGAACTCGGCCATTAATGCAGTCTTCCGACGGATCTTCGCATTCATCCACGATCAACCAACTCCATACACTATCTACCCGGCATACATCTCAAGCGCCTCTAATCCCGCTGATGACCCTTCCAGAGCAATCTATGCCAGCACAGAACTCCTGCTCCCCGCTTTCCCAATTCCCATCGAACTTGATCAATTCATCATTGATCCATTCATCAGCAATTCCTGCTGCAAACGATTCCGAGATCGCTGCAAGAGCAGCTACGTCGCCCCAAGCTCTGTTGTTGACGATTCCGACCTCAGCCATGAGAATCCTGATAGCACCATCATCCCCGATCACCTCTATCATGTCAACGAACGACAATGGCACAATTGACACGCGGTTTGGTGCATCCCTTCCAATAGATCCAATCACCAAACCCCAGCCCTACAAAGCGGGACTGACACCCATCCCATCATCACTTCGCCCTCATTGCCTTGCACGCGACAGGTTAAAGCTTTGGTTCCCACTACAAAGCAGGTCAGTGCGAGATGGTAATGGGAGATTCTTAGCCATTACGGATGAAGATCTGGAGAGAGTCATGTCGGTTATGAACTTAGCATGGGCACAAGGAACGAGGGAATGCTATGGAGCCGGTCTCTTAGTTTTTCACGTTTTTTGTGATATACGCATCGTGCCAGAAGAGCAATGCTGCCCAGCAGATACCCTTACCGTGTTGGCCTTTATCACAAGTTGTGCAGGGTCATACGCGGGACGAACCTTAGCCAACTATGTATATGCGATTCGCGCCTGGCATATTCTGCATGATCGAACCTGGGGGGTGGATCAAGATCAACTGAAAGCCGCATTAGATGGAGCCATCATTCTCGCTCCACGATCCTCCAGACGAGCAAAATGTGCACCTTTCACTGTCAAAAACATTCTGGACATTCAATCACATCTCAACTCATCCCTTCCGCTCGACGCTGCCGTTCTCGCATGCTTGACGAGCACATTCTATTTGTTATCGCGCCTCGGAGAATTCACAGTCAAGACTATAACAGGTTTTGACGGTAGTCAGCATGTCAAACGTTCCGACGTGATAATGGACGCTGAAGATCGCAATGGCCTGCGAGTCACAAAGATTCATCTTCCGCGGACCAAAACTTCGTTCTCCGGTGAGGGCGTTTACTGGGCGCATCAAGCAGATCACACTGACCCAAAGACGGCACTTATCAATCATTTTGCAGTAAATGATCCAGCACACAGCGAACATCTTTTTGCTTGGCGTCACCCTAACGGAATGAGACCACTCACACGAACGATGTTCTTAAAAAGGATAGGAGAGATAATCAGGAAGAATAACATGCCAAACTTGAAGGGGCATGGACTTCGCATTGGAGGCACCTTAGAGTATCTCTTGAGAGGCGTTCCTTTTGACGTCGTAAAATCAATGGGGAGATGGTCTAGTGATGCATTTACCGGATATTTGCGTCAGCACGCCATGATCATGGCCCCATACTTGCAGGAATCGCCCGCATTGGAGCCATTCACTCGCTATACCATGCCACCACTTCGTTAATCAAGGTATGTACATATCACCCTTCTCCTGGTTGTTTGGGAGTCCAAGCTAAGCCTTGACGTTGTAGGACACGAGCTGGCGCTGGGCTCGTATCGAGCTATTTTACAGTACACGTCAAATACCCGTCACATGCTAATCACTTCCCGATGTTATCCGACACTAACCCGCCAACCTGACGTTTAGGCCGCATCGGACCCGATGTTTTCCGCGCACTTGTCCTATCCGTGTCCCGTCCTGTCTTGCTAGCCCCACTAGGTGTGTAGTTTATTATTTTGCACATTACTCACGTCGTAGCCAGCGCTATTACATGTTTTCCCATAGTCCGCCGTGCCTCATGTTTATTTACATGTACTTCGGATCCGAAATACTCCGCCGCTACTTTCGCCTACGGGTTCCGCATTTCTACGTACTTACATATATATTGGACTGACCTCAAGCATTATTCATTATCCAAGTAGAGGGGAGCAGTTCCCCGACGCTTAGTGGTCAAACCCGATATTTCGTAGTTCTTAGTTGACATTGCGAATATCATCGTTCCTTCACCGCCCGTATCAGTCATTGTTATTATTGCGCACACCGCTCGCTCTTCCGACACTCGCTATAGCGTTACTATTAGTTTACGACACCCCGAACCAGAACCCGATAACCCGAAACCCCGAAAACATCGGACCCGACGCTTTTGCATCGGACATCGTAATTATACCTTTGGACATTGTTTCCCGCGCTCGGACTATTGATCACACATCACTCACTTACCCCCAAGACTATTCCCAGACCGCAGACCCCTGGGTCGAACGCACTTGTCAGGCAAGTATAGCAGACTAGGCAGTGCAAAGACCACAACACAAATATATCAGTTTGGAGCCATCTTCGTATAGTTCCTCTCAGTATTGTTGTTTCTACAACGTGTCACAGGGCTCCTGTAATTTTTTGGGATTCACAGCTCACCCTGGCCTCCTTGCGCACAGGGTCGAAACACTGTTTCGAGTCAAAAAACCCTTCGGGTTTTCAGCCCAAATAGCTTCGTCTCAAGTATCTACTATTTGTTCTAGATCAGTTACCTTCATTGCGCAATTAACTGATCTCTTTCGCATCACAAAATCGACAACAAACGCATAGAACGAAGAATTCATGCCATTCAATTAACGCTGAATGCAAACAAAGTGGAGACTCAGTCAAGCCGAGAGCGTGATTTCCTGATCTAGCCTGACTGTCACGGTTTGCTCATGAATCGTGAATGGCACGCTGTGGTGGTGTTCTATTGACATAGAAACACCTGGAGTAGATTCAGAATGGTGTATTTTATATATGTTGAAGTTCCTATGTTGCTAAGTTGATGGGATCTGGGTGGATCTTGACTTTTAGTGTCTGAAAATCACTCATTTTGGGTACACTTGCGCAATGTTTCATCTCAGGAAGGCTCCACAGCGTCGATTTTAAAATTTTGATTTGGTACACCTATTGAATATATGCTAATACTTGTACTCCAGCTGTTTCTAATGAAATATATGTAGAGTTGTGAGCTCTGGAGTGCATTGTGCATTACCTATTGATTGTGCATTCCGCATTGGGTCATAGTAGTTGGGCAGACAATTCTAATAGTAATGCAGCACGGCAGTGGTTTTCCCAGACCTACTTCTATCCTCCAAATCACCAAATAAGTACTACGACGAAACACCAAGTAACTGTGGTTAGCGTTGATCTGAATGGCTGTGCTCAACATCGCCACCAGCCTGGAAATCAATAGACATCATGCTTATTCCTTCGTCGGGCATGGCCACGAGCTTAGCATAATATTCGCGAATGCTGAGGATGAGACGTGGACCCAGCACAAACATCTGCAACACCTGGCCAATTCCGAAAAACCCGACATAAACGGCACTTCCCACAGACGATGAATACTGTTAAAATGATGATGAGCGGACACATGCAGATACTTGGTCGTATATCAGCGCACCCTAATATATGTAGACAGTAAGCCTAGGCTGAAGCAAGCTACAATAGCAAAACTAGCACATGCATAACTTCAGTCAAACAAGATAATAACATCCAAACCACCAAACTCACGCTGCAAAGTAAAATGCGTGACTTTGAATCAACACCGTAAAACAGTCCCCAATGGTCGATCCTGTCGGAGATTGTCGCAGCTGATGAAAGTGTTTTATGACAATCCAGACTGCAAGAATGAAGGCGAGGATCTCCCATATAGTGGTGGGTATCATAGTCTCGTTATTGAGGTCTTCCTTGTTTGTGTCAGATTCGATAAGACACGCATGGTAGCCAAAAAGGAGGAGTTCCTCTGGTATCTGTCCATGAGTCTTACGTGCTTCAGGATTTCATCAATAATTAATGCTCACCCGCTGAGACACCAACATTTCCTATTGCTGTCATAACACCGGATGCAATCGTGGAAGACAACAAGACTACAACGAGAAAGACGAGCATCTTTTTGGGTCGTCCATACATTGCATATATCCGAATCATCATGATGACTTGCATAATATTTCAGTCAAGTCAGTATCAGGAAAGTACCGCAGGTGAGCTCACCCCCCAACATAGCATTGACGACTATAGGTATCCATGCCGATATGAAGTAAACGATAAGGCCTGAAAACAAAATTTAGTACTGATGTGCATCGATGAACTTGATGCCTCGCATGAACTTACAGCTGTTACAGTCGTCATGTTCACCGTAATAAGGGGACTGAGAATATCACCCACTCCTGTGTAGGAGTGCAGTCAGTAATTGAATGGGAATATCAGTCATCGATGCCGAATACCCACTGCGTCTGTTATCGAGAATGGGAGACTCCCTACAAGCCGTCAATGAGAATGAACGAGCACAGTGTATCTGGGGATACATACACAATACGATGATCCTAATTGTGAGATATGGTTGTCAGTACAGTGCAATGACGACTTGTTATCTGCGCTAACTTACACGGAATATGATAGTCCCATGTAGCGCACCTAGCACATATTTAGCACAACATGTCCGGGTCGACTGCGTTCATAACGTACACAGATATAAAGAACGGTCATGAAGGACCAACGTTGCTTCTGCTTCGAGTCAACTGGATTGTCCAGTTTGCTTCTGATATAGGTCCTTGCTTACCCAGACCAGTTCGAACTGTTGAAGCATTCTTAGTGGGACGGCTGCGACGATGACACTGCAACTTACCTCTTGTCCGAATGTTAATACTTGAATGCCGTATAGATATTAATGACACCTCGGAAAGTATTTTCTTGCTCACCCCAATCGTATACCACCACAGTAAAAGATACAACTGCAAAATAAGTCAATGATACTGAGGCATCACCGTGACCATCTTCATCCCACTTGCTCTCTACGCACCTGCGAAATAGCTGAGAACAACAGACATACTTATGAACGGCAGCCAAGTGGGATCATTTGAGATTAGTGTCATTTCTGGATAGGGCGTAGTAGGGAGTTTGTGCAGACACACCACCGTGACCATCTCGGGCCACCGCTCTTATAGCTGTCAACACGAAGCCATTACTACAGCAGCATTTTGATGAGCATCACACCTATTCCAAATCATTAATCATTGATAGGTTACTAGATTCTATTTCATAACGAAACTCACCGCCTTTGATTTTAGAGCGATACAAAGGAGTGTTAGTAGATACCATTCAAATTCTAGGCTCCCCAACAGGATGGTGGGAAACTGAACGCATCAACAAAGTGGCAATGACCGTCGGCCTTAACCGCCATCCGGTATACGCAGTGAACATATTCTTAAGTTGAAGTTCACAGCCCTCGCGCGTACCTATTCTGCACTGTTCTTCCACGTGTCCACGTTCGCCGCATCACTCTTTTGAACGTCCATCGCCGAGCAGGTTATTGTATGAAGTGGACCTCGGACAGTGCCTTATGATCTCATCATGGTAGTTTAAGTCCAAGAAGTCAAGAATTATGGCCCTGTGGAAGATTATCACGCGGAAGGCGAGCATTGAAGATTGAATATTGAGCCCAAAGCCTGAACGTTCGAAAGATGGACAGTAAGGATAGCACGGAGCACGATGTTCGTTCTACATTCAATCTACAAGATAGCTTGAGTATATAACAGGACATTCCAGAGGCATCCTGCCTCAACTACAACTAGACCGCAACCTACTGGCAAGACAAGAGATTGCTTGTAAGTTCACGCACATGCTGTGGAACATGGTTCTGCAGCCATTCCTGAAATACCACTTCATCGTCCGCTGGAATGGGCGTGGATGGGATTTGAAATTTCATGATCGCCTCCAAGCAATCAAAGGCAACTTTGAAATTTTCTTTGTGCGATCGCGTTGGACGCATCGTAGACAGCATTCCCAAAAAAACCGCTTTTTTGTAGAAGCATCCCATGGCATCCGTTGTCAGCCATTCATCCAATGGTCTGCGCTTCCTGAGAAGCTTGCCCTTTTTATACCGAAGGCAGATCCACGTGAGGACCCAGATGAACGATTCAGCATCATGACGGTACACGTGCTCGACTCGTCCGGCTCCTGGCATGAGAAGGTTTAACGCCATGAATGGTACCGTTCCTGTGCGCTCGAAGCCTTTGGGAGAGCCTTGAATCGAGGACAAAGACTCTTTGATCGACGATAAGTCGAAATCATTCAGGACGCCCATAAATCGACCGCGTAAGCGGTATCCCATGAGATTGTCGGGACTGACGTCGCGGTGATGCACTCCCCTCTTCCAGAGCGCGCGATGGCCTGTAGCAGTGGTGAGTGGATGATAAATAGCAAGAGAAGGATAGGTCACTTGCACTTGACGACTTCCCACCATGCGAGGAGGAACTCATCACCGCTCAGTGTTGTGATTGGGTGAAGCTTTCTGAACACGATGATGTATAGGACCCGGCTGCCCGCATCGTCGATTCCTAGTGCCTTTCTGATTATCGCAGTGGATGTGTCTTCAAACTTGTGGAACCAGACCATCTCTGGAACATGGCCCAGCACATCGAGATCATCCTTCGCAATCTTGTAGACCTCTTCGAGGATCTCGGGCTCGCTCTGGTCTGCCTCTTCTGGCCAAAAGAGCTTGGCAACCAATTTAGTGGATTCGTTGATAAAATGTGAACGCCGCGGCAGAGCCGACAGCGCCTTACTCCTCACGGGAACGACAGTGGTTGCACGCCCCCTGAAATGAGTCATGGGCTTCTCAGACCTGAAATCCAGTGTAAGGTCGATGCGCTTCCTCTTATCCCGGTCGTCCTTGTTCGTGTCGTCCTCGTACTCGACAATAATCTCGCCTTCATATCCAGGTTCAGGTTCGAACAACGGGTGGAGGCCCCACTGCTTGTACCCCATGCGCTGCATGATGAAGAGCAAGACCACAAAGCGCGGAAGGTCTTGAACGAAGTTGATTCCAGCGCATGGAATCGTATCCTGACGATCGAACCAACAGAGATAAATGATGTCGTCTGTAATGAGCAATTAGTTCGACGCCAGGACAACTGCGTAGCGTCCACTTACTGTTGACTATAAACGAGATGACGTGCTGGCGCGCCGTGTGAGCCGCGAACATCTCCTCAACATACAAACCATTCTGGATGACAGGATCTTCGTTCTGCCAGGATCGTTTGCTGGTGGATGGCCCACTTGAGCCTAAATGATCGGAGCCACGCTCGTTGCTTCTGATTCGATCGGATATATTTCGTACTGCATTGCACATGTCGAAAGAAGCAGCGGAGATACAAGCTGGACGGCTTACGTTCGTTCGAGGTCTCGCAGGAGGTCTGGGCAGTACCAGTGGCAGACGTCGAGTCTGTTGACTGAGAAGACGTGTCCGTATCCGTGTCCGTCATATATTCCATGTACATAACAGTAGGAACCACGTAGTCCTTAGTGTAAGCAGACGGTGGATGAGGCAGACGCGTCTTCGGGCGTTTAAACTCAAATGTCGTTCGAACCTCCATCCATCGGAAGTTCTCATGGTCTTTGGTGGGTGCCTTGCACGCAGACTGGTAAACATCTTTGGATTCTCCTTCCGGTATGATATCCGCAGCGCTCTGATGAGAAACGACGACGACATCAGGCTTGCAGCTGTACTTCTCGCCCTCATGTTCTTGATGTGTGAACGATGGATCATTCACATGGAAGATGATATTGGTTTCGTCTTCGTCTTGAAAAGCAGGTATTCCAGGTACGTTCACCTTCCTGAGTCCACGAAGCGCATGGTTTGCAGCCTCAACGAAATCAGAGTAAGACGGGGTTTCGCTCTCGATATTACAACTTGATGATAACGTTAGTCTTATTTCGTGTTCCTTGAAACGCTGGCTTACAAATTAGCCAAGTGTTGCTTGATCTTCTGCGCCACACCTGGCCCATTGCAGAGGGGCAGGACAGCCTCGAGGGAAGTATCGAGTAACGTGGACTTCTGACTGGGGGGAAGGGATTGGGTAGGATCTACGCACATTTCAAGGAGCCGTTGCAGCATTTCGTCTGCCCCACATCGCTTGAAGTTCCTGCCGTCGTGCGTGGTCCATGGACGAATATCACTGACGCTGCATGAATAACGGAGTTTAGTATGGATAATAGTGGCAGGAACACGAAATCTGACGCACTCGACGCTTAGAGTGTCGGCGTGTTCGCTGACAACAGCGGAGCCGACTGCGTGTGGGGTGGACTTGAGGTCGGCGGGCAAGCCAGAGTTGCGGGGAGGTGTGTTTGTCACTGGGGCAGTGGCGCCAGCATTATTGACCATGACGAGGCCTTCCTAGGAAGATGTTTGAAAGAAGGTGAACTTTGGGAACAAGACGATGCTTTTTGAAGGAGCGTAGCACGATCGTCAGATATTTCGAATCAAGGTCAGCCCTGATATAGATAGTGGACTGATAGCCATTTTATTTTTTGAGAGTTTTTTTTTGACGCTCTGCACATCGTAAAGTCTCGCAAAAGAATTCTGCTGATCGGAGACTGCCAGAGTGGGCGTTGAAGAACTTAAAAGCTTAATAGGCCGTTTCCCACCGCTTGCATTTACATATTCCATACTCCAAGGGACATCACCGAATGTCTTCTAGTAAACAAAAGAATAATCAAAGAATCTAGATTCTGATGGCGGTCAGGCCTATCAGATATCTGTCTGTCCCCGAACAACCCATGGGCCGCGATCTTTCTCTGGGGTTGAAACAGGACTCATTCACTGATGTTAGCACGCATCAGATGCGTTTTCCTTTGCTATACGCGACAAAAGTCGCACCACAGATGCATCGATGGTCATTGATCCAAATCCGCAAACGAGTGGCGTGTGGGCATTCGAAGAACAATATGTGGACCGATTGCCCAACTGTCAACTTGTGGCCCCCATTCATCTCCATTTTGATTTGCAAATTAGAAACTTCTGAAGTTCTGTATCGCCGACCTTTTTGGACGACAAGTCACTTAACACGCGAATAAGTGACTCGGAGGAATTAGATTCTGACGGTTCTATCAGATGTATCCGAGTCTGTCTGCCTCCAACTGTGCTTCTGTTCTCTAGGATGAATATCGTAGAGTTGGACCCCTGCTACTCCCCTGGTATCGCCCCAGGGAGTAGAATCACATATTCGATAGTCGGTCGACGGTGAGTCAAGCTCGCCTCGAAGATCAAGGGTCCAATACGATAACCCACCGTGAAATTTTAAAATACGAATCTCGGGCGCGATGTATAGGATAATCGACGCTCATATGGTCCAAGTTTACCAAGCCTATGGAGAGGGAACGACACAAGTCTGCTCACGCCTCAACCAAGCTTCCCACTCAATGCCAAAACAGACGTTCTTTGGTCTCCCTTTCCTTCTCCCAAATACTTTTTTCTCCTCGCACCCATCTCCTCACATCCTCAATCCACCGATGAGATTTGCGATCCAGACGACATCCATCAAAAACAATACTTCACAACAGCGTCCAAAACGCTGCCACCACATAACATCCGTCCTCACGCTTAGCACGAGTTCATAGAACAACATTTCCCCCCGGGTTTCAGCACCTCTGTGACCTGTGCGGAGATGATGGATTGTAGCGAGTGGGCAGAGCAGATTGTGAGAACAGATATGGGCGTGTCTACAGGCGGGTGTGGAACAAGAAGATGGGAATGGATGGCAGAGATGTTTCCAACGTAGCCCCAAGGGAGGATAAGGAGCGTTCTAACATCTGGTATATGCACGGTCAGGCTCTACAGCTAAGTGTTGAGTAACGCACGAATGGTCGAGGTAGTTGACGGTGTGATTTTGTCCCGTCTTTTGCAGGAACGAATTATCATTTCGGTGGAGGAGGAGACACACCTGCACTGAGGTCGAGCACAAAGCCGTAGGCATGTGGAGTGATGAGCTTTTTTTGACGTATCTTGTTGACAATATTGGCATGGAGATCCGATGCTAAAGTGGGTGAGGATGTCGGGTATGTTTGCACCCTAGAGGACAGATTCGAAGGTTGGGAAGAGGACGAGGTGGACTGCGGGGCGGTGAACTGCGAGCAGAGATTGGTTTTTGAATAGCACATGAGAACCCATGAAAATACGGGTGTTACAGGTATAAAGAACTGAGAAGTGAATGGGATGAGTATGGTGATTGTGTATAAGATTGGTATTGCTAGTTGGCGGAGCCTTTGTGAGGGAATGGAGGGACTTGCATGAGAGTGAGTCAAAGGAGAGCAGAAAGATGTGAAGGATGCAAATCGAGTCTTTGAAGGTGAATTTGTGTTCACGGAGCTTGTTCATTGTATCACAACGTGCAAATGACTTTGAAATGACTCGTCAAGTCTATTCATTCCAGCTACTGTGAAACCCATTCACTGTCATCCCATAGAGCGAGAGAATGAATCCCGTGGCGACAAAATCATTTTAAACATTGTGGACAATGTCAACAACAACAGGCTGCGCTACCCGCATGCATTGATAATGATCGCAAGACGTTTCATTCATGGATGGCTGGGTAGATAATTCTAATAAGTAATACAGCATGGCAGTGGTTTTCAAACCTAATTCAAACCTCCAAACCACCAAATAAATACCACAACAAAACTCCAAATAACCGGGGTTGATCACCGTACTAAACATCTCCGCCAGACAACACATCACCACCAGCCTGGAAATGAATGGTCGTCATGGCTGTTCCCTCGTCGGACCTGGCCAAAAGCTTCGAGTGATATTCGCGAATGCTGAGGACCAAACGCGGTCCCAGCACAAACATCTGCAACTCCTGAACGATTTGGGAAATACCAATATAATAACTACTTCCCACAGACGATGAGAACTATTAAAATGATGATGAGTGGACAGATGCAGATGCTTAGTCGCAGGTTGGCGCACCATGATATATGTAGACAGTGAGCCTAGGTTCAAGCAAGCTACAATAGCAAATCTAACACATGCAGAACTTCAGCGAAACAAAATAATAACATCCAAACCACCAAACTCACGCTACAAAGTAAAACGTGTGACTTTGAATTAACACCGTAAAACAGTCCCCAATGGTCGATCTTGTCGGGAATTGTCGCAGCTCGCGAAAGTGTTTTATGATAACCCAGACTGCGAGAACGAAGGCGAGGATCTCCCATATAGCTGTGGGTACCACACTCTCATCATTCAGTTTCACTTTGTCTAGGTCATCAGTTGAGAAAAGACACATATGGTAGCCAGAAAAGACGAATTCCTCTGGTATTGTTCATGAGTCTTATGTGATTTAGGGTTTCATAAATAATCGAAGCTTACCCACTGAAATACCGATGTTTCCCATGACTGTCGTAATGCCGGCAGCGACCGTGGAAGTCAGCAGGACTATAACGAGAAAGATGAGCATCTTTTTGGATCGTCCATACATCGCCTGTATCCGAATCATCATTATGACTTGCATAATATCTCAGTTAAGTCAGTCTCATCAAGGTACTGCAGGTGAGCTCACCGCCCAGCATAACATCGACGACGACAGGTATCCATGTCCATATGAAGTAAGCGATAAAGCCTGAAACCCGAATTTACTAATGTGGATTTATGGACTCGAACAAACTTACAGCTGTTGCAGTCGTTATGTTCAACATAACAAGAGACTGAAAATATCACTCACTCCTATGTGGAAGTGCAGTTAGTAAATGAATGGGAATGGGAGGCATCAATACGGAATACCCACAATGTCTGTTATCGAGACTGGGAGATGCCCTACATGCCGCCAGTTAGAATAACGAGCGCAGTGTATTTGGGGATACATACATAATACGTTGATCCTAATTGTGAGATATGGTTGTTAGTACAGCGAAATGACGACTTTGTAGTCTCGCTAACTTACAGGGAGTATGATAGTCCGATGTAGCGCACCTAGCATATGTTGAAGTCAACTTAGTACAACATCTCGACTGTGTTTATAACATAACGTACACAAACATAAAGAATGGTGATGAAGGACCAGTGTTGTTTCTGTTCCGAGTCAATTGCATTATACGATTTGCCTATATATGTCCTGCTTACCCAGACTAGTTCGAACTGTTGAAGCATTCTTAATGAGACAGCTGCGCCGATGACACTGCAACTTACTTCTTGTTCAAATGTTAATGCTTGAATGCCGTATATATATTAATGACATTATGTTCTCGGAAAGTATTATTTCGCTCACCCCAATCGTAAACCACTACAGCAGAAGACACAACTGCGAAACAAGTCAGATTGTGAGACGTCACCATCTTCATCCCACTTTATCTCTACGGACCTATAAAATAGCTGGAAAGATTGAAGTAACTGATAAACGGCCACTGAGCGGGATCATTTGATACTACGGTCATATCTGGACGGGGCGTATGGAGTTTGTGCAGACGCAACATTATCTAGTGCTTTTATAGCGGTCAGTCTGGATATCCGTTCCTTGAGTAAGAATCTTGATCGGTCGCATCAACTGTTGTCGACGAAACAATCAGAATGGAGAATCAGTTTCATGATCAGAAGCCCTAAATCGAACCAAAGTGCATGATGTAAAGATTTTGGATTTAAATGAAACACGCGAAATATTATTTGAAGGCGCTGAAAATCAGTCGGTGAGGTGCTATGTTCCAAGATGGCATCAAAAAAGTCTCTTCGTGAGTAAGGTTATACGTAGCAGATGTGCACACCTAACGCACTGGCACAGTGGGTATCGACTGACTAGACGCTTGTAATACTCGCATGAGTCGCACCATCGGGATCATGCGGAGCTTCATCATACGACCACACTGCCGTTGATAGTATCATAGGATGCAGGCCCATATCGTGACTCCTGCTTCGTGCTTTGATGATCAAGAAGAATGGTGTGATATGTATTGTGCTGTTCAGATATATTACTTGGGCCCATGAGACGATGATGTGAGACAAAATTAACTACACCAGCGTTTCAAGTGCAGAGATAAGAACGGGCAGTGTGCCCAATCATGCGCTCAACACACAGCCTGTTAATATCTCTCCCTGCCCCATCCGATGATAACGTAGTGACGTACCAGAAGGTTCTTTGCTCAAGTAAAGTTATCTTGATGCATGGGATACTACTTCGAGGGTGCATAAGGGCAAATTATTCCGCCCGCTGTTCATCTGTCGTCATAGCTCCACGTCGGAGAACCAGGCATCTAGGGAACATTTTGACCGTGCCAATAATGCCTTCAGCTGCATGTGAGAACAAAATGGTACATAGAAATCTTGAAGTTGATGTAAATTGAGGGATGGGAAAGCATCGACCAGGGTGCTGTTCGACCCTTCATAGCATGCTTCTAGCGCGCACGAATTAGCGGGTGATAGAATGTTGATTAAGCTAGACACTTGCTTCCTGCTCCCCAGGGAACATTTTGACCGCGCCAGGGATGTCTTCAGTCCCGTGTGAAGACAAAATGGTACATAGCAATCCTGAAGTCGGTGTAAATTGAGGAATGAGGGGCATCGAACAGGATGCACATGTTCGACCTTGCATCTCAAGCCCTGAGTGAGTCTACAATGTTAGCGGCGCCAAAGTTGTCCTTGACCGAGGCTGTGTTTTCTCTGGCAGGCCTGCAGGCCGGAACTGAGCACCTTGGCGGAGTTCTCGAGAATAGGACGCTCGCCACATTTCGTGAGTAAAGACTGAAGTAATACAATTGCGATCATCCTCAAGGAAACTATGAATCTAAGGTTTCATACAGGATTTTCCCAGCGCCCGGCGAGTGCCGTGCGTCTCTTTTTTTCTCTCCCACTTGCATGTCTATGTGATCACTGATAAGTTACTTCTCCTCCGCATCTCTCCAAAAGCTTGCATATACGACAACGATCAGACTTCACCAGTCCAACTCAAACAGCGATAGATTGCAATGAAAATTACAATTACACGGTGACGTTGAATTCATTAGTCTCACTACCAAAGCTACTTGTGTGATTCCTAGGCTGACTCGTTGGGAGGTTCCTTCTTGATTATTTATTAGGGCCTCGATAAAGCGCTGACTCCCAGCATCAGCGACTCACTACATCATCATCCTCGTCGTAGGCGATTTTGATAAGGATTTTGCAAGGGATTGTTGTGACATCGTTGTAAAAACTGCTTAAAACGAGCTGCTATGAGGTTCTGTCAGCGACGAATAGAACTGAGCGCCGGTGAATATGGTGCCAGCATCGATGAGCACTGCAAGCCTGTCTTGTAAACCCAGCTTCAGCAGATGCTTTGACTTTCATTCTGATTGCAGAGGAACGGGCACGTCACAAACATGCCTCATTTTTTTGCTGAAGTGAGTACCGACAGCGTCAATCGTCAACATCCTTGAAACTGATCAAGCAGCTCAGATACATTTTTAAGTTTAACTTCAATTGATAAAAACACCTTTCCTACGTCTAATTCACTAGCGAATATCCGAGATCGCCTTGAACACCATTCTTCATATCGATGAGAGCCTGAAGCATCCTCTTTCCTCTCTCATTCAACCGATCACGGAAGCGGTCCTCTGTCATCCACAACAGTCCATGCTGGAGGACATTTTTGGCTCTTGTCGATCCACCACGTATGTCGCCCATGCAACCATGGAGCGTCGCGCGGCGCTGTTTCGAGTTGTATGCTCCGCAGTGTAGTATATTGTTATTATAGATCACCGTCTCGCCAGCTTGGTATTTAAGCTCGGTGAGACGCACTTGGAGAAGAAATAAACTTTCGTGAACTGACGTTGCAAGGTGACTTGAATCGCTCCGGGCATATCTAAGGGGTTCGCAGGCGGTGCTTGTGTCATTGACTGAGCTCTCTGAAGCTCCGTTCTTGGGAAACTATGGGTCTTTGGGACGAGGTAGAGACACGAGTCCTCGTACAAAGCGCTATTCGTGATTCAGATAAATCATTAACAAGTCGACGTTGGAGAGTACTCGCGTATTCCATTGGACCTAGAAGTCATTTAGAACAACCAAATCATTAACTACGAGTACTCACACCATGCGTCCAGAGTGCAAGAGCAACAACTTCTTCTTCAGCGGTCGCGTTTTCTCGTACGTCGTCACGATGCCATCGAAGGGCAAAATCATGTTCTAATGGGTTGATCAACAGGTTAGAAAGCTCTGAAAAATATATCAACATCGAGCAAACTATCAGGCGAAGCAATACACATACCCATCTGCAGCTCATCTTCATTACATTGCAACAAATTCGTCGCAACATTAATAAGCGCGTCCGAGGTGTACCACTCTGTAAATGCGGGCTCATCAAGGTCAGGATGCATGAGGTGTTGAACGCCCCATGAATCTGGATTGCTATCGTCGAACGGAGGGAATTGTCTTCCAACGGTGCGCCGGTGGGGCCATGATCCAGATCTGGTCTTAGCTATAACACGCTCACAGGCCTCTTCGAGGGCCTCGAACGTCTGTGGAGGAATGAGATTTGGGATGATGATGTACCCTTGTTCGTCGTAAAAAGCTTTGTCGATGGCGGTAGTCATTGGTGGGAGGGAAGGTTCAATAAAAAGTGGCGTTCACGTTCTAGCTTTGATCAAGCTATATGTAGATGCAGGGAAAGACGAGACTACTTATTCGTGACTATTTGATAGAGGTGTTCACATGGTTCAGTTGAAGAGTCAATCAACGTCGAATGAAAAGGTCGTCAACGGCTCGTAGTACGGAGTGATCGTGCCGTGTGCCGGAAGTTACCAAAATCTGTTAGCCACCTGACTATAGGCTGACTGAACATTGTGATCATGTGAGATATTATAAAGAGTCAAAGATGCTAGAAAAACAAGTAGCAAGTCCAACAGTTCACAATGCAAACCCCTGCAGTGGGCCCTAATTCCGACGGTCCGGCGGCTATTACATCTTCTGACTATTACTATTGCGAGATTACGGAAGTGTAACGAGCGAGGATGTGTGGAGGAGAGAAGGAACGATGAAGAGAGGAGCCGAACTGTAACACTCTCGCTCAGCTGGGGCATCTTTCACATTGCCCTTCTGAGACTCGAATCCATAGCAAATACTACGTAACAGAATGGAATACATATTATCAATTGGACTAGTTCTCTGCCAACCCTGGGCTCTGCCAAGTTCTGCTCACAACACTAGTAGTACTAGTAGATTGCAAAACAATGTGCTTGTAAACTCTAAATGACAATTGACGCCATACTGGGTCAGTGACTAACGCTGAAGGGGCCAAGACAACTCTTGTTAGCAAAGTACTGTCGCACACCCAATTTCGCCATTGATCATCAAAGCACAAGCTGACGAGAACGGTGTTTTAAATCTAGCCATGCATTCTGTAAGTATCGTCTTTTATCTATTCGGCCACACCGCCACATGCAGGTACTCGCCTGATACATTTGTTATGTTGATAAGGAGTTGTCTCTTTCTTGTCCGCTGCGAGTGTCGAAATGGTAAGCCCACAGACTGACACATCTAATTTACGCTATAAGTTGCAACCCACGACACTCATAAATGACAAAGTCCAAGTGTCTGTTCCACTGGCACCTGCTGAAATTGCTCCATAATGTGCATTTACATAATTCGCGTTGTCTCGGTCAATCAAAAGACTACAGCACGCGTGCATAACTGTACTAACGACAGTCCTGTGCACCTAATCTTGTCGTATTTAGCCATTTGCATGCAGGACACTAGGACCTCAAGTAACCCTATACGATACTCCAATGGAGTTTCTATTGGAAAGTTCTTGATCGCCTCGCGGGATTCGCAAACGCCGGAGGTAAGGTAATCAAAATCGGCTCCTCCAAAAATGCACAGGAGCCGAGACTCACATGGTGAGCGCTTGAGCCCCAAAGCCTGGCCTACTAGCCACTTTGCTACTAGTACATTATTCTGCAGTGCTACTCCATAATTATGAGTTCCGGCTTTGCAGTATATAAGCGTGGGCCTCCGAACAGATATCCTCATCAAATATCCTCGTACCGTTTGAGATCCTACACATCTCGCAATGGCACCCATCGCAGTCGCCCCTACCACGGACACTAAATTCCTTACAAACCTCAAGACATCCGTTGTCTCTCCACAACCCAATACTCTTCATGACGTGATAGCTCAAGCTGTCCACCGTTATCCATTGCACGAGCTTGGTTTCATAACATCCTCGGCACATGACTCCTCCATTCAGACGAAGACCTTCAGCGCGTTCAACCAATATGTTCGCAACCTTGCACGTGCCATGCTCGAGTGGCGCAAACCCACAGGCTCAGTCGTCATCGTGTACCTGACGGAGCACGAAGACAACATGGCTGCAGTATGGGCATGTCTGCTGGCCGGCTATGTCCCTTGCTTGCAGCCTGCACTTAGCGCGCAACAGACGCATAAGGAGGGCCATGTCGCCCACATCAAGAACCTATTTGGATCTGCTATTTGGTTGACCAGCGAGATATCGGCTGAGCAGATCAGCACTATCTCTGGTCTGGATGTTCACCTACTCTCTGAATTAAAAGCATCGGTAGAGAAATTTTCTGTCGCACCTGACTGGGTTGCACACAAGGCTAAGCCGGACGACGATGCGATCCTGTTCTTGACCTCAGGGTCAACTGGATTCTCGAAGGTGGTCGTCCATACGCACCGTACGATCCTTTCTGCATGTCGTGCCAAGGGTCAAAGCTACGGCCTGACTTCCGAATCTCGAGTTTTGAACTGTAAGACGCACATGGTTTAAACTTTAGTCTTTAATTGACTGTGATATTCAGGGGTCGGATTTGATCACGTTGCGGGATCGTTGGAAATGCACATCACACCTCTGTTATATGGTGCTTCGCAACTCCACGTGCACGCAGCCGCTATCCTTGCTGACCCCCTTCGGCTGCTCCGTCTCATCGATGAAAAGGTATGAAAACCCAACCATAGCTTATGTAATATATTTCTCATCGTTCTATTTTTAGTCCATCGAATTAGCATTCGCCTCAAATTTCCTGCTCTCCGAGTTAACTCGTGATCTGGTGAAACGCACCGACCTCTTTGGATGTTTCGACCTATCCTCGATCAGACGAATCAACAGCGGAGGCGAAGCGACGGTTTCCAAGATCGCGCAAGCCTTCGTTGTCATGATGAAAAAGTTTAGCAAGAACCCCTCCGCTGTATCGTTCGTCATCTCTCCTGGGTTTGGAATGACAGAAACATGGTAAGACTAATTCAACTATATGACTATCTAAACAAATTGATGGGGATTCTGCAGCGCCGGATGCATTTATCATCCTGTGGATATCCTCGCAACCGAGCCTGCTCATGAGTTCCTTGATCTCGGGAGACCCATCAATGGTTGCGAGATGCGTGTCGTCGACCCCGCAGATGGCATCACTCTGCGCCCAGACGGAGAGAGTGGAGAGCTCCAGGTTCGTGGATCGATGCTCTTTGTACGCTACTACAACAATGCCGAGGCTACGTCCTCCAGCTTTGTTGAAGGCGGCTGGTATCGCACTGGCGATTTTGGCCTCATCGAGGATGGTGTCATGCGCCTGAGCGGTCGTATCAAGGAGACAATCATCGTCCATGGCGTCCCGTATAGTATTCCAAAAAACTCGACACCTACCTGCAGACCGCTGACGGGGTCACGAACTCGTTCCTCGCTGCCGTTCCATACCGCGCTCCTGGCCAGGAAACTGAAGGTTTCATTATTTTCTACTCGCCAACCTTCGACCTCGACGAATCAGATGCCTCTGCAAAGCTCTTAGCTACGCACCAGGCCCTGCGGGATATCTCTGTGAAGATGATCACCCTGCCACCTCAGATCGTCATCCCCATCCCTCTGAGCCAGATGGAGAGGACCACTCTCGGTAAACTGTCTCGTGCCCGTCTGATTAGTCTCTTCACGCAAGGGCAGTTTGCGACGTACATCGCGCGCGCTGAGGAACTTCTCAGTCAAGCACGAGGTGTTTCCTTCGTCGCCCCGTCCACCGAGACGGAAAAGGCACTTGCCAAAATATATGCAGGCATCTTCAACCTCGCGGACAGCGAGGTATCGGCAAGCGACAACTTCTTCGAGATCGGTGGTACTTCCATTGATGCTATCCGGTGAGTCAACTCCTCCTGCCCTCAAACGACCTTCACTGACATATAATTACCAGCCTCAAGCGCGAAGGAGAGGAACACTTCGGCGTACCTGACATCTCAGCCATTCAAATCCTCAAGAACCCCGTTCTCTCGAGCCTTGCGAAATACGTCGACTCCTTACTCTCCAAGGGGACCCAGACTGAAGAGTACGATCCCATCGTTCCCCTCCAGCTCAGTGGAAATAAGACGCCAATTTTCTTCGTTCACTCTGGTATCGGAGAGGTTCTCATTTTCGTCAATTTTGCCAAATACCTCCTTAATGAGCGTCCCTTCTATGCTTTCCGTGCTCGTGGCTTTGATGCCGGCCACCCTTACTTCACCTCCATGGACGAGATGGTTTCTTGTTATACCGCAGCAATCAAGAAGACTCAGGCGACGGGACCATACGCCATCGCAGGCTACAGTTACGGCGGTGTTGTTGCATTTGAAGTTGCAAAGCGTCTTGAGGCCATGGGTGATGAAGTCAAGTTCGTGGGTCTCGTCAACATCCCCCCTCATATCGCTCCTCGCATGAGAGAGAGCTCCGGCATGCTCCACTTGTCGTCCTTCCTTGGTCTCGTGGCACAACACGATGCTGACTCTGATCTAGCTCCTCCCCTGAGACCCCTCACGAAGCAGGAGCAGCTCGAGTCTGTGTGGAAGATGGCCCCTCCTGAACGAATTGTTGAGCTCCAGCTGACGCTCGAGAAGCTGGATAAATGGGTAGACCTAGCTGGGTCTCTCGTCGATTGTGCACTCGACTATAACCCATCAGGCTCAGTTGGTAAATCTGTTCACTTTCTGACTTTCGTACCACTTGCTCATGCACGAACTTTTCAGCCGCACTCGACGTTTTCTATGCCATTCCCTTCGCCGGAACCAAGGCTGACTGGCTGAACAACCAGCTCAAGCCATGGTCTGGCTACAGCCGCGGCGAGGTATCATATATTGATGTGCCTGGGGAACATAACACGCTCATGGACATCGAGCACGTCTCGCAGTTCCAAAAGATCTTCCGCAGTCGTCTCGAAGCTCGTGGTTTGTAGGGAGGTTTGGAGGAGCAAATTATGATTAGATCTTGTCTTGTTTCGATGATCTTTCTATACTTAGAATCCCTGACTTTCATATTGGTGGGAAGCGACGTGACTATGTAGATATTGTAGTGGTATGCGTTGTGCTATGTTGTGATATGATACTATAGACCCTCGTCTGAAAAACTTGGAAATCAGACGCGGTACTCATGCGTCTAATAATACGGTACTCTCGGTGGGATTACCTCGCGATTGAAAAGTAATAAGCTCTACGAACGTTCATCGCATCCTCAGAACTACTCGATCCCAACAAAATCCACCTCCTCAAGTTCTGGCTCAGAAAGAATGATGAAAATGTTGCTGGCATCCGAAAGTAGGTACGACAAGCAATGAGCATGTAAGTCAGAATGGTGAGGTTGTGAAATAGGACGGGCCCTCTTTCTCTTTCTCTATCTCATAAACAATACTGAGGTACGTACTGCTGATTGTATTATATTGGGGACAAAATAACAGGGTACACTTGACCATTGACCTAGGTTTTCATGAAAGGCATGGGTTTCGCTTCCGCAGCCTTTCCTATCGGGCGCATATAATCTCCGGCGCTATAATGCATGGAACTGCTTCTGCATCAGAGTGTGAGCTAAAGAAACAGCCATAGACTAGAGTGAATATGATGATAGAGGATACGTACGTCCTGGAATTCCGTCTGAAGTGAACATGAACGTGATAGTCAGCTTGTTGTCTCTGGCGTCTTGTACAAAGGTCTTCATATACCCAGGCGCATCCAATTCGTTGGTGTCTTTGCTTTCGAATGATTCGAGAAATTGGCAGGGAAGTGAGTCGTATGATTCTCTGATACAATGCGCAGACCTCGACCACGTGAAAGCTCGGCTCTGAGGGTACATCCTTGAGCTGTGGAGCAAGTTAAAGGGGATACGCGTGTCATCATTTTAGTACATATTGTGACCGACCTCTAGCAATACAACATAAAGCGATGCAGTGCTGACGCTCCGCAATTCTGCCGCTCCGCGCAGCCTGCTGCAGGCAGCAGTCTCGATTTGCTTCACCGCATTATTACCGCCTGATTCCTGGAGACTCTCGGGTAGCCACTGGCCGTGCACGCTCGTGTTTTTTGAGCTGTTGACAAGCGAAAGGCGGTCCGTGTTTCAGCTTGAGGTCTTCGGGCTCACCAGACGTAATGAATTTCAATGCGCCCGCATTGCGATCGCAAGAGCGACAACATCTGATTTTGCTTCTAGAATATACGGGGTCGGTTCCATAACAACCAGTGCATCCGTTAGGACGGGATATTATTGTCAGTAGGCATTTCCTATGCAGGCGCAGTGAGGTTGGTGAGTTGACATGATGTTGCCTGTCCTCCTCGATGAATTTAACATAAGCGGCCGGATGGACCCGATGTTTGATATTGCCAATGATTATTGCTGGCGCTGAGGAGCGCTGAGGGCTGTGGTTTGTTGACAGATGTAGTCGAGATGTAGTACATCCTAGGTTGGCTGCGGTGGCGCTGATGCTGTCGAGGTAGCTGGGTTATTCCCTCGATGACTTATGAGTTAGTGATGGAATGAGCGCCGTATGACACGTTTATGATGATCCGCATCAGCAACTCCATCACTAGTTTGACCAGATTGGCCACCAATAATTATAGCACTACCTGTGGTTGACCTGTAGTCAGCTTTGTCGTTGACGGCGGTTAATGCAGATGAAGCTATGTATTTGTTGATGGATAAGTCGTCAATTGCACTGGAGTAGTATACACATATGGAATTGCGGCTGTGTTATTACTTACCTTGACTTTTGACCGTCACAACTCTACAACAAAAGGATCAACCCGCCACAGAAATTACACGCTCGTTCGCTCCTTCCTGCTTCACGACGACAATGGACAATTATTCAAAATATGTCCCAAGTCCTCCCTATTCTTCACCATATTCCAACGATGTTCATCAAGACGCTCGCCGAATATCTCGTACCCCCAGTCCAACTCCCAGTGAGATACAGGCCCTCGATCAGAAGACATTCTTCAATTTCAAGTCCATATTCGATAAAAAGAAGATGTGGACAAAGAAACGAATATGTACGTCTTCATCTACCTACAATTTCAACTGTTGGTTTAATGGCGAGCAGTTATTTATATTGCTCTAATCCTCGCCGCCGTTTTGGGCGCTCTCTTCATATTCTATCATGACCAAATCGTACATGCAATTCAACCAGCAGCTAACTGGATGCACAAGTATGTCGATCCCAGTCCCGTCATACCATAGCACTTACCTTTCTTTCAGCTTCAAGTTTGGATGGATAATCCCTATAGCCATTTTCTTTGTGATATCATTCCCTCCGGTATGCGCATCGACCCTTCATCTCTTCTCACACTAACGTACTTCCCATCAGCTCTTCGGCCACGAGATACTGGCTATCGTGTGTGGTCTCGTATGGGGCGTATGGATTGGTTTTGCCATAGTAGCAGCTGGCACTTTCATCGGTGAAATAGGAAACTTTTAGTACGTCTTACTTTCTACGACGTTTTGGTCATTCCTTACTGTTTCCTTCAGTGCCTTCAAACACCTCTGTTCAACTCGTGGTCACAAGATAGAGAAAAGCAGTGTCATTTACTCCTCTCTGGGAAGAGTCGTCCGCGAGGGCGGTTTTAAGATTGCATTGATCGCCCGTTACAGCGCCATCCCGCCTCACTGTTTGTTTCTTCCATTCTCTCATACAATCTTTGCCTTACGTGCGTCTAGTCACCACTGCATTATTTGCAGTATGCGGCATGAACATCTTTGTTTTCATGCTGGCAGCAGCCCTTTCTATGCCAAAGCAGTTTATAACTGTGTACATTGGAACTTTATTGGAAAGCAGTGGCACCTGTAAGTCCTTACCCATATGTACGACCGTATCCTCATGTTTTCTTCAGCGGCTGCCAATTCAAAGAACAAGATCATCAGCGACGTCGTGGGTGTTATCACCGTCCTGGTCACCGTGGCTGCCATGTGGTATATCACCAGAGAAATAAACCGTGTCAAGCCACAAATCGTGTATGAGCGACGCAAAGCACGGTCAGTATCGTCACTGTCCCTACTCATCACAATCTTATCATTTCTTCAGTCAAGCGAAATTGGACGCCGAGAGTGAATCACTGTATCAAAATGGCGGTGCAAACAGCTCCGCAGTATTCAACACCTCAGACACCACTCTTCCCCTCAACTCCTCAGACGCCCCCTACGACCCTCCCTACCAGCGATGGGACAGCGAAGGCCGCGCCGTAGGCTACACACCGGACCCACGCATACACGCACCCCAACCTAAGAAACCGGAAAATCCAAACCCCTTCCCGGGTGACATAACCCCCACATTAGGAACCAAGCCCCTCCGCCACGAAAGCACAGATACCGTGGGATGGGAGTTGCAGGCTAACGCCGCGCAGGGTCAGAGTTATAGGTTGAGCGCCATGACAGCTGAGCCTCTGCGGAATCCGTATGAGGGTGAGGATGAAATGGATGCCGAGGAAGTTCTCGGTGAGGGGTATGCGCCTGCGCCTCCATCTCTTGCTGGACCACCGCCATCATCTCGTGTCGGCCGGTCATCTTCATCTGGTATCAGTGGCATTGCTGCGTATGCGCCGCCCCCTGGGCCTCCGCCAGGTGCTGGGTATGCGTTTAGTGCGCCGGGACATAGTTTTTCGGGGCCAAGTTCGCCGCATCCGCCTGAAAGGCAGTAGGTTGTCGAGTGCTTGTGCATCCTGGTTTTTATTAGTCCTTCATTCATCTGGCTATCACAGCCTCCATCACTCGTCTGTCCGACTCTTCTATTTACTATATATCTTCTCACTCGATTTGTGTTCTTATGAGCCCATGTGCACTGTGTGCCCACACATACATAACAATAACTAGTATAGGTTGGCCAAAGTACAATTGGAGTATGTATAGCTATTTTGATACAGGGAGGTTGAATACCCTATATACCCTTTTTTGATTGACCGGATCAGCTTGGCTGGCACGAGTCTAGGAAGTTTTCACAAGAGGTGTGCAAAGCTAGAATATTGGATATACCGCAGCCAGGGAGGAGCGCGAGTAAGCTATAAATACATGAATGTGCATTCGGAAAACACGGGAAAAGCAGAAGTGATCTAAGCGTGAGACACGCATCAACGTTTCAACAAGGAATAGCGCGAAGTACGAAGGAAAATATCAGGCGACTTGCCAAAAAAACTGATTCGGGTTCCGAAAAGAAGCTTGTTGGCCGTCCTCATGGCTGCAGCATTCTCGGCTGAACAAAAATAAAGGCATGATTAGAAATTTTGTGTTCATGGGTGCTCATAGGATGCGTACTTACCGGCCAGAAAGAAGATCGGGAAATCTACAACGTGCGTTAATGCCAGTGTACAAAGTGTCTCACAAATGTCACGGTTCGGAGGACATCACATCTAGTGTTCTTGGCAGAAGAGTCAGCCGGTTCTGCCTGAAGCTACAGGGAATGAACCGATCACAGCGAAACATTCCAGTAACCTTCGTCACCTGTCTCTGAGTCGATGTGACTTAGAGCAAGTGCACCTCCTTACCTGTAGCGTAGAAAGAGTGTTCAGTTGTACAGCTTGTACCGGATGACAATCATTTACGATCGTGTAATGCCTACCGCTGCACTTGCCGGACGCCTTATCTTTCATAACCAACGATTTCAATCCGAGGCGAGAACGTCGACGACAAATCTGAATGCTATTATTGCCCAGCAGTAGTCCTGCAAACACCGTCCAGATGGTCTTTGCATTCAAATTTCAGGGTTGTGAGCAAAACTACCTTACTCACAAGTGTAAAACTTTAAGCATCAATGCCGAACTAGAAGCTAATTTTGCGCACCTCAAACTCAGATAACCTTGCAGGTCCTAAATGTATATCACTTGGTGAGATCGACACGGCCTTTACGGTACTGGAAAGTGAGCAAGAAGCCATGGAACGGTGAGTCGCGTAGCATTGAGCAACACGTGGTTAAACTATGTATTAGTAAGACCTTAGTAACCCTAGGACCTCTGACACCTCGGATGCCCCTATTTGCTACACCTCCTGACTACACGAATGGGTGCCGGTTGACGGAAATGAAGTGTTGGAAGGCTAATTTTATGATTTTGAAGAATCGGAGCATATTGACCGAGGTCTTCCACTTCTGCTGGTCAATTGCCTACCCCAGCACTTACCGACAGCCACTGGGATGACTGTCTGAACTTCCATTGGAGTCTGGGCCGCCTTCCGTAGACTCGTGCTACACAGTTCCAAACTCGTGTTAGCTCGAGTAGCATAGTGATTTTCCCTCCTTATCGCGGTGGCCGTATGCGGAGTTGACGAGGTGATGGTG